CTATGACTATGACTATGACTATGACTATGACTATGACTATGACTATGACTATGACTATGACTATGACTATGACTATGGCTATGACTATGGCTATGACTATGGCTATGGCCAGTAACCAAGGAAAGAAGACCGGGAGTCAAGACTGGGGAGTCAAGACCGGCCAACAAGCCAGCCAGCCTAGGTAGGGTAGGTCTATTCTATCACCACTACCACTACCCATCAGCCATCTGCCGACTGATCACTCTTCTCTGGCCGACAGCTAGGCCGAAAGAAACGTGGAGCGGAAACCAGGAACACGGGGACCAAGGTAGGAGAACACGGGAACCAAGGTAGGAGAACGCGGGGACCAAGGTAGAAGAACACGGGGATCAAAGTAGGAGAACACCTCACCTCACCGTTGTCGCCGGCCTGATCGCTTTCAAGCGACCATCATCTTGCGGTTCGCACACCTGACCTGGCCTGGCCCGGCCTGGCCAGGCTGTGTCGTGGACTCAATACTGCCTAGATCTGGTGTGTTGGGAGGGCTAGAATCAGAACACGCTCCAGCCGTCCCGCCCGGTCGAGTCGATTTGCACATTCGAAGATGAGATGACTGTAGGGAATGGCCGTTGATAAATGGGGTGGCTTCGAACTGACTGTCAATATCTGCTTGCGGTAACACAGGTGTCCAGGCCAGACTCCTAAAGCTCGTGGGAGACTAGGAAAATCTGTTGGCGGCAGTCGGAGCTAGGTGTGTATTGTGGGCAAAACATCAGAACCAGTGTCAGAAAATGGAAATAGGTACTCGATTACGGAACTGTGATCAGAGGTAGCCGGGATTCCTGGACGAGCATGTGTCTTTTGTGTGAAGCCTGCTATACATAAAACGGTTCGCTAATGCTAATCATGAGAAAAAACCCGATTTGATGCCATGTCATCCCATGCCTCAGGGTCCAGTGTCGGCGCAAACTTCATAGCAATACAGGCGTCATGATGGTGGCTGATATGGGTGGATAAGCATCTCGGAAAAGCTAGAATTCTGGTCAGCCTCGCCAATAACGTGGAAAAACTCCAGCTGCATGGGCTCACCTCTTCAAGCTGTCCACACCTCTTACTTCATCGGTCAGTAGAGGCATCTTGACAATGTTGAAATCGTCGTATAGCTCTTCAATCTGATCTAGATACTTCTTCTGCATCTTTCGTCGCGCGTTACATTGCTTGCAATGGTTGTCCTGCTCAGGAAACAGGAGTTGGTTGACCACAATGCAATGCGTGTCAATATGATAGCTAGCCAGTTCCTGAATCATTCGTTCCGTCTCGTACAGTGAGAGGAATTCAGCTATACAAACACACACAAAGGTGGTCATGTCAGGATTCTTGAATTGCCCGTTGACTTCGGCGATCGTCTCGCGCAGTGTCTCAAGTTTCTGGGTCAGGTCTTCAAGGCTGGCACCGCCAGGAAGACCACCTCTTGCACCAAGGACTGACTGTAACATCGGACCGAACTGGTTGGACAGTTGGGAGATTTTTTCGAGAGCCTTCTCCAAGACCGTAGGAAATTGCAGGAAACGTAGAGTGTGGCCGGTGGGGGCTGTATCGAAGATGATGACCTCGTACGAGAGCGACTTGACTTGTTTGAGGACTTCGGCAAAGGACATGGCCTCGTCAACACCGGGGATCTACACACATTAGCAGAGGCTCCTCCTGTGGTCGCCCAGACGGGAGAATACATACGCTGAAGGCAAGATCTTGCATCATGTTCCCCATGCCGCCCAGCCCTGACATGGCATCTTGAGCTTCGTCTCCGGCGCCGTTGATAAGATCGCTGATGCTGCCGTTCGGGTCAATCTCCATGGCGCTCAGATTCGTAAACCCCTCAACCAGTCTCGCATCCTTGCCGAACTTCTGGCTGAATGCGTCGCTCAGATTGTGGGCAGGATCCGTGGAGATGAGCAACACGGATTTCCTTGCCTTGGCCATTTGGATGGCCAGAGAACAGGATGTTGTGGTCTTGCCGACTCCGCCTTTCCCTCCCACAAATATCCATCTTAGTGACTTCTGGTCGATGAGGTTCTGGAGGGATGGGTCGAGGACGTCGTCGTCGTCGGCGTGGATCACAGCACTAGACATATCTGCAGAGGAGTTGTATTGTTGGAGAGAGAAAGTGGTTGCGCTCCTGTGAGATATGCAACAGGTATTCTCGAATGTTCGCAGAGAGAGGCTGCGGAGGCGATGTGACGGTCCGCCTGCTCTGATAAAGAGACAAGTCTATGCGGGGAGACCTGACAGCAGAGATCTAAGGATCTACGATCTTGACGGCGAAGGATAGAAGAGAGAAGGCAGCGGCGGCAAGGTTGTTGAAATGCTGTAACCTGGGCCGCACAAGTGGTTCGCTGAAGGAAAGTGGCAGAAGTTGTGGAAGGGAAGCAGACAAAGCGGCGACGTCATTCGGGGTGAGCGTCTACGGCATCAACACCAACAAATGACAAGGACATGCAGTCCCTCCAAACTGAACACAGTCCACAGCATTGGTGGCTCGATTGCCTTCCACACAACTCTTTGAATTATGCCCTGCTAATTATGAAGTCACCTGTATGTACAGAGTACTAGCTCCCAGCACGTTGTTTTCCCTCGCAATGCCTGTATACACTACAGTCCTAAGTTCGACCATAATTTCCTGCACGACACGCCCCAAATATCAGATTGAGACCCGCCTCTCCCCCCAGTCATACCTTGTTGCCACTGCTATCGAGCGGTCACGGTCGTGGTAACAGTCTCTGTCTCTGTGACAGTGACTTGACCCTGTGAAGGGCTAGGCGTGACAGGCACCACAGCTACATCGGCCGCGGTTGTCGATGAAGCGGCCGTGACTGTAGCAGGCCCCGTCTCTGGGTCTGGAAAAGGCGACGCCGTACTTAACGTCGTGGGACGAGGCTCCCCAGGTGTGGATGTGTTGGCGGACTCGCGACTAGACTCGGAAGTAAATGCCACCCCTTCCGTCGAAGTTCTCGCTGCTGCTATGGTCGATGATGGTTCTGAATTGCTGCTGGCAGCGTTGGGATCTAAGTTCGGCCCGGTCGTGGCTATGGGCAATGTCGTAGCAGCAGTACCGCCCGTATCCGGGCTCGGGCTCAGTGTTGTAAATCCAGCAGTAGGGCCAGTGAAAGTCGGCTCCGCGGTGACAAACACAACAGTAACTGTGGCACTTGGCTGCTCAACTTGATCCCCGTCTGCGGGTGTCGCCACTGAAGGAGCGGCCCCCTGGGTGGCACCATCAGTGGCCGAGACAGTCGCCTCAGCCGTGACTGTGAAGGTCTCGAGTATGGTGGTCTGGACCTGCACGGTGGTCGTCAATGTGGCCTGCGGCTGAACTTCAGTTTGGGCAGTATTTGGTTTGATGGCGGTGCCAGTTCCCGGTGCTGCATTGGTATCGCTACTTGTGTTCGCCCCAGCAGCTGACGTCTCTCCCGCCGCCGAACCATCTGTTGTCGAGCTCTGCGTTGGAGAAATTGTCAACAAGCTCAACAAGCTGGTGTTATCGCCTCCAACTCCGACAGCGGGAACTGATCCATCCTCGGTGCCCTTCCTTGTGGGGGTTACAAACGGATCAATTCCTGTCACTGTCTGTGTGAAGGCCTGTCTTTTCTTTGGGGAGCCTTTCGTGACCGTGAGTAGTTCGTTGATCACGTAGCGCTTTTGTGCCTCGTTTGCGTGTCGTATTACATGGTGTTTCCTGAGACATAGTCAATCATAGTCCTCCCCCTGGTACATTGAAGGATACAAACATATGAATCGGCCCGGCCGAAACCACGCTTGCCAAGACGAGGAATAAGAAGTGAAGGAGGGCGGGTTGCATATTTCCACCGCGATGTTTCCAAGCCAGCTCAGTGCCAAATTGTCCTTTGAACGATGCAATAGCTGTAAGAAGTCCTGACTGTTGAAGTGTGCGCCCGCGCGGAATGGAATCAGAATTCACCGCGAAAAGAAACGCGAAGACACAATGAGAGACAAGCCTTTTGATAGGCGACCCGATCGCAAGGGCTCAATGCTCACGGGGTCATGTTGCATTATATATGAAAGACTGCAGTGGGACTGGCATTGCCTCCGCCATGGGCGGTTACAGACTGCTCCGCAGCTATCAAAGGCAATTGAAACAGGTCTGTTCTGGGCGGCGAAACATACGATGCAAACCGCAATGACACCGAGCTCGAACTGGCCTTTGTCGGAGACACAGAGAGGACAGGAGGGTGGTTGGTGAGGAGGAATTTTGCACAAGTAGAGCGACAAAGTTGGCGCGCGAGGGAGTCGTGCCAAGATCCGATATTCGAACGGCATTGATTGGCTGAGCCTCGTCGACGGAGAGTCATGAGGCCAGCCTCGTGCCATCGCGTTCGTGCGCAGCCGCCGCACCCCCTGGTCCGTTTCATCTGCACCGTCCCCGTTTCGTTTCGTCCGGCACCGGATCAGGCTGCTTCAGAATCGCGTTTTAGGGCGGGTTCCGGGGTCCGACCGCCACCATCTAGTACAGCGTCCTCTTTTCCCGGATCTCTTCAAAGGACTGGATCTGATCGCCCACTTGAAAATCTTCCCAGTTTTCAAATCCCATGCCGCATTCGGAGCCTTTGCGCATCTCTGTTACGTCCTTTTTGATGTTTTTGAAAGAGGTGAGCGTGCCTACAGTCTGTTAGCACGGTTTGAAACCCAACTTCTCCACAAATGTACTTACCGGTGTACACCACTTCGCCGTTCCTCAACACTCGAACCTTCTCTGACCGCCGTATGGTCCCATTAGTCACGCGACATCCCGCGATCTTTAGCGTTCCCTTCTTGATACTGATGTCAAATATCTCTCCGACCTCGGCCTCTCCCAACACCCTTTGGGTGACAATGGGTGGTAGCTCTGCGCCCATTTTTTCTTTGACGTCGTCGGTGACCTTGTAGATGATGTTGTGGTCAAGGATCTGAAGCCGAGCCGCCTCCGCGAGGCGCCGTATCGAAGCGTCGACTGGCTGGTGGAATGAAATCGCATAGCCAACTTCACCAGTTGCGGCAAGAAGCTTGATGTCGGACTCGGTCAGCGCACCAGTGCCGCTATGAATGACATTCGCCACGATCTCATTGTTGCCAATTGCACTGACGGCGGCAACAAGAGCCTCGGTACTGCCAGCAACATCGGCTTTGATGACAAAGTGGACCTGTCGAGGACCCGAATGTTCTTTCTCCACCCAGCCCTCGTTGTCCTTGGGACGTCTGCTTGCTCTCATTGACGTGTATCCCTGTTCCTTCTCCCAGTCCAGTACCTTGGCACGAGCCTCGGCTTCCTCTGTGCGAACAGTGTTGATCGCAGTCATGTCTTCAATAGCCCGAGCATTTTCTTCTCTCTCTTGCCGAACGCCTACTGCTTCTTTAGCTCGTTGCTCACTCTCAGCTTGAAGAACCTCATCACCGGCCATCGGATCTCCACCCCGCCACCCATCGATCTGAACAGGCGTGCCCGGAGGCGCTTCACTGATCAACTTGCCCGAATCGTTCCGAAGAGTACGTACTCGTGCCCAGGTAGTGCCAGCGACGATGAAGTCGCCAGGTCTCAGTGTGCCACGACGCACCAACACGGTTGCAACACGACCAGATGAACCAACTTTGCTTTCAATAATCCAGCCTTCGGCTTGACCGTCGGTCTCGGCTCGAAAATCGGCCACATCGGCCAAGGTCAGTATTGCTTCTTCCAACTCAGCCATCCCCTGGCCCGTCTTCCCACTGACGGGAATAGCTTGGTACTCGCCACCAAAGTCCTCGACAATAATGTCATGACGCGAGAGATCCTGCTTCACCCGGTCAATGTTGGCATCTTCCTTGTCAACCTTATTGATTGCCACAATGACCTGGACCTTAGCCTCAAGAGCATGTTTGATGGCTTCAATCGTTTGAGCCTTGACGCTGTCGTCGGCGGCCACCACCAGGACGACAATATCTGTGACGTTGGCGCCTCGTCGCCGCATGTCTAAGAACGCGGCGTGACCAGGTGTGTCCAGGAAGGTGATGTTTCGTTCGGATCCTGGCATCACAACAGAAAATGCTCCAATATGCTGGGTGATACCTCCATGTTCTGATGCGACTACGCTTGACCTTCTAAAGTAATCCAGGATCGTAGTTTTGCCATGATCGACATGACCCATGATTGTGACGATTGGTGGCCGGGGTGGTAGCAAGGACACATCTTCTGCCGGAGGCCGGGCAACCAAATCACGGGACTCGTCAACGGTGCTCATGATGGGCTCGAAGCCGTAGATCTCGGCAAACATGGCGGAAGTTCCAGCATCTAGAATGTGATCATAGCGAGCGCCTTCAAAGCCTTCCTCCTCCAGCTTGTCCAGAAAGTCCTGTAGTCTGACCTTGAGGCCTTGAGCTAGCTTTTCGACACTGATAAACTCCGGGAGTCGAATCTCGGGTCGCGCTTGTGCCCGAGGCGCCGCTTTCGCTTGTTTGCCCTTGTTTTTCTTCCGTCTTGGATTTGTTTCGTCAAGGAGTTCGTCCACCATATCTGGGTCCAATTCAACTGTTCTCTGCCTTTGAAACGGTCTGCTCCTCCGAGCCGGAGAACTAACCGTAGACGAGGGTTGAAATGGCTCTTCAGCTTCGACATCGTAGACTCTGCCTCTTCTAGAACGGTCTTTATCCGCCACTGTTCTGCGGGTGTACCAGTCTTCTTCCGCGCCTACCAGGAGCTCAGATGCAGCAGGGCCAACAGCCTCATCGTCTGCCACACCCGAAAACCGAGGGACACGGTCGGTCCCGTTCAGTTCGGCCATACGACCATCTCTGGATGACGCAGAGGTTGGTCCTCTTCCGGCCCCTCTCTCATACGCAGTTCGCTGCTGGAAATCCGGACGGGAATCTCGAAAATCCGACCGCACCCTTGTCGAGTCTCGTCCAGAAGGCATCTCGCGACGCGCAGGCCTAAGAGTGCGGCCGAGTCGGGCCTCACTCGGGGCAACGCCAGTCATAGAATCGTTTGCAAATGATGAAGCGAGATTGTAATTTGCTGATGGCCTTCTCGAATGACCGTTGACGCCGGCCTCATTTTCTGCGGAATGTCGTCCATTTCTCCGGTCATTTTCGACACGTGAGCCTTGCTGGTCGGCTATCGATGAGGTTCCCGTGAAACCTCCAATCCCTGCTCCTGGACCTTGTTGCGTTTGAGAGGCGCGCGGGCTGCTGAACCTGATGCGCGGTCCCTCAAAGGGCGCTGGGGCTTCGCGCTGCTGTCTGGAATTAGACGGATATCTCGCGAATCTCTCTTTCCTGGAGTTAAACTCCGAATCTGTGCGGTCTTTTCGTGGAAAAGGCCTTTGTTCTCGTGAAGTATCTGACTGATAAGGCGTGAAAGGAACGTTGGCTTGGCCAAGTATTGTTCTGGAATCGGATCGTGGACGAAAGGCTGATCTTGTAGGAGGGGCGAGCTGCTCCCGCTGGGTAGGGGCAGAGGCCGCGTTTCGTTTCGCAGAGTTGGAAGAGGCAAGTGTTGAGGGGCCGGGCGTCGGAGGAGGCGTAGGAGTATGCGACTCGGATTGAGTCTTGCCCCCCTGATAGACAAGCTCGGCACTTTGTAGACGCGGGCTTGTACATATCGTACACTCCGCTCTATGAGGCGCGTTCACGTGGCTGCAACGACATCTCCACCCGAGCAGCTCTCTCTTGTAGGGAGCTGCTGTAGCGGGTTGAGAGAAGTGATCCTCATCCTCCTCCAAACGTGCAGCCGCTGCTCCCGCGGGCCGGCGTGAGGGTGTGGTAGATCTGTAGAGGCGACGCTGCGAACTAATAGGGCTGGCAGCCCGAGATTCGATGCCATGTCTAAAAGCGCAGAAGAGGCAGATGTCTTGTCCTTGCAGAAGCTGGGTTGATCATTAGTCTCCCTGCAAGCCAGAGAATGGGGGAAAGAGTAACATACTCTGCTAGTCACTGCCCTCCGCATACTGTCTCTCGACTATGTCGGGCTTATTGACGATAGCTCGATTTTTCTTCTCTTCGACGTCGGAGAGAACTGGGTGCCAGCAGGGCTTCGATTCTGTATGTATTCCGCATCTGCTACTTTTTCTGCCGGGCGGAGGGTGCGGTGATACACAGAACCACAGGTGTAGTTGATGAAGGACTACGGTGGATGTAACAAGCCGATATGCATATTCTTCAAATGACCAGCCAATGAGTGTCATGCGGGCTTACCCGCGACAGTACTGTGGTCAACAAATTGCGTGCCGCCCGCATATGCTGATTCTGATAATTTAGTTTTGCTCCATTGACGGAATGAATCGAAGCCTCTTAAAAGTGTCCAGTTGAGTTGTGGTGAGAATAAGGTCGCGGTAGCATATTCAGAAATGGCCGACAGTGCTGAGGCAGTTGAGGCGGACATCGCTGCAAACGCCAGCTGGGCCAGAACGGCAAAGGATTTGTTTTCGGGCGCTGCTGGTGGTGTGGCACAGGTGTTATTAGGTGAGTTTTAAGTTGTGATACTAGCCGGGCTTCAAAGAGCTCGCCAGATGCCACGCAAGTATCTTTCGGCGAACTACATCTTTGAGAAACAGGGCGGTTGACTGTAAGCTGACTGATGTGTAGGTCAACCATTTGGTAAGCAATAAGATACGCTGCGGCGAGACGTCAGGCTCACTGCATTAGATATCGTCAAGGTACGACTACAAACCTCGTCGAAGTATCCCACCGCCCTCTCATGCGCAAGATCTATCTTGCAAAACGAGGGGCCTCTAGCATTCTATAAGGGGACGCTCACTCCTCTCATCGGCATTGGGGCATGTGTGTCCGTCCAGTTCGGAGCATTTCATTACGCCCGCCGTGCTTTTGAGGAACAAAACCTCAAAGCTAATCCTACGGGACCTGCTGGGTTGTCATACGGCCAATATTACCTGGCTGGTGCCTTCGCAGGTCTCACCAACTCTGTACTTTCAGGGCCTATTGAGCACGTCAGAATCAGACTGCAAACGCAACCCCATGGGGCGAACCGTCTATACAGTGGACCTGTCGATTGTGTTAAAAAGCTTTCCTCCCATGAAGGTATCCTCCGAGGTCTCTACCGGGGTCAGGTTGTCACGCTGTGGCGTGAGGCTCAAGCATACGGCGTCTGGTTTCTGACATTTGAGTATCTCATGGCACGAGATATGGAACGAAACAATGTCAAACGATCCGATATCTCGTCATACAAGGTTGCATTCTACGGCGGACTGGCTGGTGAGGCACTGTGGATTGCCAGCTATCCTTTTGATGTGGTCAAGAGCAAAATGCAAAGCGATGGTTTCGGAAAGGACCAGACATTCAAGTCCATGCGAGACTGTTTTGCACAAACGTGGAAGGCGGAAGGAATGAGAGGATTCTGGAAAGGTATCGGTCCGACCATGTTCAGGGCAATGCCTGTTAGTGCAGGGACATTTGCAGTGTAGGTGGTCGTTTTCTTGACAGGTCTGGTCATTGCTAATGTTGAACTACAGGGTTGAATTGACGATGCGTGCATTAGGATAGGCGGGTATGGTTGTATGTGGTTGCTCTGAATTTTGGCTGGCTACAGGCTTACGCCTCTGCTAGTCTAGACACACCAAGGAGCACAGGGAGAGTGATGGGGAGCCACTTTGTCCGAGGGCACCACTGTCGGTGCCAAACCCTAGATCCATCGACACAAAAATAGCTGCTGAATGTGAAGCACTTCGTCTCCATGCAGTCTCGTGATAACACTATCTACAATCGGTAGTGCAGAGCATATCCCTGATTCAACGTGATTTCACCTGTAAGGAGCATCTGCTCTTGCAACCGCCGCTAGCTCAGGCTCCCACTTATCACCATTGGCAAGTAACTTTTCCTTGTTGTACAAGAGCTCCTCCCGGTATTCTGTCGCATATTCTGCATTTGGCGTCTCAACAATGGCGTCGACAGGGCAGCTCTCCTGGCAGAGACCACAATAGATGCACTTTGTCATATCAATATCATAGCGAGTGGTTCTCCTCGATCCGTCTTCTCTCTCTTCGGCCTCAATCGTGATCGCCAAAGCCGGGCAGATAGCTTCACAGAGCTTGCAGGCAATACATCTCTCTTCGCCAGAAGGATACCGCCTTAGGGCGTGCTCGCCTCGAAACCGTGGGGAAATAGGGCCCTTTTCGAAAGGATAATAAATCGTGTAGCTGCACAACGCACATTAGCATGTCACTAGATGAAAGCCAGGTCCCAATCCTCCAATCTATGAGACGTACGGTGGTCTGAAGAATTGTTCCAACACGACATACATGCCGCGAAACATCTCAGTAAGAAGGAAATAGTTGCTTGCTTTGTCGATCACATTCTCGTTTTCGTAAAACCGCTTTGGTCTAGGTAGTCTGTACCCTTGCGGAGGAGGGCCTGCCGGCAACGCACCGCGAGGCCTTGAGGTGTGAAACTGAGCTGTGGCGCGCAGGAAAGGTGATCGTTCAAGTTGCCGCAATGCCGCAGAAGCTGTCAGCTGTCCCGCGACCAGCCGCGATGCTGGATGGAGAGACGATGCCATCGCCTGTGCGAGTTGCAAACCGAGTTTTGACAATGAGTGGCGAGCGCAAAGACAAGACAAGAGGTCAATTGAGTTGGAGATGTATATCCATGAGAGAATCGCAGCCGTCAGTCCAATTGATGCCGATGTGATTGGTCGACCGAGTCACGTGCATGCCCGAGCTCCGACACAGCTTTGGGGCCCTTTCATCTAAGATCCAATTCATCTGCTCGAAGCATTTGACATCAGAATTTCGAAATCACTTCATCCCAAGGCCACGCCACCTCATTCACTCCTCACGATCCCTCATATTATCTCTTCTGGTCGTCAACATGTTCCGTGCGGGTGCTGTGAGAGCGCTCTATGCTGCCACAAGGACCCAGGTCCCCCGGCAATTACCTGCCTTCCGAACTCAAATCTCTGCCTCTCTCCTCCGATCATCTCTGGTCGCGCCCTCAGTCGTCGTCCCCAGCATAAGATGCTATTCCGCGCCTTCTGGTCTTTCGAAAGAGGAGGTGCAAGGCCGAATAATGGATTTGTTGAAGAACTTTGACAAGGTGCGCATGAAGAAACATTTCTATTCAGGATTCATACTAACGATCGAGAAGGTCTCCGACGCATCAAAGGTACTTGGTCCTTAAATGAGAGTTCCATTTCCTTATCTAACAACGCAATTTAGATCACCGGCACCTCCCACTTCCAGAATGATCTTGGATTGGATAGCTTGGATACCGTGGAGGTTGTCATGGCTATCGAGGAAGAGTTCAGCATCGAGATTCCAGACAAGGAGGCAGATGCCATCCACAGCGGTATGAACATGTCGACGAACTTTGCGACAAGATCTGACAATTTGCAGTTGATCAAGCTGTCGCATACATCTCCTCGCAACCGGATGCCCACTGATGGGAATACTTTGGCGGCGAAGGGCGTAGACGTGGGTCAAGAGCAAAATCGACATTGTACATTTTCCTGGCCTGCGGAAATGGATCGCAATTGTATTATCATCACCCAATATTAGATCTACACGATCTCCACGATGGTCTTTGGTCACACCTGTGTCCGGTCTGCTTTGTCGCTTGGCCTTTAGATTTTGTCATGAACCACTCGTCCAGCTCATCCTTCTATTTCTGTTTCCCTGTGTCTAACATATGCGAATGATCAGCATGCCAGTCTTGTTAGGCAGCGCCAGATCTTCTCTCATTTCAATGCTTCGGAAGATTTATAACCAAACTCTGCCAGGATTTCAACGGTGTGTTCGCCCTACGGCAGTGGCTTTTATCTTCACATTCATGGCAGGCCCGTCGAATGTGACCGCCAGTCCAATCTGCGACACCGGCCCTCGCCGCCTCCAAATCCTTGAAGTCATTTACCATCTCTTTCGGTCTGCGGATGCCTCATGGCGTCAGCGACATTTATGGCTTGGGCCGTACAGCAGCCAGTCCCTTCTATATTCACCAAACACTCGTCCTCTGTCTTTTGACGAAAATTTCCTGCAGAACGACATTCATACTGTCCCATGTGCTTTTTTCGCCCGTCACCTCCCACTCGTCCAATACCTAGCCGTGTACGGAACCCATTCAACTGCCGAGTAATGTTGGCGGCGATGAAGAGCATATTTTTGTCTTTTGCCTGAACCCCTCCATAGCGCGCGAGACTGGGATGCCCCGTGCAAAGCTCGGCGACAGCGTCTCCAAACTTGGTCTCCTGTGACATGCACCAGCCTAACCTTTGAGAGTGCGACGGCGGCGAGAGCATGACTCGGCGAGTAGACAATATGAATACTAGGCTTCTTTCTACCAGAATCCACGACGGCAAGCCAGGCTTCTAATTCCTCGTCTACCACCAGCATACTTGCGGTAGTCCTGTCAGCAGGGACAACAGCACAAAGGCAGAGATGTCATCAGCCTGCTTTTGCCATCAGGCAGAAATGACCCACGAAAATATGAAGGACTCCATGCTATTTGTTGTGCATAGTCGATGACTTATGCTGTTGGTTGCACAGCCTTGCAGAAATAGTGCTGCGCCTCGCTGCGCCACACCACACCTACACCTGATCATCCCTCCTCGCCTGGTTGTTGCCCAATTCCTCGGGTTCAATGAGGATTCTGGCTGGCTTGGACCAATCGGGAAATCTTCTAGACGTCGACCAGCTCGTATTGCCCTCGGCCATATCCTACCGCTAGGCTGTGAAGACGTACCATCGGTGGCCGGCAGACACGACGCCCCAGGAACAACGCGGCGACATGCGCCTCCATACCCAGACCATACATCATTTGCCTCCAGACTCTCTGGGGTGCGAGTAAGTATATATAAAGTCATGAGTTCCTCGCCTGTGCAAAACTCCTTATCCATACAAGCCTTCCATACTTCAGTGTCAATTGCTACTGCGCACAGGCATATCTACGAGATATTGAGCTTTCAAATCACAGCATCACCTATTGTCTTCAGCCAACCTCATCCAAATCACCAGTGTCACCAACCTCAAAATGTCTGGTCCATATGATCAATATTCCACCAACTCACAAGGTCCCCATCATCAATACCCAGCCTACGACCAGCCCAGCTACTACCCCAGCGAAGGCTACGCTCCTCAATCCTACCAGCAACAAGGGTACCAACAACAGCAGTACTACCCCGATACCAGATCTCCGCAGGAACAGTACTCTTATACGCCCCAAGCTGGTAACGCTGACTACTACCGTGGCAACGGCTCCGGAGCTGGCATCCAATCCCACAGTCAGCAGCAAGGACCCGTGACCGGATCTGAATCCGACCGCGGCCTGTTGGGTGCAGTGGGCGGCGGTGCCGCGGGCGCCTGGGGCGGGCACAAAGCCGGCCACGGCGTGCTGGGGGCCTTGGGCGGCGCCATCTTGGGCTCCCTAGCGGAAGACTATGCGAAGAAACATAGTAAGAAAAACCAGCACACCTCGAAGCCACCTAAACATCAGACCAATTCCTCTTATGGGAGATCCTCGAGCCCCAGATTGAGCAGCGCCAGCACCGCAGCTTACCCGAACGACTTCGGAAGCGTGGCGAGCAGTTTCTTCCACCACAAGAAATAGATCTTGACTGGATCGGTTGTTCAGCACGTATCGACAAGCGAGGAGTTTTGAGAGCCTCCCCTGTACTCTCTGGCAGAGTCTATCCTGACTTCTTTGCAGCTGGCGTTGGGTGGGAAGGCGGGACTCTCACTGTTCGGACGAATATGGTGGTAAAGGCGTTTGCAAGGCTTAGGGAATTCTGGGGGTGTTAAGGAATGGGGTGATAAATTTCCGAGACCATATTCTGTATACAATACTAGCATGTTCGCCTACAGCCTATGAAAGGGTCCATTGCTCAATGGAGATTTCCACGTTTTCTATATGCACTTCAAATAGAGGGAAGGAAGATATATCATGATAGTAAGCCGCTAGCATCATCATTCTGAATTCATCACTCAATTCACTCTCCCTGTCTTACCACTCCAATACCGACATCAATTGTGTACCGACAGGTTCTACGCTGTCCCCCATCTTTCAGTGCTATATACTCCCATCACATCCAGCTGTCCCTGCAATACTCATGTCTAAGCTTTGAGATATTTCTTGAAAGTAGGGTTGGCGTCGGCCGGCATATGCAGGGCGAGCATCGTATGCTTGTACATCTTGGAACGTCAACTCAGTCAGACCCCGACCTGCACTGCCTCCCCAGAGAGGAAGTACCACGAGAGTGACTCACCTGGCCGGCCGTGACATTGTTCGACTCGATCTTAGTATCCTTGCCGACGAGTTCGGGTAACGGCTGGCATGGCAGATCGGGTTAGCTATCACAGCTGCCCTCGGCGCAAAGACGAACCAAGAAAACAAGAACACTCCCGAAAAGATATACACAAGAACCCCAAAGAACTTTACTATGTCAAATAAGTCACATACGTCAATCACGGCCTCCCAGTTCGCCGAGAAGAAAAAGGGGACCGAAATCCTTTCTTCGCCCGTGTGGTTGATCACGCGGTGTTTGGTCGAGATGTACAGGTTGTTCGTGAGCCTATCGGTGATATTCGAGGGTCAGGAAGGAGACTGGTACAGACACGTCTCGTTTCTCGTGGTGACTGGCGTTGGGGTTGTCGTTACGCACCTTTGCAGTTGGTCGCCGACATTCACGATGAACGTGCCGTCAATGGGCGGCGCAGAGATCCATTGCCCGTCCCGGTTGAGAACTTCCAGCGCTCGCACCTTTCCTGGCGCCAGGAGTGTTAGAACTGCCCAAGTTGTCAGTGACCGCTGGTACGGCGAGCGTGTCGAGTCGAAACAATACAAAAAGGGGGGAGTGAAAGGGGAAAGGGACGAAAAGAGTCTATGACTCGGAAATGGTATGCATCAAGTCCCTAAAGTACTGAGTGTTGCTCATGCATGTACGTATGCTTACTTACATTCGTTGTCGGTATGAGGGTCAAGGCCCAACTTGGTACTGCCTGATTCCAGGGGCGGATAGTGCGCCACAACGGCCGAGCAGCCCGGATGGGTGAGATAGTCGTCGAACAAGTCTTCCGGTAGACCCAGAGACAGGGCAATGTTGCGGGCCAGTACACGGCCCAGCGACCGGAGCGCTCCGAAGTAGGCGGACAAATGGTCCTCGAAGCCTGGCAATTGACGTGGCCATACATTGTGGCCTTGCATAAAAGGGTCCATGCAGTCGTAGCCCGCGTCGTCGTTTAATTTGCTGTCGAGGCCCCAGTCGAACGCTTCGTTCGCGTCTGCTCGTCATAGAGAAACAGGCTATATGTCAGTCACGGAAAAGAAAAAGGCAGAGCCGAAACGGCCACGACTTCAGGTTGAAATCCCCAAACCAGGTAATTAACCAAAACCCCTAGGGGCTTCAATAAAAGACACTGTACAGGTGGCCAAACGGAACCGAACAAAACTCACTCGCCAGCCCGTCGACGTCCGGTTTACCGCTCCCATAGAGGGGCGTGTATCCGCGGTAGTTGCCCTGGTTATTGATGAAGAGCTCCATCTTGTCTTCGAACGGCAGCGCAAAGAACTGCTCCGCCCATTCGAACGTCTTGTCGATTATGTCCTGTGGAACGCCGTGCCCTTTGGCGTAGAAGAAGCCCACGCGAACACATGCATCTCGAATCTGTCCCGCAACGCGCATGCGCTCGTTGATATCGCTCGAATGAATCCCCGAGATATCGATGATGGGGATGTCCTCGAATTTCCCGGCGATCGCGCTTCGCGATTTCTCCTCCGCTCCGAAGTGTCCGTTGGCTTTGTTCTGGTCGCCCCAGACCGCAATCTTCTGTCCCTTGTACCACATGTTTCATGTGATGCTATCCTCGTTCTTCGACAACAAGGAATCAGTCCATGTTTAGCTGGATCGACAGTCGTATATAGACAGACCAGGTACATTCAACCTCCACCAAGGGAGGGTGGCGTTCTCCGTGAGGCTGTATCTTACCAACATGTCCTTATCAGCCTATCAACTGACCCTTTCTTCTCCAAGTTCGCGTAGGCTGTATGAGAAACGTCTGAGAAGTGGTCTCATTTGTTGTTTCTCGTATCGTCTTGCGCGCTACTGCTACCTGTCCCATCTCAGTCCCTAATGATTAGTGATGAGCCGGTCTAGATGGTCAGCGGGCTCTCTCAGAATTGATAGTGTCACAGCATGAATAATGAACTCGATAGTGAATGTGCTCATCTGGGTTGGAAGCATCTTATCATTGATTCGGTTCCCTCCCGGGGCGAGTTCGCTTCGATCGAAGGCACCCGAGACTCATCGGGTCTATCCACAAAATTGACGCTTGAGACTGGCCGTATTGCTGGAGAGGCGTCTGCTAATCATTTCAAGACCTTCAAGTCGCTCTCCTTCAGCTTTCCTGCACCGACCAACTCTCCAGTCGTCCCACTGAAGATCTCCTTCACTTTTCCAGCATCTTTACCAGCAACATTGAGCTTCGAAACCAGGTCAGCCAACTGGTCCGGGTCAATGTTGCCCAGGACTTTATCAACATCATCCAGGACATCGTCAACTTGTTTAGGACTCGCTTCGCCGCCTTCAGCAAAATAGTTGACATCCTTAACGCTGCCTTTAACGACACGCTTGTTCTTCTTGACGGCGTTCTTGGCGGCTTCTTTGGCTTTCTTGCTCTGCTCCTTTTCTGCTTTCAGTCTCTCGCCATCTTCTTTCTGCTTCCGTTCCTCTTCCTCCTTCGCCTTTGCCTTCTCCTCAGCCTCGCGCTTGGCAGCTGCTTCTTTCTCAAGTCGGCGCTTGTTCTTGTCGGCATTGGCCTGTTGGCGGAACTTTTTGATGCGCTCATCGTAGCTCAAGCAATCGTCGACCAACTTGCGAAGTCGGGCGATATCCTCGGACTTGCGCTTGCGACGAGCATTGGCATTTTTCTTCTCAATATGGCGCTTGTGATCACGACCTTCATTATCATCCGGCACATCCTCATCGAGGTATTCAAACGTGCGCCATGAGTCGAAATTGTACCAGAAATCGTAGAATTCCTCCACCTCCTCTTTCGTGCTGTTCGCATCGCCTAGCATTGGCACCGGGGTTTTCTTGCTGAACCGTGCCTCACTCTCGAAAACGGCACTCCACTTCTTGTAGAAAGCACTGGGCTTTTGCAGGTCTTTCTTAGTCGGAGGAGGAACATCGGCGGCCTCGTCGACAGAGTCGAATTGACGGCGCTTAACTGGGTCTGTGAGAATCTCGTGGGCACGTTGGATACACTTGAAGAAAGAGTCGTTCTCATCATCCTGACCAGCAGCAGCCTTCTTGTCTGGATGGTGTTTGAGCACCTTCTTCCGGTGAGCCTTCTTGATCTGCTCATCGGTGGCTTTGTACCGGTATTTCGAGAGGCCGAGGACTGCATAATGATCTTGTCCCTGTACAAGCATGTTAGCGCGATGATGCAACGCATATATTTCAGGACTGTCCCACCTTCCAATCTTTGGCATCACGAGCCAGCATCAAAGGATCCTCGGGCTCACTGATCTCGCCGTCATCATCGTCTTCCGACTTCTTGACTTTAGATAGAGCCTGTATCCGGTCATCTTCAGAGAATGTACGACCATGGCGCTTGCGACGGGCATAGGCAAGGAACTGGGCTCCGAAGGGCTCAATCTTGCGCATCACGGGAGGCGACAGCTTCCCTAGTGTTCGGAAGTTGGGGTTCGCATCGCTGTGACCCTTCCAGTCCGCAGACGGAGGGGAAATGATCTCGACCTGAGCCATGTTTACGTTTCGAGGGAGAAAAATAAAAACCGGACTGTCAGGACTCTTAGAAACAGTGTGGCAGAAGAATTGCCCTTTGAAAGGTCAAAAAAATACTTTAGCACCAATGTCGGGACGGAAAAACACACCTTCCGGGTCCCACTTGGACTGAATCCTTGAACGCTGACTGGCTGTTAGTCGCCTACCTCGCCTGACCTACCTGAACAGACGAACTCACCATGGTGTAGGTTGGATGTGAATGTTGGTGTTGGCTAAGGAGGAAGCAAACAAATGGAGTGAACGTGCGACTCACATAAGTCAAGTACAAGTGAGCACAAATCTACTGAGTGCACAGCTGAATTGTGTTGCGCTGTTAGTCCTTCCTTTTGTGATCACGGCGACTCTCCTGCACTACAGGCACCAGGACAATTCCATCATGGCATTGGCGGCCTACAGACATCTTTTGCGAGCCACCCGCATTGCCTTCCACGGCGACGACCATCTCCTACATGCTGCAAGGACTCAAGCACGCTCCGGGTTCGAAACCCTCAGCTCATTAGACCCATCATCAGAAGAGGCGCAGAAGGGGATTGAACATGCAGAAGGGGTGGCATCAATACTGAGACACAATATTGTGCAGGGGAAGCAGGTGGAGGGTTCCGATCTACTACGTAAAAAAGTTCCTTGACATTGTTTGGGGTAATTAATTTGCTAACTACATGACAGGACTGAACATACATGAAGACATAGAGCGCGGCGACAACGATACAGTCAAGCATCCACTCGGCAAGGGAGGCAAAGTCAAGGTCCTGGGTGTATGACAGGCACAAAAGCAGTGTCCTCATTTTTCCTCATTGAACAACATGATACCCAGCGGTGGCAATTGAGGCCACACTACACCATCGGCATGCTCATGACGCCATGCTCAAAATGTACACAAACTGTTAATGACGAGTTTTGACCTCAATCTCCAGCCAGACTAGCATATGTGACCTCCCCTTGACCTGGTGGAGGTGCAACTGTAATAGTGGCACTCTCGCCTCGGTCTGTTCCTTCTGACTGAGTTTGACCGTCGCCGGCAGTTATCGCTCGACCACCAGACTGTGCCTCTTTGATCGCGGCTGCGGTCTGTCTTCCTTCTCTGGCCCATTCCAATCTCTGTTCCCGATCTGTGTTATCGAGTGGTTTTGGTTTACCCCATCTTACCCGCAAAGGGCAACCTTGAATGGCAGCTTTCCCTTGACAATGCGCGGCGGCTGCCTCAGCCCCCTCCCTGGTTGCATAATTGATGAAGGCACAATGGGCTCGGTGTGAGCAGACGATCGAACGGATCTGGCCAAAAGGCGCAAAGAATGTTCGGATGGCATGCTCGGGCAGGTCGTCCTCAACACCAGTGACGAACAACGAGGTGATTTTGGGGTCGGCTGGTGGGAGGTAGTCTTCTGGCTGAGGAGGTCTTGCGGCGCTAGCAACTACTCTTGCACCACCCTGCCCGGGTCGAGCGCCTCGCTGTGTGGTCCCTGTCTTTCGAGTATCCGCCGTTCGCACCGGGCCTGGTCCGTATCCATTTTGTTTCTGCTCGGCTGGTTTGTCCGCTCCCTCTGCTTCCAGGCGTCGTTGCTTCTTGTAGTATGGTTCACTGTTTGCCAACCTCCTTAGCAGATCTCTTGCTTTCTCGTCCGTTTTTTCATATGCCTCCACAGCGCCTCGACCCTCCTCCAATTCCCTTTCATGCTCTTGAGCATAGTATTCTCGGTTGATGGTTGACTGTGGGCCAGGAGCTACCATTTTAAGAGCAGCATCGCGCACAGTAATTGGTAGTCCAAAAGACAGGTCGAGCATACAGCACTGACAACAGTTCTTTAACCGCGCGCAGGTCAGACATATGTTTGTTCGCTTCGTCCTGGCGGTTCGATCGGCCTTCCAGCGGAACACAGTGAAGGGCCTGGTGCAGATTTTGCACTCGGCCCCATAGTCTTCCTTCAGCATCTGAACGTAAGGGTTATCAGGCAGGCAATTTTCGCAGCTGGAGGGGAAGTCGGTAGTTTCCCAACCGGAACGGTTGAGATCTTGTTTGATCTGGGGCGGCATGCTGGGCCGGAGAATAGAGGTACAAGTTGGAGGGAGCAGGTGGTGAGAGGATCTTGTTAAGTCAAGGGAGGGATATAAGCGACGTCGTGATGTTGATGATGAAATCTTATCGATCACGCCTGGCAAATGTCGAGGATTGCGAGGACATGGGGTTGTCAGCCATTCAGGGTTTTTGCCCACCCGACGTCAAAAGGGCAGGAGGCGCGGAAAGAAATCACGTGATAATACCCTCAAAAGCACAATCACGTGGAACCCTTCATGATCCGCACGTGAGATGGGAATTGCTGCAGGTCAGAGCGCAGTGATGCACCCCTGGCACTGCCAACTGTGGCGATCTGCCAGGTTCGAGAGTTCGATGGAGAAGCCCCTGCCAAGACCACTTTGGGGCTTTTCTGCGATTGGCCATGGCTTGTGGATGGGCTCCACCCGATGGCCGATGAAGCTCATGTCCCGAGTGTCGCCATATTTTTCTGGCGTGTACTTGTGGTGACCCAGTCCCTCGATACATTCCATCTTGAGGTTCAATTCTCGCCCTCGCCCATTCATTCCGCTCGTTCTTTTGTACTGCCTCGAACTCCTTTCCGCTCTTTAGTGACAATCAAGCTCTTGGGCTTCCACCGTGCGGCAATCCAGACCTTTCGTTTGACTCTTCGGGTGCACTTCCACAGACAACCCCTGGTCTCCAATATGGCCCCTTCCGCAACTTCACCAGTTTCAGTCCTCGAGACAGAGGATCATGCCCGCGATGCAGCCTTCAACAAAGCCCTCCATGGCAAATCAGCAGAGGCACGAGCTGGTTTGATGGCTCTACGCAAGAAGGACCAACAGGCGCAGAAACTGGCGGTCGACGAGTATTTCAAACATTGGGATAACAAGGCCGCCGCCACCGAGACGGAGGAAGATCGCAAGCAACGAAGAGACGAATACGCTACTCTGACCCGGCAGTATGTCTCAAGTTCTTTTCTCTTTCGTGGCAACCACTGACTGTTTGATCAGCTATTACAATCTAGCAACCGACCTCTATGAATATGGCTGGGGCGCTTCCTTTCACTTCTGTCGCTTCGCTGTCGGAGAAGCCTTTCACAAGGCAATTGCCCGTCACGAACATTATCTGGCATTGAAGATGAACTTGCAAGAAAATTCTCGAGTCTTGGACGTGGGTTGTGGTGTTGGTGGGCCGGCCCGGGAGATGATCAGATTCACCGGCGCCAACGTGGTCGGACTGAACAACAACGATTATCAGATAGAACGATCGCTGCGTTATGCTGAAAAGGAGGGTCTTGCCGATAAGTTCTCTGCCGTCAAAGGCGACTTTATGCAGATGTCGTTTCCGGCAAACAGCTTCGACGCAGTTTACGCCATTGAGGCTACTGTGCATGCTCCAAGTCTGCAGGGGGTTTACGAGCAGATATTCCGGGTGTTGAAGCCTGGCGGTGTGTTTGGAGTGTACGAATGGCTCATGACCGACAATTATGACAATGACAATCCACAGCACCGAGAAATTCGACTTGGAATCGAGCAGGGCGATGGTATCTCCAACATGGTCAAAGTCTCCGAGGGATTGGCTGCAATCAAGGCGGCTGGCTTCGAGCTCGAATACCACGAGGATCTTGCTGAGAGACCTGATGCCGTCCCCTGGTACTACCCGCTCGCGGGCGACTTCCGCTATCTGGGTACTCTTGGTGATTTGTTCACCATCAGTCGGATGACTTGGTGGGGACGAGGATTGATACACAAGTTGGTTGGAGTCGGAGAGAAGCTGAGAGTCATTCCCCCCGGTACACAAAAGACTGCGGACAGTCTCGCCCTTGCTGCAGACTCTCTCGTGGCCGGAGGAAAGCAGAAGCTGTTCACTCCAATGTACTTGATTATTGCCCGAAAGCCCGCCACAGCTTGAGAATGGGAGGATATGGCTTGACAACAAAGGGCGTTTGAAAAGGCAGCGGATACTAGTTCTCTAATGCTCTGTACGGAGTACATTTGTGGGTGTGGATGGCAATTCTGGTTCACGCTTTGGTAACATACAGGCAATGGCATCTTTGAGCTAGAAGAGAAAATACCATTGGCGCGCTGCCGCATCTGAGAGATAATACGGAGTACATACTCCCTGACAACGCAGGTGTGATAGTAGCAGATGTCAGTGCTAATTCCTTGCTCTTTTACGTGCTGTTGGTGATAGACCTGGAACTGAGCAGGTGTGAAACCTGAACCGTTTGGAATATGGCATGGGCATCGCTCGCCCGCAGGTTGGTACAGGCTGAAGATGTGAACCCCTATCCTAGTGCATACATGCCAGAGTGGCTGAAACTCACAGTGTCGATGGAGAGTGACTGCACACTGCACAGCCTAGTTTGGGCAACATCGAAGGTTGTGAATTCCCGTGGGGGCTGGCTACCTGAGGTACTCCGTACTTTTTCGCCTAAGCAGGGGCGCCTACGACTATACCAACTTGAATATAGTCTGCTTTAGGCTGTCTGGGCGCTTAACAATCAGGTATATTTAGGCAGTTGGCTGGCCAATGGACGCACTCAATACATGGCCCCCAGGCCATGGTTGGGAAGTGCCCAATAGTGGCTCTGTAGGGCGAATCTGCTTCCCACTCGCCGCACCGCCACAATCCCATTTCAAACCAAAATGCCGGTTTCCGACTGGCCCGGCTCTTCCAGGCTTCCCGGTTTCGCCAGTCTCTCAGCCGCCTTCTACGTATGTAATCTCTACCTGCGCCACTTGCCTTCGCTCCAAATCTCCAATGGAGCACTATGCGGGTACCTAGGTAGGGCTGCCCATCTGTGAAACTCTGAAACGTGCAAATAGAATCCATACTCCGTATATTAATACCAATAGCGATCCCGCAGCCTCGCTGCGCGTCTCTACCTGCTTACTTCCTTGTCCGCCCCTCGCCCACCGTCCCTTCCTCCAGTCTCTCACCTCCGCTCCCACGCAGTCTCGCAGTCTTCCACCATGGGCCGGCTCACCGGCGCTGTTCTGGGCGCAGCATGTCTGCTCACTTCCATCAGTCCCGCCATTGCGGCCACAGCACCTGGCACTGTGGGTTTCAACTTTGAAAAGCGCCGAGTGAATGCGCAGGAATTTCCGCGCCGCCTCTCCCGACGTGATTCTAACACCGTTACTGCCACTTTGGACAATGAGCTTCTTCTCTACTTGATCAATGTGACGGTCGGGACACCCGGTCAATCCATCTCCCTCCAAATCGACACTGGCTCCTCCGATATCTGGTTCCCGGCGGTCAACGCCGACATTTGCGAACAAGATAGCGAGACGTGCAGTCTCGGTACCTACGATTACAGCAAATCCTCAACCTACGCGGATCCAGGCATGCCTGAATTTCAAATCCAATATGTCGACGGCTCACAGATCGCCGGTGCATACATTTCCGATGTCTTGAACATTGGCAGCACGAAGCTTACGAACATGACCATGGCTGCTGCTTTGACTTCAAATTCAAGAGGACTTGGTATAATGGGCATTGGCTTTGACTCGGGCGAAGCGGCTAGCGAACTGAACGGGTTTCAGTATCCGAACGTCATCGACGTTTTAAAAAGTGAGGGTCACATCAACACGTTGTCTTATTCTTTGTGGCTGGATGACTTGGAGGCCAACACGGGCAGCATTCTCTTTGGTGGCGTCGACACAAGCAAATATCATGGTGACCTGGTTGCTCTTCCCATTCAGATAGATTCTCAGACCGGGGTTATCAGCTCCATGACCGTTGCTTGGACCGGACTCACTGCCACCGGTGGCGGCAAGACTTCTGACCTTTCACCATCGGCTCCCCAGCCAGCCATTCTAGACTCCGGGACCACTTTTCTCCTCCTCCCAGATGAGATTGCCAACAACATTTACAACGGAGTAGGGGTGTTGACAGATCCGTCCTACGGCAACGTTGTGCCTTGCTCTCTCGCCGATGACGACCTCACCTTCTCTTTCCAGTTCGGTGGCAAGGACGGACCCATCGTCAATGTGAGCTTGTCAGAGTTTGTGACGCCCTTGGTGACCACGGATGGATCTCAACCTAAGTTTCGCAACGGAGAAGAGGCATGCTCCTTTGCTGTGCAGGCGGCGGGCGACAACCCGATTCTGTTCGGTGACGCCTTTCTCAGGAGCGCATACGTTGTCTACGACTTGGAGAATCAAGAAATCGCCATTGCTCAGACCAACTTTGACGCCGGCAAGGCGAATATCCAAGCTTTCCAAGAAAGCAGCGGCGTTCCCAATGCTGTGTCAACAGCTTCGGCGGCGAGCGTGGCGCAGACTTTTACTGGCATCGCTCACGTTACCGAAGCTACAGCGACCGCTACTGGAGAGATCGCCGGCGCCTCTAGCAGGTCTGCTACTTTCAACCTCACGCCGACCACCAGTGGATCGAGCAGCACCAGCGCCACCGGAAAATCCAGCTCCAGCAGCAGTTCAGCGGCCAACCCCAACCTTCGCGCCTTCCCAATCGAGTCCGCCAGCGTTGTCGCTGGATGCGTTGTGGCAGTGGGATTTTTGTTCGGTGGAGGCCTGTTGATCCTGTAAACGGACAGACGGCCGGTGAACTGGCACCGGGCAGACGGCATGAGGCGGTTCTTGGACATGATTGCATTGCCTCGGTGCCAATAGATATGTGTTTCATGTGGATAAGAAGACCACCTGCATTGCTTTTGTGCATCTATAGTTGGCGGGTGTGGTTTGTATAAAAGAAGCATGTGTGCCACTACAGAGAATGGATAGGTAGATGGGCGTTTTGCTCACACGATATATAGAACCTGTGGCCTCGTGTAGACAGCCTGCATCTATACAGTGCACGAACAAACTCCACGAGTTCAATGTATCTTGCATATCTTTCAGCCGTGTCCTGAGTCTCACATGCATATACAGCCAGTCTTGGTAACATTCCACAGCCGAATGCGGCATCTGGCTAACCAACTTCCTTGTAACTGTGAACTCGTGCCGGATACAGGGAGGATGAAATCCACGACATGCAAAATGACTAGAGCTCTTGGCAGGGAAGTAAACAGGCAGGCGACCTTAGGTCGGTCATAAATGGTTCCAATTCTTGATCGTGATATAGCCAATATCGTACAATCATCCATCCATTTCCTTGACTCCCTGGCTTCGTTTCCCCCCTAAAGTGTATTCTGAACTCCCTTTCCTTCTTTCCCCATGGTGACATCTTCATATTGATAAACCGTACCCTGAGTCTCTAGTTCCCTAATTGCCTGATTTCCCGATCCTACTTTTCCCTATCCCCTCTCCCTTTCTCTTTCCCTTTTAGCCGGCTAAGTAATTGATCGCGAGGATAAAGGATGTATTCTCACTACGAGACTTTCAACACTCGCATCTCGACTCGTGCTGTTGACCCCTGACTCGTGGAAGGTGTCGAGCGGTGAATTAAGAAAGTGACAGGTTCTGGTTTTCTTCCCTGCCGTCCTTTCATTCATGAACCGTCTCAAGTGGCGAGTGTGGGAATTGAACATCCCCATCTCCATTCGTGTCTTCTGTGGACATCCACGTCCGAAGCCTAGCTCCACTCGATGCCGCGTCGCCGTCGCCATTGGTGTCTTCCATGCCCACCAAATTGTCCTCGGGGACACGCAGACCTAGCAGACGCTCGGCATTCTTGTACGCGATGTCCAGGAAATCCTGCTCGTTGATCATGTCGCTTTCGCGCAGCTGGGTCATAAACGCCAGGCCCTCGTCGTTGCTGCAAAAGGGGTAGTCGACGCTATACAGCACCTTGTCGGCACAGCACATGTGGATGAGGCAGGCCATTGGGGCGAGACTGAACATGCCGCTAGTCGTTATGTAGATGTTATGGTGCCAGACTTGCAGTAGGTGCCGCCTCGGACGAGCCGAAGCAGGCCATGTCCGTTGGATCAGCTTGTGCACTCGGTCCAGTGTGTACGGCAGCAGCTCGCCCATGTGGCCCAGTAAGAGTTTCAGGTGGGGGTGCTCGTCGAAGAGCTTCGATGCGAACAGTCGCAACACCCCCAGCGCCACCTCCGTTTGCCAGTTAAACCCATGGTTTTCGAGGAACGCCGACACTTGCGGTGCATAGTTCCCGTGGAATGGCGAGGATTCGCTCTGTGGGTGTGGTGACCCGTGCAGGTACACCGGGACGTCGAGACATTCGTGGGCGGCAAAGATGGGCCAGAAGTACGAGTCGTCATAGAAGCGGCCATCCACGGTGTTGTCGATCAGTGAGCCGACAAAGTCGAGCTCCGTGACGCACCGCTCCAGTTCCTTCGCCGAGTCTTCCGGGTATAACGTCGGCAGCATGGCGAAGGCGGCGAACCGGTTGGGCGACGGTGAGGAGTTGATCGCTTCGTGCAATTCATTGTTTGCTGCACGGCAGACATCGGGAGGCAGGGGGATCGCGTTCGGTCGGTGTGAGATGACTTGGATGCTGACCCGGCCCGAGTCCATCGACTGCAGGCGTCGAGGCCCGACCTCACACAGGGCGTTCATGATATTCTTGTGCGATTCCGGTATTGTCTGCTCCAGGCCTTGCCGGGCGTAGAAGTCCAGGACGGCCTGGGAGACGAAATGCTCCTCGAGAGTGATCAAGGGGATTATATCGGCCATTTTGGAGAATTTCGTCCAACGCTCGATTGATAAGTCGACAACGAATACAGTCCGCCTTTGCTCAGCGATGAACAGTGTGCGCTCTAAACCTGACTGCGGGTTTTAGTTCTGCGGAACCAGATAATGGGCACAGCCAAGACACCTGCTTAGGTTCACGTTGTCGTGGTCGCGGGACACTTCAAGATGCCCAGATGGAGGTCGCTCATGGGCTTATGAATAATGAAGGGGAAACCGTCGCAGGAGTTTCGCCGAAGGACTAGGAGGGAAGCAGTCTGTGGTCGTCAGCGCGTCTCCAACCGGAGGGCTGAATCGGGTGAGCACAAGAGATGGGGTTGTTGGATGTTGATAGACCAATGAAGAGTGCCTACCATGCTTCTGACAGGGGGTACAGTGAGAGTCAAGCTGCGGAGGTGGCGACGCGATCAGCGAGTGGTCTGATCTGGGCGAGCCGCTATCTGGCATTTGGTATAACTGATGGCCCGGCTGATTGGAAGCGGAAGCAGAAGCAGGATGGCTCTGGGGCAAGAAGCGAACTGGCGTTGGGGAGAATACCATACTCTGCTGCACGGCCATTGACGAGGGAGCACAGTTCGGGTGAGCATCCTGCATGACTGCAGCTGGAGGCGCTAGAGGTGGCGCTGGCCAGCATGTAATGCTGTCGCGGTCGACCTGACATTTCCAGCGATGGATTGATTGAAAAAAAGATGAGACGCCCCTAAGGCGTCCGTCGAGGTTGAGATAGACGTATGGTTCCTGTTGTCTATACGGAGTACTTTTAGTAGTTGTACTCCGTACCTAGTAACTCTACTACCCACACTACTTTGGAGGCCGAGCAGATCGCAGGCGCAGTCACGGGGGTGCTCCGTACAGAGGCATCAATTGACATTATTGGCCGCATCCCTGAGTCAGGTCTTGGCATCACCCTCGCAGGCGGCGGGCCTCACTGGCAGGCTTGACAGTCTCCCTGGCTCTCGATGCCCTGTCTCTGTGGTGCAATCAAGATACGTGTACGGATGGTTCTTCGACTAGTAATTCACCATACTAGTCCGGGAGCAGACACAGATGCATGTCCTTAGGCCACAGCCTCAGATGCCCCCATCATCTCAATCCCACGCCTAACCCTCAATCACACATTATTATCGTTGCCAGTCGTTCATTCAGCCCCAATTGTCCAGCAAATACCCGCTCCCCATCGAGCCACAGCCCCCCGAACGCGCCCTACACAACACCGCGTGCCTTCAAAAAGCTAGGCACGAGACTTAGCAACGTTCCTCGCCGGCCGTCCGTTATCCTCATCCTTCGGTCCCCACCGCCTATTTGAGGAGTCGTCACCACATTGATGGCCTCTCAAGGAGGCCTCACGCGGAGGCGTGGAGCCGGGGGAGTTACCTCACCGACCGGAGACGAAGAGTCGTCGAGCCGTGTCACATCCCCTGCGCCTAAACCGTTCAATGACCGCTCCCCCGAAACTGCGTACGAGAATGGAGAAAATGGCCACAAGATCGCTTACGACCCAAGAGATATCAGCGAGAGTCAGGAGCGGAGTAAACAACCAAAGCTGACCCTGATGGAGGAAATCTTACTACTGGGCTTGAAGGATAAGCAGGTAGGAGACAAGCGAGACGTTCACGCGCAGGGACATACTAATCAAACTGCTCAGGGCTATCTGTCATTCTGGAACGACAATATATCATATGCCCTGCGAGGGTGCATCGTCATTGAACTGGCATTCAGAGGTCGCATCAGTATGCAAAACGACCCCGCCCGAAGACGATTCCCACTCGCCGACCGGATCATCGAAGTAATAGACGACACCTTGACCGGAGAAGTCTTGTTGGATGAAGCGCTGAAAATGATGAAATCCAGCGAGAAGATGAGCGTAAGCTCGTGGATCGACCTCATGAGTGGTGAGCCTTATCCGTGCAACAAATTCTCCTCCACCACAGACTAATGCCGGGCCTCAGGGGAAACATGGAATCTGATGAAAATTGGCTACCAATTGAAACAAGTGCGTGAACGACTGGCCAAAGGTCTTGTGGACAAAGGCATCCTGCGCACTGAGAAACGCAACTTCCTCCTCTTCGATATGGCCACCCACCCGGTCGTGGATTCTGGCGCCAAAGACGAGATCCGAAAGCGCGTCCGCAGTATTTGCTCCAGCCGCACCGTCGTTCTCCCTCCCTCACAATTTCTCCCCGCCGAACTCGAGTTCAGGATGCTTCGCACCATCAGTATGGTATGCGCGGCTTATGCAGCGAATGTGCTTGAAAACGCCCTGGTGACTATGGGCCATGAGGCGAGAGAGAGGGCGTTTGCTCAAGTGGATGAGCTGCTTGCAGAATACAGTCAATGGCCTTTTGCCAGGAGAGCGGGCGGAGGACAGGGTATCGGGGCCAACATCGGCCAGGTCATTGCCGACGAGGTGGAGAGAAATAAGGAGAAGGAATTGCAACTCGAGGTAAGTCTTCACACCCCAGCCCAGCTCGGGCCCAATCAAAAAGTAGCAGCACCATACTTACCACGATCGCACCGCAGGTGGTCGCGGCATGTTTGAGCGTTTTCACCAGACTGGATTCTTTACTATGAGAAAGAAACCGAGTCCACCGGATGTCGAACTATGGGACCAGGGGGGAAATCATATGTTACGCGAGTCCCAATGACTATGGCTTGCAGGGCACAGAACAAAAACTTTTTCCGACATTTTCAAACACCGTACTGCAATGCCAGTTGAGCGATGGCAGGAATTCTTTGAGCGGGGGATTACATTCACAATTCGTACTAGGGTCAAGGAATTTCACTGTCTCTCAACGATCGCCCCTGTTTTCTCGAGAGGCTGATTCTTCGGAATACCAACTTCTTCTGGAGAAGAAGTCCATGCTATGCTTCTCTACTTGTTTTGCTATTCAACTACTTGACCGTCGATGCCACATTGAAGTCTCATGAGGAACTTAGGACAAAGGGCCACAACAGACGAAAGATCTTACATCTCGCCTTTCTAACAGTCTCCGGGAGCCCATGCCCTGCTAACGGACTAAAACACAGAAAGACAGATGTTCGTCCCTTAGTGTATTTGGTATCTAGATATCCCTAAGTATTTTATACAAGCTCTAGTGGAAGGTCAAGGATTTTCCGTCATCAGAGATCAGTCCCGCTCACTGGCCTTCTCCGGCTCCTGCACGTCCATAGCTGCTATCGTCTGGATAGCTTCCAACGTCGAATGGACGTGATCGGTCGGATATGTCGCGCTGCCGCGCATGGCTTCCAGCTTGCGCAGTCTCTGGCCCTCCTTGCCAGCCTGGCCCAGCACTCCGCCAATGAGGGCAACAGACCGCAACGAATCGTCATTTGCCGGGATCGGGTAGGTCACCCAGGCCGGGTTCGCGTCCGTGTCAATCACAGCAATGGTCGGCACGTTGAACAGGCCACACTCGTGCAGGCACACCTGGTTCTCGAGCGGGTTCATGCACACCACCAGGTCGGGCCGCATCACGGTATGATTGCCGGCTGTAAAGGCGTTACGGTACTGTGTGATCTCCCGATCATGAATGTCCACGACCTTGACGCCGCAGGCGCCCAGAATCTGCTGTCCGTTCGTCAAGGATCCCGGCACCCAGCGATGAAAGATGTGGTACCCGCCGGCCAACTTTGCCGTATTCACCACGATCTCCTCCTGGCCCTTGCGCGTTGCAACGAACAGAATGATGCCCCCTCGTCGGGCGACCTCTTGGACCACCTTTGCTGCACGCTTGAGGTACGCATACGTGACTTCGAGGGAGATAATGTGGATTCCGTCTCTCACGCCGAAGATGTAGCTGCTGTTCGAAGGGTTCCACAATGAAGTTGCATGGCCAAGATGCGTCTGGTTAGCCAACAGCATCGGGAGGGTCAGTTCAGCTGCAGTCGGCGGCCGGTGCAGCAGTGTGGTGGGATCGTACGTCTGAGAGAGGTGGGTGCCTCGTCGTTTCTCTTGCTGGGTATGTCGGCGGTAACGGTTCAGTTCTTTTAGGTTATCGAATGGAAGGGTATTGGGCGGTGCCGTGGTGGTTGGTGCTGACGACGCTTCAGTTTTAGAAGTCGTCGATTTCGGTACTGCTGAAGGGTGTTTCGGGTCAAACTCGAATTCGTCGAGCGACATTATTCTAGCTGTGGTGTGTGCATGGACGTCCGCTCGGAGGGCTTGAATGGAATTCTCCTGTGCTTCGAGCTTTTTGGCTAGTGATCGGGTTGCAGCGGTCGGCGGGTGAGGGAGGGTGTCAAGAATGCTTGACGGCTCATCTGGGTGCCCTGGTATCCCGGGACTCGGCTTAGGATCTCGTTTTGATTGCCGGAGCATGGGATTGTCAATATTTCTACTCGATGCATAGCTGCGATTGAGAGACCGCGATGACTGAGCAAGCACTGTGCGCCCTGGAAATTGTTAGCCACGATGATGCCGAGTGAACAGTCAGTTCACATACCATGCCGGGCGCAGAATTGTCTGACTATCATGGTTGCTGGGAAGTCTCAACCTCGGGCAGCGTTGAGATCTTCTCTCTAGAACTTCTACTGCAGTAGAAGCAGTGATACGGGCTTGGCGATAAATTAGTGTCAGGATTCGTGCTTGACCTGTTAGAGTCTATATTCAACCAAGAGAGAAGGTATGCCGAGTAAGGCTAGGCCCATTGGAGATCGATTCAGGCTGAAGGACGATATAATTCTACGTATGACTAAGGTACCTACCCAATTGCAGCATATTCTACAGGATGTATGGTGCAGCAGATCACGGTGCAGCATGGATGCTTTCTCCCCGGGAGAAAGGGTGGTAGGTAGAAAATGCCCACTGCAGCACAGACCAACAGCTTGAATCTTTATCTTTATATGTCCGTCCACCCTGCTGCCAGGTGCCTCGTAGGTGGGACACAGATTTCTTTCCTTTCACAGCACTGAGGAGTAGCTTTCACTTCCTTTGTTGTGGAGGGGCAAGGCTGCAAGGAAGGGCCCTTGCAGTGATTCATGTTTCCCAGCCTCAGGACTCTTCTTCTCTTCGCGTTGACACCCCAACATGTCACGGTGCCGACGTGGGTAGCAAACAATTCTTCTTCCTCCTTATAAGGACAGATTCTGGACCAACTCCAAAACTTTCCATCTTCCTCAAGACTGATATCGAGATATTTGCAAAGCCTACTGTACTGTGTACCAGCATTTGCAAGCCGTTCCAAACCCCGTAAAAATGGTTGGTACCCTCACCGTGGAGCGTCACAAACATCGCCTTGATCAATTGTTAGCATTGACAAACAACGACACAGGATCGACCACGCCGCAACTTCAATCCCAAGAAAACTCGATGTTATGGCAGGCCGACCTTTGACCCGGATCATCTGGTCAAGTACAGTCCTAAATGGCAGTACTCTCGACTGTTCAACTTTCCCGTCAGCGGCGCGCACTGGCAACCCCGCATGACAACTGTTGTGATATCTGTCGATGGTGGATCTCGTGGCAATAATCGAGCAAACCCCAACTCGCGAGCTGCCTACGGAGTATTTTTTGGCCCAAATTGTCACCGCAACAAGTGCGGTCTGCTCGACCCTCGTGCTCCTCAGACCAGTTCTCGGGCCGAGCTCGAAGGCGTGCGCAAGGCTCTCGACATTGTCCAGGCCATGAGACATGCAGGAGAATTGAAGGGATGGCGAGAAGTCATCATCAAGCTGGATTCAGACTATGTCGCCAAATGTTTCAGCGAATGGGTCTGGAAGTGGGAGGAGAATGACTTTATGAGCAGCAAGCGACGAAGTGTGAAGCATGCCGATTTGATCCGTGAGATTCATCAGACAATCACCATGATGGAAGAGGAGATTGCCGTTCGATTTTGGAGGGTCGATCGCGAGTGGAATCAACAAGCAGATGCGTTGGTGAACCAGGCATTTGATGACGCTGCAGACAGTGGCTATGAGGACTTCTAGGTCATCGGTCAGACTCAAGGCCGCCCGCCCTGCGGTCATCTTTCAAAAAGGCGTGTATGGTGATTATTGGTGTGCTGGAGCCCATTCATGTGTCCTGTATAATAGTGGAAAGCTCAGGATATTTGCGATAGAAGGCTAGTCGTTACTAGCTCATGTTCTAAATAGAGTCTGATTGAACTCAATTGAGTCTTCTTCAATGTGACCTACCTACTGAGGACGATCTCCAGCAGGTATTTCACCCTGGCCGGTCGTCCAGTCCACGTGATGGATAATACACCATGGTATGATAGGCCATATAAAAGTATAAAAGTACTCCGTACGTGTATATTAGGCCAAGATGTCTGACCACACTGCAGAATCTCGCTACCCAAGAGTCGGCAAGCAGCAGGTGGCCAGTCAGATGATAGAGGTGGTCTTCACGGTACTGTAAGATCCGATATTTCCCCTTTTCCTTGCTTGGCCAAATTTCCCACGGCGGCGCTGGTGTGTCGGTTTGTCTTGGCCGGCCTCAAGCGCCGCTGTCTTCTATCTTCACTTCTATTCGACTGTCGTGTCGGTCACTTCGCTTTCTCTTCTACAGAGCCCATGTTTAACAGCTCAACAGCGTCCGCCCAGAGCTCGCAGCTCTCGCAATATAACACATTCCGGTCTGGTCTAGATAAGGTCACACCACGGCTCTGTCCACTATCCCGATTGGTCCAGCCTTGTCCCCCCTGGATCGCCCTCGGGCACAACATGAGGTATGTCTCGTGAGGTATCACTTGGCATTGCAATCTCGTGTGAGCCCTGACCTCTACCTGACCAGGAAGCCTTGGAAAAGAAGCGGACCTGTCTTGTGCCCTGTCCCCCACGACGCCTCAGGTGCCAGCAACGGATAGCGAGCATGGGACCCCCAGCTGTCAGTATGAACATGAATGCCGAACAAATGCTCGAGTGTGGTAACTATGTTCTTCCAATCATACAGATACAGCTAGTCTCAGTATACTCCAATACATACATATCTTTATCGCGATCCTCTTTCCCCCGGCTCGTGTCTTTTGGCTCTGTTTCTGATTTCCCCCCAGCCGCCCGTCCTCACACATAGTTACACAAGTCGACAGTCATTCCCACTGCTACCTTGCTGTCGAATACACTGAGCTGCCCGCTCGACAATAACTGGGCGTCCCCTCCTTATTCACCTATTCATTCGGTACTTCCAGAAGCCAGCCTTTTGCGCGATCAGAAGAAACTCTCGAAAGCCCTGTCCAACGTCGCTCCTTGTTCGAGACTTCAATCACGAATCTACCACGAACGCAACACGCAATACGGGACCTGATATTACACAATAACCTTCGGACCTGACCTCGCATCGATCTCTACCTGGACCAAACATAATGCGCTCCTTCTATTTCCTCGCGGCACTCCCGCTGCTTGTCTCCGCCTGGACAGAAAACACCCTCCTCACACGTGCTAGCTCGGGGAACGAAACGTCATGCGACTCTGGCGACAAAGCCTGTGGCAGCTTCTGCATTCCCGACAACTATACCTGCTGCCCGGATCTGGAAGGAGGCTGCCCGGCGACGTCGGTCTGCACGAAAGGCGATAATGGCGTCTATGGCTGCTGCGGCAAGGGCGAGTACTGCAAAGGCGACGGTGGTTCCGAGTTCATCGACGGTGACAGCAGCTCCTCCACAAGCACTGCCAACGCTGCCGCTGCAACAAAGACGGGTGATTCGTCCAGCGGGGCCGACTCTATTGTTCTTGGTCAAGGACTTACACTGGCGGCCGTTGCGGCCGGCCTGGTCGCCCTCCTATGAACATCGGGCTCGGATCAACCTCCAAATGCTTGAGCTTCACTATAGACTACCTTGCGGTCCACGGCGGTCACCTGCGAAAAGGGGACCCGCGTGACAGGTTCAAAGTAGACGTTGGGATCAAGGCGTTCGTTGTCGGGATTTAGGGGCAATCATCTCGTTCTATGTTATATTGTGACACTCTGATCTCCCCTAACCATCTCTTTGGCGTTTCATGTCTCGATACGAACACATGTATACTTTGCGAACCATGTGTGCTGGGCAGATATGTGTCTATGCTCGAAGTATTCTTTCTGGTTAATGTGCCTTGTGGCATTCTAAGCTCAGCCTGCCCAAAGAGCAGGGGTCTGAAGGGTCGGGCTTCTCTCTCTATGGATTCTGTATCTATCCGTCCTGACGAGGTGTTTCTCCTTTCCGGCGTGAATGCTCAACATACAGCCTTATGAATGAGGCGTCTCCCTTTCGCTTCCCCACTGAGTATTCTGCACAGCGATCGATGGTATCAAGTAGCCAGCTCTAAGCCACATAACGGACAGATTTCGAGCCAGATATTGCCCCAAGGTGAGCAACTGATCTCCCAGGGATTTGTGAGGCGGGTAGCAAGCCCTCGATGACGCTGGTCCACTCAATGAGCGTAGGCTGGCTCAGACTCATGTCCATGAGTGTCAGCCGAATGGCAATGCACCCTACCCACACGCGCCCGGCGGGCACGGTAACCATGTAGTACCACGCCTACGCGACGATCTGTATATTTGGCCGACGCCAGACGGGAGAAACAGATTGTGGGCTTGACGTGCGCGGCGTTGTCAATGGCGGGTTCAGCGCGCCTGCAAAACTCCAAGGCTTCAAAGGACGTCTCATCCAGGACGCCCATGCTCTTGAGCAACGCCTGGAACCCGAACGCTTAATGAATCCTTGGAAGCCCGCCCCAGTGACCAGATCCGGGTTGTATCTCATGATCTCTTCGAGCAAGTGGCTGAGAGTGTTGCCCGGTTCGGACAATGATGATTGGATGTCGTCGTCGCAAAATTGTGAGCACAATCGTGGCCACCTCGCTGTCAGGGAGGCTGCTTGAGGAAGGACAGTGTCACAAGATGAGAAATACCTAAATCCACCTTCACAACCGTGTACTTGCTCTCACTGGGGGTCCTCGTGTGCGATCATCATCATCCTAGGTCTCAAAATTTACCTGGTAGGTGGGCATCTTCATTCCGTCCATGATTGATGCCCCCGTGCCCTCGATGGGTCTTACAACCAACTTGACCGGATTTGCGTTCTGTCTGGGTCGCTGAGAGCCCAGAACTGGCCCACGGTCGATCAAGCACTACACCGTATCGACCAAGCATTCTTTGAGTCGGCCAATGCCTCTTTGTGGTCGACTCTATATAGATATCGATGGGCGTTCGAGAGCTAGCCTCGAGATCTGACTTCTTTGTCAGCAACAACGGCGTGGGAGGCTATGAACGCAGAAATACAGACGCCAACTACATGAGGATTAGCGTGAACCGTGGTGCCAAGACTGCGCTCCTGGCCCGGCCAAATTTACTCGAGTTGCTCTTTGAAGTTTGAATTCAAGACAACTTTTTCGAAAGCTTCATCCACCCAGGATGAATTCCTCCCCTAGTCTGCAGACTTTCGTGTCCCAGCCGGAACTTGACCATGTCAGTTCTGTGCAGCGCTACTGGCCTGTCTCGACAATGAAGATCTTGAAGTGATACAAGATTGACCAAGTTTCTACTGCGCCATGGCTGTTGACCTGGAAATGGGATTTCATGCGTCCTCTGTATCGTGCTAATTTTTCAGGTCGACTCCTTTCTTTGGGTTGCAAGCACAGCTTTGATGCCTGTTTCGCACAAGGTCTTTGACATTCTTCACAGTGGTTGCAAAATTCCCCCAAAGTTGGGTGCAAAGTTCTCTATTTTGGTCAGTACAGCTCAATCCCTCCTCTCCAACACAGTGATGAATTTGCATACCGTAACAAACTAGAGTCTTTGACCCTTCGGGGAATGAAACTCGAATCGCAAGCACGTCAGTCTGATCACCAAACACATCTTTCGCAATACCAAGCCTTGCATCACATGCATCCAAAACTAATATGGTCGATAGATGTCTACTCCGACAGTCTCACGTTTGTCATACTAGCCTTCGCCAGAAATGAACCCTGTATGTTTATCTCGAGCCACCTCCATTCCTTTTATCATGATGATCTTTTTTGAAACAATATACGCTGGAAATTACCGGCTGAGACTTTCGAGTCGTGGAAGATATCAAATGGCTATATCTGATTGCAACTTCTTCGCAAAGAACACGATCCACAGCACTTCGGGAGGGTCATATCCGCTAACTTTGCCCATTGCAGATATCTCGTGGTATGCTATTACCCTTTCCGCACTTTCACCTCCATGGGGTTTTGTGATGAACGGCACTGGGCGCCGACAGTCACAAGCGTGACTGGTTATGACGGATATGCCCCTTTGTGGCAGGCCTAGAAAACCTCGCCCACTGATCACCCCTGTCTATGCTTGTGCTTGCTCCGTTCAACCATATCCGTCGCTGATGGTTTGCCAAAGGAAGGAACAATTGTATCGAAGCTGGTCCTGCTTGGGTAAGCATGCTCCAGTTTATTGTCTCTCATTTTCTATGATGAACATTCCTAGATGACGAGTCTTATTCAGATACTCTGATGCAGACACACACTAACTACCATTCATGCAAATCCTGAGCCGTCAATCCTGCATATTTTATACCCTACCTATTCAGACTTTTCCTAACAGATTTTCAGACAGATTCCTTCCAAAGGTTCCAGCCTCATATGGTATGTTGCTCGCGACTAGCGTGCCTTGCATTTACCACATGATGAATCGACATTTCAAAAAGACAAGCATATGTCCAAGTCGACTTCGGTCGACCAAGACGAGACTGTCATGCCTGACTTCCTTGCACAGCCATGCGTTTTGTACAGCACCGTCAACATGGAATTCGCACTGACTGCCATTCCTGCAGAAGGTACAGCATTGCCGAGATGTTATTATGTAAGTCATCGCTCCTCTGCTACAGCGCGCCCTCCATTCAATGATGATTTATTCTATTATCACGACGGTCACCGTAGCCTATGCTTTGACGACCACAGCCTTTGACCGGGCTTAGATCTGAATGGACTCCTTTGCCCAGACACTTGTTCTTTACTTCTCAGCTAGGAATCCAGCTAACTCACATGAGAAGGGGTCTCTTCACACGTATCGCGCACTGCCATATGCACATGCCGGGGTAGCGCTATCAATAAAATAAACATTGCGCGCAAAGGCCGCATTCACTTCAACTCTCTTTCAGTCCGCTCTTCACATTTTGTTTCTGTTCTCTGAATATTCCTACCCTCTCTCTAACCTCATCCCTCGCTTGTACCAACTCCACCCGAGGTTTAAGAAGACCTTTTCCGCAATGCCATACACAAGTACAAGTCTTCGAGATGCCCTCCTCGTTTACCGAGAGGCCAGGGTTCGAGAGATTCTGTCCGGGCCCTCGACAAACGCTCAGCGCCACCTACGCAACGATTATAGCCTACGTCAAGTGGTTCCTAGCTCGACCCTTAGACATGCTGTCAGCTGGCAGGAGGATGAGTCTTCCGCGGATGAATACAATCCTACGCAGTCCAGAAAGCGCCGGGTCCCGGCGGCGGCCCTGAAGACGCCCAAGAGAGCCAAGAGAGTGCATACCACCACTAGAAGCGAGCATCTACAGCAACAGAGCACAGCGCAACAGGATATCCCTTTACCTGGTCTATTTGTCACCTTGAAATTCAAATCGGATACTGCCAAAAAGATGCTCCGGGATCTCGCGCAAGAGCATGGAACAGGATGCGTATCAGTCTTGGCCGACCGTGGAATGAAACATGTCAAGAGAGAGCTATTCGGTCATGTTCATCTTCTACCTGAAGAAGACGAACACCACAAGCCTATACAAGCGACCGTAAGCTATCTTCACAGACTCGATGAGGATAGTCTACAAATCGACAATTCGGATGGGAGAGTCTTACGGAGTCGAAAAATCCTAGATAGGGACGTGTCACCGCGAGCTCGCAAATGCGGTGCTTGTAAAGCGTCAAAGCGGAAGTGTTCGTTATTGGTGGGGAAGAATAACTTGCCACCGTGTACACGGTGCCATGAGAGAAAGCTCGAGTGTGTTGTGGACAATGTAGTCCAACAGTCTCTAGAAAATTCTCATGTCCCTGTCACCATAGGACTACCCCCAACGACTCCAGCCCCTCCGGCCCCTCCGGCCCCTCCGGCAACAGCAAGCCAAATCCTTCGGGCCTTTATTCCTACACGCCAGGATCCCTTCACCACAAATATTGGAGCCTCTCAGAAGGATCCGATCGTCCTAGATTCGCCTCCTCCCTCTCCAGGAAAAATCACGACCGGCAGGATCGTCAAAGTCACCACATTCTGGGCACATCCTATCGATTTCAAGCACATCCCTACTCCACAAATACCATGCCACTTCTGCGCGGATTTCCGATACGGCATCTTTGGATATGGCGAACTTACCGTGGAAGTCATTCAGTATCCGAACTCGAACTCTATAGGGTACGAGGAAACCGGCGATGGCCATAGAGCGCAGGGTCACGAAGCTACGCGGATGTGTGTCAATTGTGCGTTGAATCGAATGTACATCTCACGATGCGGAATCCATCGCTTCAAGCAGCGCGCCGTCTATGCGTGTCAACGCTTAGCTGAGTACAGGCGTCAGGTGCTTGCTGAACCGTGGGAACCTCCGCTCAAAGCTGGCGTATGCCTAACGTGCTCCCTTTGCTCGAACGCTGCGCTCTGGCGGTGCTGCTCCATGCAGCGATTCGACAAGTTCGGGAGAGCCTTGTCCGCAGAAGATGGACACGACAGGGGATGTGGACTGATTCTCTGTGATTTATGCTATGCCAACGTCGCTCCAGACGGGGTATTGAGACGCCCAATCCGGGGATCTTCGCGAGCTGATATAGAGTTCCTTTTCTCAGGGAGTTTGGTCCACAAGGCTTATGGTGAGTGAGCACGCAATATCACCTCGCTTAAGCAAGTGAGTTGACTAACGACCCAGGCAGAAGGTTGATTAGAGTGGTTTAAACATCAGACGCGGCATTCTTCTCACACAGTTCTAATGCTTTGACACATTGCTATGTATGAGAAGGAACAGCTTCATGCGCGACACCTCGCTAAAGAGCAGGAGGAATAAATACTAAGCCAGCTGCTCCCAGACATCACCTTGGACGTTGGAGTAATAGCACACGTAGGAATCTGGCGGAAAGCCCCTCGTTTGCTGTGTACTAGGTACTTAATACCAGCACAGTAGGTATCTTGCTTTGCGGTGTATGTGGTTGTGTTTTGATGTGTACTCCGTATTCCGTACTCCGTAGACACCTAGCGATAAGCCTCCCGCGATAAGCAAAGTCCCGGGCGGCGGACAGCGCCCACGGTCGCGCCTTCCTCGTTGACCAAAGGCATGGGACTCAACAGAAAGCCAGACCGATCGCAGCTCACGAAGCAACCTAGACTATCCTCCAGATCACAGCCAGACTTACTGCTGTCCACCCCTTTCCTGGCGCTGTGTTGAAAGGTTAATCGCCACGAACCACTGAGGCACACTGCACCGCGATTGACCTGGGTCGGTCGCCTCAAACGCCCTGCTATTCCTTGTACTCCATACTCACCGGCCTTTCATCAACGCTTTCGCCTTCGCCCATCAGAGCTCTGCCTGTCCGTCCATCCCTCCGCCAGATTACCTATCGCCAGCAGCGTGGAATAGTGACATACCGTGAACTTCGACAGTCGCAGGCAGTCAGACGCCCTGCTACGGTCACCAGCTCCTTGCCGTTCGCCACTCCAGAGGCCAGCCCATCGGGGGGCGCCGCCGATCAGCACCAAAAGACCAAGAAAAGACACACCACCAACACGAAAACTTCCCCACGGCCCCAGCGGCATTTCGAGGCCCGCCTGAGGCGCTGCGTTGGGAGAAGACTTCTCCCTAAGGACCGCTGCAGCAATGAGTTTCGTCCAGTCCAGCCCCATTGCTATGTTAAGTCGGAGTTCTTTCAACAGGATACATCAATCTCCAGATGTAAGTCCAATTCAGTCGTTTTGTGTTGTTCGGTTTCGTTGCTATTATGTGGTTTTCTCGATCCCGGTTCCGAAGGCATGAAGCCCGTCGGCCCCGGAGCTGCCTTCCATTGGATCATCTCTCCTTGGGCATCCAGGCTCGTGACTTGTCGGAACTCATCAGCTCAGGCTCGGGACGGCTATTTTCGCCCAGTGGGGAGAGGATCTTGGGTCGAGTGTCTCCCTATTATTATTATTTCAAGCCCCTCTTGACATACTCTGTACACGGCTGGTCCTGTTCAGGTCGACCGAGGCAGGGACTGTCAGCGGAGACTGGGCCGCACATCGCGAGTGAGGCTGAGAGGCTGAACACTTCTACCTTATGCCCAATACTGGTCTGCCCCATCCGGTGAACCGACGGAGTTGCTTTCAATCACCTGCTTTCCTCCACGAGGGGACCCCTGCACAGTCCCATAGCCCCCTTGTTTAGTGGAGCAACGACAATCGCATTCCTTAATTCGCCGACAGATACAACAGGAGTGCAGAGAATCCTGCCAAATTGTGTTGAACCCCAGATCTCAAACGCCGCGATATTATTATCTCCTCCTCTCCGAACCACATATCGACCAACCTACCGAAAAGTCAGCAATCTAGCCCGAAAAAGAAGCCGGTATAATTTCCACCCAACACAGTTTGGCCGCCGGACGTACAATTTGAATTGTGCGTGTAGAGGCGTCTGTCACCTCTCGTTTGATCCAGTCGGTCGATTCCAGATCCCGAGGTCAGATACCGACGACAAGGTCTCACTTCGCAGAATCCAAATCTGCGTTTGCCTCAGACAGCCTCGGAAACAAACAACCGCTGCCCTCTGTCTGTATACAGTCAAGGTTGTTGGAATGTCCATATCCGGGATTCTGTCCGGCCACTTATATTGAGGCGCCGCGCTCGTTGCTATCGACAATTTTTTGTACCTGGCCAAGTTCTCGGATTGATAGAACTATCACCAGACTCCCCGTCCTCCCGGTCTTCTATTGACCTACACTGAGCCCGAGACACGTGCACTACAAGGACACATTTGCTTTGAATTGATTAACCAATCTCGACCATGGGGATATGCCTTCCGGAAAGCGACCGTGTATGCATCTTTTTCTGTTGGCTGCCATAGTTGCTTGCTCTCATGGCCTTAATCTCGCATATGCTGACCGGTTCAACAGTCAGATGTCACTCAGATCGTCATGGTTATGGTCGGTTTGCCGGCCCGTGGCAAAAGTTTCATAGCAGGAAAAGGTATGCTGTCGTGACACTCAATCTGCGTTTCATCATGAGTAACCTGGCCTTGCAGTCAAGCGGTACCTGAGATGGACATCGGTGAAAGCCGAGGTCTTCAATGTGGGCACGTATAGGCGGACAGATAATCCGCACCCCGACGCAAAATTCTTTGACGTGAACAATCCCGAGGGCGAGAAAGCTCGCAAGGCTGCAGCTGAAGCAGCCGTCAACGACATGCTTGACTGGTTCAAAGACAAGACGAACAAGGTTGCCATCTTGGATGCTACGAATTCAACGAAATCCCGTCGGCAATGGCTCCATGACAGGATCATTGAAGCAAACCTTCTTCGTACGTGATCTACCTCTGTCCGATTATTGCCAGCTGCTAACCTTCACATAAGACATATTCGTAGAGAGCAAATGTGACGATGAAGATCTCATCATGTCAAATATCCTCGAAGTCAAAACCTCATCTCCTGACTACATTGGGTACATCCAGCCCGTGTCCACGCCCGCCCATCGCTTACTCTGCTGATTGACATCTTGTTCAGACAGGACCCCGAGGAAGCAGCCAGAGATTTCCGGGATCGAATTCGGAACTACGAGAAGGTATACCAGACCATTGATGAGTCCGAAAAACATTTGACTTATGTGAAAATAATCAATATCGGGTATACTGTTTTCCTCAACTCGTCGATCGCACCGTACTGACAGATCTCCCAGGGAACGGGTTGTAATCAACCTGATTCAAGATTACCTCCAATCCCGACTTGTCTACTACCTTACCAACCTACACATCAAGCCACGTAGCATATGGCTGTCAAGAGTTTGTTGCCCACCACGGACCCTTGCATAGTACCCTTGGCTGACTTCCGCTCCCCATGCGCAGCACGGTGAATCGGAATACAATCTTGAAGGCAAGATTGGAGGCGATGCAAACCTTTCGGAACGTGGCGAGCGATACGCGAAGCTGCTGCCTGAGCTCGTCAAGCGCTCCGGCCTTCCTAAAGACGCCCCGCTGACAATATGGACGTCGACTCTGCGCCGCACTAGCCAGACCGCGAGGCATTTGCAGCAAGAACTTGGCTGGGAGAAGCTGCAATGGAAAGCATTGGATGAACTTGATAGCGGAGTGTGCGACGGGATGACAGTACGTTGACCTCGGAGCTTTCCTCCCACCTCCTCGGGCCCAGCACATATTCCGAAAGACCCATCTGGCGTTTGCTTCTCACTGACTGAAATTCCCCCTCCGTGGGGAAGGATCTAGTACAAAGAGATCTCAGACAAATTCCCCGAAGATTTTCAAGCACGAGACAATGACAAATACAACTACCGATACCGCGGAGGCGAGTCGTATCGCGACGTCGTCATCCGGCTGGAACCCATCATCATGGAGTTGGAGCGCAGCGAAAACATTATTATCATCACGTACGTGTTATCCCCGACAATTGCAGTCCCAAGCGGTGACGGTATCTTGGACTTGCTGTTGACAGTCTTCTGTTGTTTTCTCGCTCATCTCCTTTTGCATCTCCGCGTCGCCTTTTTCTGCTCTCTTCTAACAAGGATCATTGATTAGTCACCAAGCCATTGTCCGGTGTATTTTTTCATACTTTATGGAAATCCCTCAAGAGAAATCGCCCTGGATGGAAGTGCCGCTGCACACGCTGATGAAACTGACACCGAAAGCGTACGGAACCGAAGTTGAGCGCTTCAAAGCCGACATCCCTGCCGTGAGCACGTGGCGCCCGAAAGGGTCGACGGCGAAACACCACGACAGTGTGAGCGAAGGCATGCCGGATACTGTTGTGGGTGACATGAAAAATCTGAAACGGACCGGAACTCCAGCTACGAACGCGGATGGCGGTGTAAGCGGTGGAAATGAGACGGGGCACGAAAGCGTCTTTGATGACGAGGTCCTGGGCTTGCCTCTACCTTGAAGAAACGGTTATGTACAATCAGGAGTTGGCCGCAAAGACCAGTTGCAATGTTGACCTGCTCCGGCTCAAGGCCAGCACGATTTAATGCGACGACTATACAGGAACTGAGAAGACGAAAAGAGCTAGTTATAGGACCGAGCTAGAACTGTGAGAGAATCCCATATCATGACACTTTGGACTGTGTGGATTTTCATCCCGATCTCCTACTCGGGTGAGTGATTGCGAGCATAGCACCCTCAGTAGATGTTGGACATTTAGCGTAGCAAAACGCACTTCATGCCACGGCTGGCCGGCAAGAATGGGCGCTCTGGACTGGAGAGACACCACCGAGAGACAAATATGATGATGGTATCTGTACTCCGTACGGTAGTAGGAGATGGACCGGCCGGGGCTGGCCAAGGCCAGACCTGGTCACGTGGCCCAGATTGCAGGTTCCACCCAACGATGCTGTGTGATGCAATCGCTGGCAGGCGCCGGCGCCAATTCCCATCCACAGTCGTCATACCATCAGCCTGCACGAGCGACTTCCAGTTAGTGCACTTCTTCCAACATCAAAGCTTCTTCTTTGCGACTCTCTGCCGCCCACCTACCGCCTGTATTCATCGCTATCACTTCGAATCTTTGGCCTTTTCCTTCGCTCTACTCACAACTTTGGACCTCCCATTCCCTCCGACATCATAGCAAGATGAGCTACGCCGAAGTTACGGCCAAGGGCCCCAAGCAGACCCCCGAAGAGGTTGGCGTCTCCCATTCCTCCCATTCCGGATTTTGCTGACAGTTTGCAGGCGTATGTGCCACATCAGGCTTGCCCGAAAGCTATACAGTCATTTCACTGACCTTGTTTGCTTAGTCGCGCTGCTCCAGTTCCTTCGCTTCCTCATTCCGAATCCGAATCGGCAAGCTTGATCGACGTCGACTCGCCGCACGTCACTTCCGTCAAGTCCGACTTTCAGGAACAAGAAATCCAGACGGAGACCCAAGCCGATAGACTTGAACATGAAGCAGAAGACAAGGCTCGTGCAGCAGCCCAGCAGGCAGCGGCTGCAGCCGAGAGTGCTAAGAAGAAGGCCGCTACGAAGGGCAAGGAAGCGAAGGACTCTTTGAAGAAAGACGGCCGAAAATTGAGCGAGAACAGGGATAATCCTGTTGTCATTGGAAATGCTCTCATTTGGGGAATTGCGACTGTTGCCATCGGCTATGGGGCATATCAGAAACACACCGAAGGAAAATTGGACTGGAAGCTCGCTAGCACCGTCGTAGGAAGTGTTGGCGCCTTCGCTGTGGCCGATTATTTCGGCAGCAAGTCAGTCCATGCCCTTCCCAGCTTCATCATTTAGTGACTAACTGGTATGTAGGTGGCTGCTGGAGAACAAATACCCGCCCAAGTAGGCGATCGCTGGAGAGTGCTGAGTTTTTACGGATGGGCTCGTCTTGTGTATTTTTTCAACTCTCGACTCGGTTGACAGCGCGGCTCGGGGCGCACTGCTGGGCTTCATATTCCTTTGCTAACGAACATGATATCCCCTTAATCCCAGCTACCATGCTTCTGATTCATCCCTTCCAGGTGCTTGTTCATGGCTGGCGAAACAGTAATGTTCGTTGAAGCCCTCCGTCTGCAATAATCTTCTATTCCATGTGTGTGTGTCTATTCACCAGTGTCCTGAGGCACCGTGCACCCTTTTTTTGGACACCCTGCACCATTTTACCCCCCGTCATTTGGGGTATCATCGCCATTGTCGAGACTCGGGCGATACACAGCTAACTGCAGAACAACCACAAGAACGGTAAACACCTTGCAAATTTCGTCGTCGGCGTGCACGTCCAAGTGAGGGTTGATCCACGTGTCGAAGGTCGGATCGTACACAGTATTGGGTTGCAGAAAGCTGAGCAGTCCGTTGACGAAGTGGAGAATCAGAACCGGGTTACAGAAGACCATAGGGTACAGTAACCGGCAATTCTCCTTGATCAGCCGCCATTTGTCCTGTAGCATCAACACCATGACGTTTGCTCGAATTGCTGAAGTCCGGCGGTACACTGGAGACTCGTGCTTGACTGGCCTGGTTGATTCGCTTCTGGGGCTTTGAAGATGGAAAATGGACATGACTGGTGATGAAAGGTGCCGGCGCGGAGGTGTGCTGGTCAGGGCAGCTCCATCGACTGAAGATTTGCCATGAGACAGGATGCAATGCTTGCTCATTCGGTCAGTCATTCGAACGAATAAGACTGCAAATGGTGGTTGTTGGCACGAGTGGTGGTAGAGCAGATGGAGGTGGCCTGGCGGTGTGAATGACGCCGTCCAAGTCTGGGGTTTGAAGGATCCAGGTACTGCGGTCTTCCTGTGTCACTTCGCAGTCTGGGAAAATGGAAATCGGCAAGTAATGATATTAATACAGCAACATTGCTTGAACCTGAATGCCTCGTAGGACGTTACTAGGACCGTCCATCACATCCTAGGGTGCGGGACAAATTTAGATATACCCTCGACGTGCTTCCACCTTGAGTCGTGTCTTTCGTAGACCAGTGATCGCACCAGAGCCAACATGCAGCACAATGAAACAAGAAAAGGCATCGATCATGATGCAATTTTACAGGCCACTGTGACGCGCAACCAGGCAGTGGTATCCAACCTCGAGCCATTTGCGCCTTGGAAGATCTGCCTTAGGTAGTTAGTACTATTGGTGTTGGGTAGAAAGGCTTAAGGCCCTGAGGCTTCCACCGTTGGCGCTTCTCCATCGATCCCCGACTTTTCTTTGGCTGCAGCACTTCGCATCCGCTGAGAAGGACAAGCTGTACTTTCGCGACTGCCCTTTAACCCGCGATGAACCCCTGATCGATATTGTCTGATTTACTGGATCATTCCGAGCCCGACTCGTCATTCTCGCTATACTCATTCCGTCTCTGAAGCGGCAACATGGTACGTTCCTGTCCGGAGTAAGATGCATCACCTTGATGGCTGATACAGAGCAGAACGTGCTTTTCAACTCAGCGTTGAAGCAATCAACGGCCGTTCGTCGTGATCTGGAGACATTTGCCCAGGCACCTGCTACTGCGTCTTCCGCCCTCCAAGGACAGATATCCACCACCCTGACGAGTCTCTCACGCACGCTCGACGACTATCAGAATCTATCACGAAATGAACTGAACCAGGAGAAGAAAGAAAAGGCTATCGAGAGGTTGAAGAATTTTCGAGCGGATCTAGCCTCCTACCGAACGCAGTTTGAACAGTTGAAAAAGGAGCGCGAAGGTGCCGTGGCTGCAAACAATAGAAATGAACTCCTAGGTCGACGACCGCATCATACTGCCACGCCTGAGAATCCTTATGCCCACGCCGTCGGTCAGTCTGCGTTCGCCCCTGCACACGGCAATTCACAAGAGGGGCTATCATTTGGTGCTGGACCCAATACTTACGCGCGGGAGGAACATGCCCTGCGCGAACAGAATTTCTTCAGTACTGCCAATGCCCAATTGGACGAATTTCTCGATCGAGGCCGAGCCGTGCTCGGTGACTTGGGACAGCAGCGAGATCTCCTCAAAGGGACACAGAGGAGACTCTACAGTGTCGCGAACACCCTTGGTGTCAGTGGAGATACCATCCGCATGGTCGAGCGAAGAGCCATGCAGGACAAATGGATATTCTGGGGTGGCGTAGCCGGCTTCTTCCTGTTCTGCTTCCTGGTTATCCACTATTTGAGATGATGGAGCTTCTGGTGACACTCAACTGGAAGCAATACCTCTCTCGCGCGGGTTCTACGTTGAACGTCGAGCCAGAAGACATCAGAGTGTCATGAAACCCTGGAAGCGGTTGACACGCGATTCAGTGTGGCCGCGCTTACTGATCAAGCCTGTCAAACTGCTCCCGAATCGCTGTTTTCCTGATCAGGATACGTGGAAAAATCTCGGTTCAGCAACGAACATCGACAAATTGCAAACGAGAAGGCAAAGACCACCAGGAGTGACGGCTGATCTCAATACTTCAATGCCAGCAGAGGACTACGATGCAGTTCTGGCAATAGGGTGAGACTTCTCTCCATCTCCGTTGACCGAGGTCTTCGTCTTCGCTATGATCGAATCCGGACAGAACCTCGTTGCTGAGGAGCAAGGAAAGCCTATAACCCTATATCCTTCAAAAATTGGCCATTTGTTTTGGTCGTGTCTTGTTGCATTGACATGGTTCTGCTGGTCACGGCACTCTGGAATCTCCAGCAAAGTCCGGTTGAGTCAGAAAAATCGAGTCATACCACTGCTATCCGAGAAAAGCTATTACGGCTTTTTCAAGGGGGGGTTAAACCAGACAACCAGCTCCCCGCACTCCGGTATCTCTTTCCGACCTGTCTATTGGCTTCGACCTAATAGTTCCATCCCCCTGTGTAACATCACACGGCCACTATCAGGAGATTGAGTCGCCTAAGATGCCACGACTGCAGTGAGACAACCTCGGACCAGCTTGAGCGTGTCGAAAGACAAATCAACTGTTAGAAATTCCCCTCTGCTTAAATCGTCATCATGTCTCTATCTGTTTCCTCTCTCGTCCTTCCGACGCTCTCATCCATACACCTCTGTCTCCGTCAAGCTCACTTTCACCCCAAAACCGCCCTGCGACTGTCGCGCAGCAATGACAGGTGACAAGCCCTGGCCACAGGTGCCTGTGACCAACAAAAGCCATACAGAGGCAGCTGTGGTGATCATCGGAGGCGGCATTTCAGGCATATGTACCGCTATTGACTTGATCAAGAGAAACAATTGTAAGAATTTCATCATTCTTGAAAAGAGTGGCGGGCTTGGAGGTACCTGGCGGGACAATAAATATCCAGGATGTTGTTGTGATGTCTGGTCACACCTCTACAGCTTTTCCTTCGAACAGAACCCAGACTGGACCCGGGAGTACCCAGGACAAGAAGAGATTCTGGACTACCTGACGGGTGTTGCTCAAAAGTACGAGCTCTACCGCTACACTCGCCTGAACACCGCCGTCGAATCGGCCTACTGGGACGATGCTACGAAGAAGTGGAAGACCACTGTATCAGTCCAAGGAGGTAAAGACGCCGAGTTTGGGAGCTCATACACCCTGACCTCGGATTTCCTTGTCTCCGCTGTTGGACAATTGAACGTGCCAAGACTGCCAGACATTCCAGGCTTAGACGAGTTTCGAGGCAAGCTGATGCACAGCGCCCGCTGGGATTGGAGTTACGATATCCGGAGCAAGAAGGTTGCAATCATCGGGAATGGAGCCACGGCTGCACAGATTGTCCCCGAAATTGCTAAGGAGGTCGGCCACCTCACCATCCATCAAAGAACACCCAACTGGGTCATCCCTCGACTCGATACTCCGATTCCCTCATGGAAGAGGGCTTTGTACCGACATATCCCCGCCATCCGATGGCGGAAACGAGCCGATATGATGGACTTCCGCGAGAGCTTCTACGATGCTGTCTTCGACCACTCGTCCACGACCGCGCAATTGATCGAGGCGCAAAGCATCGAGCATATGCATCGCCAACTCCCCGATAGGCCAGATCTCTGGGAAAGGTTGCAACCGAAGTATGCTGTTGGCTGTAAGCGAGTCATCATCTCGGACGACTATTTCCCTGTATTCTTGCAGGAAAATGTGAAGCTCGAAACCCGAAAGATTGACAGAATCACTGCCAAAGGTGTTGTCGCTGGAGGCCTCGAAGAAGAATACGATCTCATTATCCTGGCAACAGGATTCCGTACTGTTGAGTTCATGCATCCCATCGAGATTACTGGTAGCGGCGGACGCAATCTCTCGAGCGTTTGGAAGGAAGGAGGCCAAGCTCTATACGGCGTCACGGTGGAAAGCTTACCAAACTTTGCAATGCTCTACGGACCCAATACCAATCTCGGTCATAACAGCATCATCCTCATGATCGAGGCACAGAGCAAGTACATTAATACGCTGATCAAGGAAGTCCTCCATGTACGCCAAAAAGGTGGCAGCTTGGTGATTCAGCCAAACCCCGAGAGGATTCAAGATTTCAACGAACAGATTCAGTCGGAGCTGGAGAACAGCAGCTTTGCCGATCCCAATTGCAACAGTTGGTACAAGATAAAGGATAGTGGCAAGATCACCAACAATTGGAGTCGAACTGTTGTTGAATACCAAAAGGTAAGTTTCATTGCACGAAACCCAGGTATGCAGGAGATTCCGGCGCTGACTTGTTTGCAGCTTCTTAGCAAGCTCGACTGGTCCGATTACGATCTCTCGGGTGCCGGCGCAGAGAGAGTGGCTAACAAACATACAACTTATATTGGACGGGTAGTTGAAGAGACCAGAATCAGTTACCAGACGATCGCACTGACTGCTCTCAGCTTGGCCGCTGTAGGTGCGGGAGTCGCTCTGCGCCATGCAGGCAGATTGCGGTTGCCATGACGGAATCTGTACTCCGTACTTCCGGTCAGCTTGGAGGGTATGGTGATATGACAGTTTGCATGTTGCGCTTATGGACAACCTCGTTCAATAGTGGAAACAGAAGGCGGCCCCTTTCGTATTCATTGCTTGATCGTTACTACTAGAAATGCATAAGTACTCCGTACCTGGTCCTCAGGGGCTGTCAAGAAGTGCAGTTAAGACCCTCAGGGGCTAAGGGGCTCCTAAAATCGGTGTCTCGGTGTCTCCCGTAGGTACCTAGGAAGGTGAAAATGAGTTAGTACCTGCAGAACAGATGTTAGGGGCTTTAGGTACCAAAGTGCGCCCAAAGTATTCCGTACAGTGCCTGGGGTGCCTGGCAGATGCCCAAGCCTTGGGACTAGTGCCTAGAGTACATATGCAGCTTTACTCCACAGCATACTAATTAATTAGCCCAAGACACGCTGGATCCGCGCACATCGCCAAAGCCAGCCTTCCTCCCTGACTGGCTGCTTTGCATCTAGATCGAGTTCTCTTCTCTGCTCCCACCACGCATTCAATTATTTTCTTTGCTCTTTACAACACCACAGCCAGTCTCATATCCAGTCCTCTGTAACAACGACCCAGGTACTCCGTACCACGAATTGATCTACCGCCGCTACGATCTTAACTGCCCTTTAGGCACCAAAAACCCAGCCACAAAGGACGCACGCGCCTCAACACCTGTTTTTCACCCCCCGAGCCTCACCTTCCACACCGTCCACCTCGAGGGCCGGAATACCTCCCAATACCCTGCATAATGCATGCTCCATTCTCTTCTACCTTTGCATCTGCTGCGGCGAGCACGAACGGAGAAACCACTGCCAACAGGAGAGATAATGCTGGTGCTAGTGAATGGTATGATTGCTTGACCCCAAGCCAATGATGCGCACCACACAACCACAGTTTACTCGTGTGGACTGTTCTGAGACAACGTTGCCTATTTCTCCATCCTGTCTTCCCCTGCCTCCAGGCTGCACGATTTTCGAGAATTGTGATTGACGTTTCTGCAATTGTTCAGGTCAAGAAGCCGTGTCAATGGTACCACCCAAACGTTCCGCAGACCATCCTCCGCCACCACGTCTGCGCAAACACACCCACAGGCACGCGAAAGCGGAAACAGCAATGGCGGCGCGTACATACCTCCTCACCTCAATGCCAACAACTCGTCAGCCTCTTTGCGTAACCCTCCCTCCGGGGGAAACCGCTACTCCAAAGACCAATTATTGAGCATATACCAAACCATCAAGCAATCTTCAGCTCTTGATCGAAATCTGGAGGACATCTTTCACGGGACCTGGGATCCATTGGAAGGCAAGAATGGAAATGCGAATCAAGGTGCTCGCAATGACGGAAAGGACCCAGCTCCCGGGCCTGAAGTTTGTTGGAACTACAACATAAACCCGGAGCCGTTTGGGTTGACCGGTATGACAGAGGAGGAGAAGCAGGTGAGAACCAACCTTCGATCTCTCGTAGTATTCTAACCGAGCTGATTGTTTATGGCAGCTCTTCTCCACTTCCGTCAATTCGCCGATCAAACCACAGCAAATGAACCCGAAAGACAGCGGCGGGGTCGGAGTTATTGGTGGGCGCAAGGCTTCTTTGACAGGCTACAACAATGGGACTGGAGGTTCAAGGCCAGGGACTCGCCGAAGGGAGACAAGCGACTCCTTCATGAGTAACGGCCCGATGTCGCCGGCGGAGAACAAGACGTTTGCTCGTGGCGAATCAAATACTGCAACCCCTCCTCCTGCATTGCTACGACGACGAACAGATTACAAGGATGAAGAAACACCCACAACTTCTAAGGAAGATCCCAGTGCGGATGAACAGCCGGATGCGCACCCATCATTCCCTGGCTTGCGGAGGGCAGGTACTGGCCCATTGAGTGCCGGTTCGAACCCCTCTTCTGCATCTGCGTGGTCGGCTGGTGCGCAGCCATCAGCGTTCGGTTCCATGGGAAGTTTTGGCAGCTTTGCGGTTGGTTCCCCGGCCTCAACAGAATCCAATGACAAGAGACTTGGGTTTGGCAGCGCCCGTGGAAGTCGCTTTAAAGACCTGTTGTCTAAAACCAGCTCGGAGGACATTTCTCAGAGCGTCAAGGACAAGGGCTCTTTTGGCGCTCTCGAAAAGCTGCCTGAGGAGGACATGGGTGTGGCTCACGCGAGATTTCGCGATGATTTCAAGACACGTCCAGGCCGCAGCGAGACCAACCCCTATGAAGAGGCACCCGTGCGGAGTGGAAGCGCAGCTTTGGGTGGCGCTCAGGAGAGTGCGTCTACCAATCCGAACATCGAGCCGGCAGGATCCCTTCCCTTTGGCCCTCCGTCCAATATCGGTACCCGAGATTTTGGCCAGGAGGAACCGTATCCCCAAGCTCAGCAGCACGGACGGTATAATCCCCTCGAACCTATGAGCCCTACCAACACGAACCCGTATCAAAGCCCTCACGGTCGGGTCGAGGATGACGAGCGAGATACGAATGATTCGGCATCGCAGGCATCAGGACTTCCCCCCTTTGGTGGGAATCGCCGCACCGTATTTCCCGGTTCTGATGATAGAAGTCAGGCAGGAGGTGCTGCCCGCGGTGCAAGTGGGTTTGGAGCCCTCTCAGGCTTCGGTGGACTGGGCGGTCCATTGGGCGGTACACCTGCCTGGTCCACAGCTGCACTTGGTTCTGCCAAACCTGCCCTGGATCGTGGAATAGGGTCTGCCTTCGGCGATCCGCTATTCAGCCCTCTGTCGGATTTGCAGTCTCCCGGTGCCGGTGGCCTGGGAAGTGGCTTTTTTGGTTCAGCCGGGTTCGGCTCTACCGGTCGTGTCAGTCGACTCGGGGCAATGTTTCCACCAGCCATGCAAGAGCAAATGCGCGCTGATAGCAGAACCGAGACGCATCCGGCTGCTTTCGACTCACGGTCAGAAAGCGCACAACAGCAATCTATTCGCGATGCCTTTGACAACACCGGCCGCAGACAAGAGGGCTTTGCTCGAGGATCTGGGCAACTGGACGAGTCACCCTCCTTGAGGACCGTTGACGATGCTGGAATTCCTAGCGCGCCGATTCAGTTTGGACCTACACCGACAACCAACCCCCTGGCCACCCCACAGACCACAGGAGCCAGGCCAACTGGAGCGGAAAACCTGCAGTCGGGACATGGCCTTAGTCAGTCGAGCGGGAGCAATTCCTCCACTCAACTGCCCGCTAGTCAACAACGTCAGATGGTTATGCCGGACCGCATGCGCTGGATCTACCGAGATCCCCAGGGAAACACCCAAGGTCCCTTCTCCGGTTTGGAGATGCATGATTGGTTCAAAGCCGGGTTCTTCACCGCTGACTTGCAAGTCAAGAAACTTGAAGATACGGAGTACGAGCCTCTGGCCCAGCTTGTTCGACGCATTGGCAACTCGCGGGAACCCTTCTTGGTGCCCCAGATCGGGGTACCCCATGGACCTCCCAGCTCTGGACAAGGAAATCAATGGGCAAACTCTTCCTTGGGTGGTACGGGTGGTGGTGGTGCTACCAGTGCTACCAGTGGTACAACTCAACCGCCTTTTGCCAGTAGTTTCCCCAGCTTTGGCACGACCTTGACGGCGGAGCAACAAAATGCTCTGGAAAGACGAAAGCAAGAAGAACAATTCCTGATGGCCAGGCAGAAGGAACATCTGGCTCAACAGCAGATGGCCATGAAACACATGCACATACAGAACCCTATGCAACCCTTACAACATCATTCATCTGCCCACTCGCTGCAAAGCCAACCTAGCTTCGGAAGCATTACGTCCCCAGCTGGCTATCATCCTTCTCCCATGCCGGCACCAATACAACCACCACCAACTGGCTTGCCTTTCGGTCAACAAGGAGCTCCTGCTATAGGACCAACCTTTGGCGTGGACGCCAGAGGTGGAAGGGAGGACGAGCTTCACACCATGATGGACCGTCTGACATTTGCTCAGCGGGCAAATCTACCCTTTACGGGGGCCCCTTTAGGCCCTCCACCGGCGGACGTCGGTCCTCAGGGCGTCAGCACCATGCTCCAAGACAGAGCTCGATTGCAACAACAGCAGCAGCAGTCTGATATGCGGGGCCATCAGGACGCTTTTTTAGGACCACAGGGCCGCAACGACCGCTTGGAAGAGTTCCACCAATTTCGTGGACAAGAGGAAATACAAGCTGGTCGTCTCGGCCCTGAGGAAGGTCGACCACAGCCTATCGGCGCCCAACGTCATCTCGACGAGCTATCAACCCCAGCCACAGCACAAAAGGGCCCGGTCTCTGGTGGGCATCACGCCGTCGTGGCCAGAGCGGAACATGAACCCTTATCCTTGGCACAACAAGTTCAAATTGCGGCAGCCAGTCAACAAGCAGCAGCTGAAGAAAGCGCGCGGTCAAAGCAAGATGTTTTTGTAGAGCCTCCACCGGTTTCGATATCACCGCTACCCGCTCCTGCAGCTCAGCGTAATCGACAACACGTCGCCGATGCTTTGCAAGCCGAATCCAGGTCAGCGACTCAGACTCCGATAGAGACTCCTACTGTTTCCATCGCACCTTGGGCGGAACGCATTGCAGACCATCCCAAGGGCCCATCGCTGAAGGAAATCCAGGAAGCTGAAGCGAGACGCGCGGCCGAACAAGAGCAGATCGCCGCTGCTGCTCGACGTGCGCAAGCCGAACAAGAGAGATTAGCTCAGGCTCATGTCTCCGCCCCGCTGCCGGGTCTTCCGTCAACATCAACGTGGGGTAGTTCGGCTTCACCAGTTACAGCTGGAACTCCGCCTACTTCGGTATGGGCCAAGCAGACCCCTGCCAAAGCGGTTGCGGGGGCGAAGGTGCCTGCAAAGAAGACGTTGGCCCAAATTCAGAAGGAAGAAGAATCTCGGAAACAGCGAGCTGCCGCCGCTGCCACGGCCGCAGCCAACGCGAATACGGGCAGCCCAGCTTCGGCAGCTGGGGGCAAGCGATATGCCGAACTAGCTAGCAAAGTCGTCCCGACAACACCAACTACCTCCACAAGTGCCTGGACAACGGTGGGTACAGGAGGTGCTAAGGCCAAGGCGCCACCTGCCGTGGTTGCAACTCCTCAACCAGCTTCACGGACGGTAAGCAGCTCTACCAACAGCGGAACCAAAGCACAGCCTATTCCTCAGCCCTCTCGGAATACTACCTCGTCCAACTCGAGCAAGGCGAACGAAGAATTTGCCAAATGGATCAAGGGTGCCCTCGGAAAGGGCTTGAACAGTAACATCAATCGTGAGTACTCTTCCGCTCCTTTTTCTTATTGGCTGGCCTTTCTCTCTGACGTTACCCTTTTTTTTATTTGTAGTCGATAGTTTCGTGCAAGATTTACTGCAACTACCACCCGACATTGAAATCATATCCGACTCGGTGTATGCCAGTTCTCAGACGCTTGATGGACGGAGGTTTGCGGAAGAGTTTGTTCGACGCCGTAAATTGGCGGACAAAGGCATTGTCGAACCCGCAGCAAATGGAACACTACCTGGAGGGGTTGATGGCAAGAATGGAGGCGGTGGCTGGAGTGAAGTTGCGAAGAAAGGGCCAGCAACGACTGCGCGGGAAGAGAGTAACGCGGCGTTCAAGGTTGTGGCAACGAAGAAGAAGGGGAAGCGATGAGTTTGAGGTCGACCACGCAGGATAGACGGACAAGTGGTGGAAGATGAATGCAGTTTGAGAAAGGGCCAAATGGAGCTTTAGAACCAGTTGGAAAGGGAAAGGCGAGCCAACGACAACGACGGGTTCAACATGATGATTGTGTGGGACGCGTTGCATGCAGTCAAGAGAAACGAACCATGAGGCCAGCTTTGAATAGGGCCCAAGAGCTTGGTGTCTGCCTTGTCTGTCTTGTTTGCCCAGCTTTTATTGTCTTTACCATTGCATCAGGCACGACAGGGCAGGGCAGGGCAGGGCAGGGCAGGGCAGGACGGAAAGGGGACGATGGGAGAGGGAGGTTGCGTTGAGAAGACATTGTATGACTACCAATGTAAGAAACTTGGCCTGTAACTCTCGAACGAGGCAGTCGTCCACGTTCCTCCTCGATGGTGTTTGGTTGTAGACCTTAGGACTTGAGCCCGAAGCAGGTGACTACCTAGTAGCCTTAGGCCTAGGTGGTAGGCATCCAGAAGTGAATGTCTATACTCCGTAAACTGTCTCGTAGCAGAACCGCGACCAGATAGCACCGTTGCTCCTTTCGTAAACACGCAACATGCATGACTTAGGGATCCGGGGTTGCATACACTGGCAGTATTAATTTTCTGATTTACCTAGGTACCTTTTCCTCAACTGGGCACTGGGGTTAGACCAATGGACCAAAAATTGACGACTTCGTCTTCAGGGCGCAGGGCGTAGGGCTTGAGGCCTGTAGATAGAACTCTACTGTAGATTAATAATCAATCATCTTGATGATGGTGAAGCGACAGTCGAGTACTAAATAATGTATTGTAATCGTACCTTAGTTACAGAGAGAGGAGAGAATCCAAGTGGATGGATGGATAGGAAGTCGATGTCGAAATCGTTTCATCCAAAAGACCCGACCTAAGCCCGACCGGACTTGTCCACTGCCACTCACTGCAAGTCTGAGATATGTATGTATATGCGTCCCTTCTCCGTTCCTCCCTACTCTTCTATCTCTATTTCTATAGACATTTCATACTGATCTGCCTGCTTGCGAAGCACGGGTAGAAAGAGTCTGCAGAACAGAAGAGAAGAACAGTTACTGGTTCAGTTACATTCTCTCAAGACTCTGGCGGCTTTTGTTTTTTTGGTTTTTGGCTTCGACGACCATGTCCGATCCCACTCCCACTCCCACTCCGGCATCGTCATCTCCTCAAGATCGCGATCGCCTTCGCCTTCAGGCCCGAAAGCCACTGCCACCCACCGTGCCGGCCTACTTGCCGGCCGCGGGCTCTCCGCTATCTGTCGACCGCGAGCTGTACTCGGCCATCCGGCAGGGCGGGAGGGAGTTGGTTCACTCGTTCACCGTGCCGATTCGGTCGGGCTATGCTTGGAAGGCGGAGGCGAAAAGTATCGTCAGGATCAGTACGCCGGAGGGAGCGCAAGTCGGTATGTATGACTGAATGGATGAATCTATATCTATTTGGGGCACCCACCTACCCACACACACACACACACACAAATAGAGAGAGAGAGAGAGACACACACACACACACACACACAGAGAGGGACACACACAGAGAGAGACAGAAAGAAAGAGACAGACAGAGAAATCACTGACTCTACATCACAGGTGATCTAAATATCTGGAACGCCAACAACCCTCGTGAGAGATTCTGGGCGTCTCGCACAAAACAACTCCACTCATCACACGTGTCGACATTTGATCGGCTTTGGTCCTGCCTTCCGTTCATGCGTCCTTTGTGTACCATCATAGACGACTCCCTCTCGTGGTATGGCGTCGATGAGACCGGTGGCCGCGTCCACGACTTGCTCGGCACCAGATGCGATCCGTACATCAACACGCTCCTGGGCGGATCTGGAGCGTCGTACGACTTCCACTGCCATTCCAACCTGACCAGAGCTGTGCTCCCTTTTGGGCTCAACGAGTCCGACGTCCACGACGTCATCAACTTGTTCCAAGTCACCGGGCTGGACAAGGAGGGGAGATACTTCATGAATCCTTGTCCGGCCCAATCGGGTGATTACATTGAGTTCTTTGCCGAACAGGACCTCCTCATGGCACTGTCGACGTGTCCGGGAGGAGACCTCTCATTGTGGGGGTTTGGAGCTGACAGCGAGAAGGAGATGATCAAATGTTGCAGACCGCTGAAAGTAGAGGTGTTCAAGCTGGTTGATGAAGACAAGGTTCTAGGCCTAGGCGCCGGGTGGACCCCCGCTGAACGTCCAGATTATCGTGGTGTACATGGGATGAAAGTCCCTCTGGGAGAAACGAGATAGGAGGAATAGACCGCCCGCTGCAGATGACATCTTTTTTCGTCGTTGGGAGCATTTCATACACGCGCAGCGCTTTTACTGCTTGCTTATCTCTTGCTGGCCTTCGGTGCCATCTACTTCGATTGGCTTGTTGAAGACAACGTCCATGGCCTCATCCAGAATAGCCAGTCCTCGACTGATCTCTTCTAGTGAGATAACAAGCGGGGGGACAATCCTGATGACGCCGTCTCCCGCGGTGATGATCAGCAGACCCCTCTCGCGAGCAGCCGTCACCACCTCTGTGGCCTTGGCTTTGGCTGAATCGCTCAATTGATAACCGACGATCAATCCTCTGCCTCTGACCTCTGAGACGACACCAGGGAGTTTCTCCTTCAGAGTTTCATAAGCGTTGAAGAAAAGCGTCGCCTTGATCTTGACTTCTTCTTGTAGCTGAGCCTTGGCCAGACGTCCAAAGACATGATGGGCAACTCGGCAAGTAAAAGGGTTGCCGCCAAATGTTGTGCCGTGATCTCCTGTTTGTATGAAGGGGGCGACTGTTTTGCCCGACACAAGTGTCGCTCCGATAGGCACACCATTGCCTAGGGCTTTGGCTGTTGTCAGGATATCAGGCTGGACCCCCGAGGCCGTGTAAGCCCAGAGGTCTCCAGTCCGGGACAAGCCACATTGGATCTCGTCAAAGATCAACACGGCGCCCACTTCGTCGCACCTCTTGCGGAGTGCTTGCAGAAATTCCGGAGTTGCGACGTTGATGCCTCCTTCACCCTGGATCGGTTCGATAATGACGCCGGCCGTGTTTTGGTTGACCAGATCTTGCACACCCGCAACGTCGTTGTACGTGCCATAACGGAATCCGGGCAACATCGGACCGAATGGTGCCTGGTACTTTTTGTTGGGTGTCGCTGACAGCGATCCATATGTACGACCGTGAAACGAGCCATGGAAAGAAACAATGTCCCTTTGTTTGGACTCGGGATCCTTAGCATAAGTCACCTTCCTGGCAAATTTGATCGCGGCCTCATTGGCCTCGGAGCCCGAATTCGAGATGAAGACCTGGCTGAGATGTGAGCCTGGTGACTGTTTCTGGGTTTCATCCACAAGCAATTTAGAGAGGGCCGGCGTCCATGGGTTGTAGTAGAGATTTGAGGCATGGATCAATTGCTGTGCTTGATGAGCAATGATCTTGCATATCTCGGCATCAGCATGGCCTAGAGAGTTGACCGCTATGCCTGCAGTGAAATCGAGGTATGCTCTATTCTCATTATCGTACATGACACATCCATCTCCTTTCACGAACATTGGGGGAGGTCGGACATAGGTAGGAACCATGTAGGAAGCATTCTGCTTGAGATAGGTAGCTGTCGGTGAGTCTGCGGGAGGATCTGGATTGGGCACTGAGGCTTCATGTCGAATCTGAGCCTCGCCATGGACAGGGATGCTAGAAGAGGTAGGGACTGCAGCAGCACTAGCATATCGTCTCTGTCGGAGAGGTGCTCGATAGGGGGTTGTCGCCAGTTTCGCCCACTGGGAGCATGCCGCTCGCTTGCTCAGGGAAGAGGCCATGATTCAAAGTACAGAGATAAAGAGCACCCGAGATCCTACCTGCGGTGTAGGAGTGTCTCAAATGAGAACCCAAGATGCAGACTTTTCACTGCTTTTTAGACCTAGTGAGCGTGGACACAGCAGAAATCTCGGGGGGCGTATGCATTGAGTCACCGGTTCTCCCAAGATCGCGTCAATCTCTTTTTTTTTCCCGTCTCCAAGCGAGTTCGGAGTTGCTCTGCGATAAGGTGGAGGACTGAGGCGGAGAAATAACATCTGCAGCATTAACACTCCGCCATAGAGTATTGGCTATTTCGATACTACGGAGTACAGAACAAAGAGACGAAGTGGCAATCTGAACATGAACTGGCTGAACTGGCACCACTCTCTCTCTCTCTCTCTTCTTCTCTTCGCTTGTCTTCTCTCAAGCTAGACACCATGTTGTTGCACATGAGATTCGCCTTGATCTCAATCTGAGACCACAAAATTCCATCATCTGCTAGTAGCGGACATCCAGACCACAGCGCTACCTACTTGTATGCAAGGGAGTGAAATAGACTCCGCATAGACTGCCGCTTCTTGATGGCTTGCTTGCAAACCCGGCCAGCTGTCATGCATGAATTCAAAAGTATTGATGGTTGTTGTCTCACTCCAGATCCCTCTCTTCTCGGAGCCCTCCCTGGGGCCTTCAACATACACCGGTCTGGCCTCGTGTTCACTCGGTTGGGTTTCTAAATGTCTGACCCCTTCCCCCGGACCGCCTGCGTTGTGCACAGGATCGCCCATTCTGGCCAGGTTTGTTACACAAGTCTCTTCTCTGAAATTGCTGTTCTGGACATGCGATCTGGCTGATTCCAGTCGTTGATCCCTGTTGTCCGCCTCCATTTCTGGATTGTCTGAGACTTGTTCGCGAGCATTCATCGCAGATCGCGAAGTGATTTGGGTGCGTGCCCCCTTTACTGCAACTTTTTCGAGCGTTATTGGAATATATAAGTTGATTACTCTGCCCGTTACCACTCGCTCTTTCTCCTCTTGTGCAAAGGATACTTTCAAATTTGGCCTTGGAAACCGAATCATCAAAGCCCGCGAACCTGAAAATGCATTCCGCCATGAAGTCTCTGTTTTTCACTTTTCTTGCGTCCCTGACCTTGGCCCATGCCAACCCCTTGCTGGAGGCTCGAGGTGTCTGCAATGCAGATAACTGCGCAAGGTACGTTACAGTGGTTCCAGGTTTTGAAGTACTCACACTCTTCAGGGCCATCACAGGCAGTGCGGCACAACAAGCCCTTGCCACTCGACAAGCCGACTGCTCTGCTTTCCTGAGTCCTTTTCCCACTCCCACTGTACCAGCATACGCCTCGGCTTGCAGTGGTTCGGTCCGCTACAGCAGCGCATGTGCATGTCTTGGTTACACTGCTTCTCCGACACACTCCTGTCTCAGTCCGGCTCAAGCAACATCGATCGTCAACACCTTTGCCTCCCTGTTGACCGCCCCTCAAGCCCCAGATTTCACGTCCAAGGCCAATGCTCTGCTGGCGGACTCATTCACAGACACCAGCGGCTCCATCAATTTCCTGGCCGGTCAAAATGTATTTACCCTGGAATCTCACTTCTTCGCTTGTATCTTGGTTAACGTTTGGACAGATCAGTGCCGTGACATTCCCCAGCAAGGCAGCCTTTATTGGCGGGCAGGGAGCGCAGCCACCGATTCCGAGTCTGACCACACTCGATATCTTCTACACTTGCGACAAGATTGCATGGCGCTGGGTTGCTCAGGGGATTGGGTCCGATCAATATGAGGTCAAGGGCATTGATACCTTCACGATCACCCACTCCGGCCAGATCAGCGCGGTGTTTGCGGAATTCAATAGTGGTGCTTGGTTGGCTGATATCGGAAATCCACAATGCCATTCGTCCACGTCGTGAGCAAAGGTCGAACTGCACAAGATTTCTTGTGGCGCTTGGAGCCTCCTGTGTTGAGGGCGGGAGCCATGGGTTCTTCCGCCGGAGTGGAGTTCAATTCTATTGCGATTCGCAAGTAATCAGGCAGACTAGGGTCGTTTTCAAATGCCATCTCATTCTCTTGACATGTCTAGTGATCATCTACAAGCGCTCTGAAATCAGTACAAGCCCGCTGATGTTCTTAGGATAAAAGGCTTAAGGGCCCCGGAAAGTAGCTTTCTTGATCGTCGACGACGTTATTGCCGAAGAGCGCCCGAGCCTCACACCAGAAAAAGGTTCGATACCTAATTTTGCCATCCAAGTGAACCGGAACCACTGCATACATATAGGTAATTATTGCATTCTTCTGCCTCGACATATTATTGAGCCTTCTCGATCTCCCTTCAGTTACCTCGATCCTTTACAGATAGTGCCGCGGCCGCCGATATGAAACCCGCCACCTCTTCCCTGCGACATCTGAGCTCCGCGCCACGAGCGCACCTCTTCAGCCACCGTTGCCCGTGCCGATGCCGCCGAATCAGCACCACCGCCTCTCTCCGCAGTGCCTCCTCCAGATCTTCCTCCTCCCCTTCACCGGCGCAGCCCAGCGCGTTCAGCTTCGGCGGGCCCGCCCCGCCCCGTCTGCCGAAAGAAGAACAGGAAATCTTCGAATCTCTCCAGCGCGCCTCCACCGGCGCCTTTTCTACGCCCCGCGCGCCGCCGCGTATCAACCAGTCGCCGGACTTGTCGGACGCCGAGGCGGTCGATGCACAGGCGACGGTCGAGGCGAGGGTGGACAAGATCCAGACTGGCATCAAGGATGGCGAACGCACCGTGACCTCCAGCTCCGACGACAAGTCTGGCTCGGAAAGCCTGCATGGTCGTGTGAGTGTCATCGAGGCCGCAGGGAGAGGCGAGGAACTACATCCCAACGTGGTCAGGGGTGCGGAGCCCGAGTTCGAGGGCGATGTCAATCCCAAGACGGGAGAAGTGGGAGGACCGAAAAATGAACCTTTGAGATGGGGGCCTGCGGGTGAATGGACGTATAACGGCAGAACCACAGACTTTTAGAGCAGTCACTGGCAGTACAACCTCTACGGAACGATCGAGCACTATGTGAGACCATTACTCTGCGTGAGAAGAGAGGAGATATCATCCTTTAATCATCTTATTGTCGATACTAGCACTCATCCCCCAATGATGACAGTCTTGAGTTCGAAGTCCTATGCGCCCAGCCCTATGCTTCGAGTCCCATGTTCATCCATACTTCGTTGCCACCTCAATCATCATCATGGTATGTCTAGTCTCAAGCTCGCGAGTCAAATGGTGTCGAGAAAAAGAGCACGAAGCAATCTTTAGTCCTCTTTGTGATCGCTCGTTCATTGAGTCTTGACCTCGCCATCTTGCTCGACATGGATGTGTTCGTTGGTTTCGAGAACGCCCACTTTGTCTTCCGGAAACTCGACACTACATACAACAGGTCAGCGAAGTCGGAGAGGGAAGATGGCGAATAACGTATGGAGTAAGCTCACGTGAATCCTTTGATCAAAGTGAATTCATGTTTGATCTCTCCGCCGTCTGCCTTGGCCTTGTCCTTTGCCTTGGTAAGCTCCTCAGGTGAGGCGTTCTCTTTCAGGGTGACCTTTGAGGGTTAGCCATGATTGAAACAGAGGAAGGGTTCTATGCCGCGTACATTGAAGAGAGGCATTGTGGAAAGCGCGGGACGATAAGATAGTTGATGCCTGAATTGGTTCAACGGCGGCACTGTGCAAGAGACTCGGATGGAGCGAGATGGTCGCAAGGTAGCTGGAAAGAGGAAACGCGGAACTCTTGAGAAGTAGAGTCCTGGAATGATTGAATGGGACAAGACAATGCTAGTAATGGTGAAAGATCACACAATCAGTTGACCGTGCAGTGTCTGGGGGTTACCGGCCTCGCAGTCACAGTCACGACCGCGCTTGTCAGGACGGGCCACTTGCACCACAATCCATCCCACTTTCTTGCCCGCCACCACAGGCTGGTACAGTGGCTGATGACTCTCACTGCAGGCAATGACGCAACCTTCTCTGTGAGCGGAGACTGTCCTCCCACACTACTTGAATGCATCCACCTGGTTTGGGATTTCTCTCGACTTCCAGTTCGCGCCGCTCTCGTCAATCATTGCTATTGCTATTGCTATTACCGATACACTGCACGAAGTACCTAGGTGTCTACCTAGTAGTACTCCCATACATTGACTTATCTTTGGACTCTTATATCATCCAAGTGCAAACGGCACCCTCGTTCAGCCAGCACGATGGTCCAGACTTCGCCTCCTTCCGTCCTAGATCGGCCTTGTGGCCGATCCAAGGCAATCTGCCACAATCGCCAACCGCGGTCTTGCTGGTACCCAGCCGAATCCAAGTTTGACATGGTCCAACCGTGCTCCTCTTCTCTTATCGTTGGTCCGTTCGGTCTCCCAGTTGTCCTCGTGCGCGAGCCGAGCGTCCGATCCACAGTTTGCTGCGATCGGGATTCTTCCTAAACTGCCCCAGGGATTTTCTCCCGCAGAAAGATGTCGTGCATGAAACATTCGCTGTAGGTGTCTTAGAGGGTCCTGCTAAGCTCCGCATGGTTCTAATCGTCTACCATGCCGCTAAGTAGCTCAGATACGAATTTGAAAGGGCAGGCATTAGGGAGATCGCATTGGAATTTTATGTCACCACATGACAGATGTGTGGGTGCTGGTATCAAACTGACGAAGAGCAGACTTTCCTTTGGTGGGCTAATGAAAACGCCTGCCTCACTCCTACCTCCATAGATACGCCCGGCCCTGTAGAGTGTCACTGAGGGAAGCGTCAAATCTGGGCTCTGAGATAACAGGACTCTATTCACGGCGGCGAAATGGGCTGTAGCGCAGTCGAAATTAAATCTCGAAAGAGCCGTAATAGTGTGATGCTGCTCATGCGCAAATGGGTTGCCTGATGGCGATGCAGTCGAGCGCCAGTGAGCGAACAGCTGCTCCTCATGTCGATGGAGGCCAGCAACACTTCACATTCCCCTCTGTTTCATCATGTCAGCGCTAGTCAGTAACCTTCTTCGAATCGGTCTAACGCTGTTGTGCCCGAGGATTTTGGTCGACTGGCAGTGAGGAAGTACTCGCTACGGGGAGGCCCTCTTACTACTCCGTAATAGTGAGACAAAGTGCGTCGATAAGTTGCAAGAAAGGAGGAATGTATTGAATCATGTGTATTTATTCTAAAATTTTCAGTCCTCTGATTTGAATGCCTCCGTAACAAACATCGAAACAAATATGTAGTGCTATCGCTATCTCAGCTGAACGAATGATGATGACGTTGAGACGCTTTGTCCTCAATCGCTGTTGGGGTCTGTGGTGCCGGGTCCGGGCGCCGGGCCAGGCCTCGTCTCCATCAGATCTCCATCTCCAGCTCCATCTTTAGTTGCAACTCAGGCACCTAGAGCACAGAGGCTTAGGCCCCTAAGCCCCTAAGCCCTGTAGATTCTCTAGGCTCAAAGAGCCACGGCTGTTCCCTCCCTCCACACTCCCACCGTTCTTCATGTTACTAGTACAGCCATCAGCTTTGTATTGACATATGTCTTCTTCCTTATCTACTCCCCTATGTAAGAGGTTTGCCCTCCTCCTTTGGTCTGTCTAGCAACTGACAACAAAATGGATTCAGATGTCGACTCCTGAACCAGTCGCGGGTTCTTCGGCCTCCATCCAGAATCTCACGAAAAAGTTTAGGCACCTAGGACGATTGCCCTCCAGCTGGGTGAAAGCATTAGTACGCACAACTTCCCTGCCCCTGCGGAGCGTATACAGTACTCACATAACATTCAGGATGACCGAAATGCCCCTCAGGAATCCTACCTTTGCGACACTTGTCGAGGTCTTGATCTCAAAGTCGAATCGTTCCTAGTACAGCCATGGGACAACGAATATCAAAAAGCACTTAAGTTTCGATACTTGGGAAGACTGTCCCAAATACGCCGGCGAACACATTGTCCATTCTGCCGCCTTGTCCTCCAAATAGCAGACCGACCCCCCGACCAACGAACCCCCTCGCTACACGCCGATGACGATCCAGTATGTTATGCCCGGTGGGTTGTGGATGGTCAAGAAGACCTTGGGCCAGACCCTGACAGGCCCGGAGAACACAGATACAAACCCAAAACAAAAAGGCTGCTCATTTATAGCGACCCTCAAGCATTCAAAGATGGATACATAGTTCTTTTGGCGGATGATGCCCCCAGCCGAGAGTTCTTTGGGCGTAGGATCACGTCGCCAGATCTGCTGGACCGTGACCAAATCTGTCAATGGATTCGTGACTGCGAGACAACACATGGAGATGAATGTGAAGAGTCTTTAGTGCACCCCGACTTGCTGGGACAAACGAAAAGTATATTCCGCGCCATCGATGTGGACCAAATGTGCATTGTCGAGACGTCACAAAGTTCGAGGTACATTGCTTTGAGCTATCTCTGGGGCAAGAATTTTGTCCAGCTCTTCACAACATCCAAGAATCTTCCAAAATTGTCACAGCCGGGAGCGTTGGAGAAGGAGAAGCTTCCACGAACGATCAAGGACGCCATCATCCTTACCAGGTTGCTCGGGGAGAGATACTTGTGGACAGACAGTCTGGCGCTTTTGCATGATGATGGGTTTCAGTATCATGATGACTGGGTGTATGCGCGGGCTGCCCTGACCGTGGTCGCCGGGTCTGGCAAGGACGCCAATGCAGGTTTACCTGGGGTTAGAAAAGAGTCCCGGAAATTCCATCAGGAGATTGAGCAAGTCAAGCCCGGCCTGCAGCTCATGGTGTCTCATCTTGCCGAAGGTGCGTACTTGTCTCGAGTGTCTCTTCTGGTCGCTTACTCTCTTTGATCTAGACTACATCTCGACTTCGCAATGGGATTCTCGTGCCTGGACTTTCCAGGAGAGGATGCTGTCACGGAGGTGCCTGCTGTTTGTCAATGGTCGGATATACTACCAATGTCGACGAACGACCTTCTGCGAGGATATGGAGATGCCTCGGAGTAATGGCTGGTCACTTGACTCGATTGACATGCCTACGAGGATCTTCCGGGAGAAGCCTTTTGTGCAATTCACCTCGGCAGTGGAATTATATACGCGGCGTGAACTCACCAATCCTACAGACATCCTGCATGCTTTTGACGGCGTAAAGCTGGTTCTGGAGATGCGCATTGGGGCGAAAATTTATTGGGGTGCTCTGGAAACCATGTTGGATTCGTCTCTGATCTGGGAATCGACAAAGAGGCTGTTCCGCCGACAAGGATTTCCAAGCTGGTCATGGTCAGGCTGGATCGGAGAAGTGCAGTGGAGGTACACCGAACCTGTCCAGTCATGGATCGAATGGCATGCCGACCAGGATATTGGAATCCATCCGTTTCCCAAGCAAGCCTACGACCGGATACCGCCGCCTCTACCTCGACCGGACAACCAAGGGCCAGTGTCGCGCCACAGACTGAGTACAACCACTCCTTTATTGCATTTCCGGACTGTCACCGCGTATTTCCAACTGGCTTCGCCAGCACTCATTCATAAATCAGTTATCTCGCCCCTCAGGAAACGACTCACTGGCCCAAGTGCCTTGTCGACGGTCAGACCAGCGCCGGCAGACCCAGGCTTGATTCGGGCGGGGATCGCCGATCTCAATGGACTCTGGTGTGGCACAATTGATCTTGACGTGGATTGGATGTCGCAGGTTGCGACACCTTTGGAGTTTTTGGTCATGTCAAAAGTCGATCGATTTACCGACGACGAACTCAGTTTTTGGGAGGGAACATTGCCAGATGACATCGAGGACTTACTGACGCAACGTGATTACGGAGTCTACAATGTCATGCTAGTTTCCCGAAAAGACGGCATATATTGCCGAGAAGGGCTGGGGCGTATACTTACCGAAGCCTTATCTAGAGCCCTCGAGCCGGGGCCGGAGTGGAGAGATATAGTTCTGGGATGATCTCTGTGCAGTATTCGGCCTCGGGGCAGGCTCAGTGCAGGTGCATCTTACAATGGTACAGTTTGCATCTCTATGATTTGGACGGTCACCTCCTCGTTCACTCCGCGATACGGGTCGTTTGTGGCCGGCCCATTCAGTTCAATTCGCGGCTCATGTCGCCCTGAGTATGAATGCCCAAGGGCTGGCCACATCCCATCTATGATGGGCCTGGACGACTAGACCAGCAAACAACTGTTCTGTTCTGGGGAGGGGAGATTAAGAATTTGTTTATGCACGGCGATTACGATTACGATTCACCACCATCTTCTCGAGTTCGTGTTCGTCTCCTGAAGCCATACAAAGCTGAGCTAGCTGCACAGGTGACTGAATCGGGCCCTCCCTGCCTTAGTGTGAACCAAACCAATCCACGCTGCAAAATCAAATCCCCCCATGGGCATGTAGATTCCCCATATGCTTCAAGCGTACATATTAGGTGGTCCAGTCAAGCCTGTCAAACTTAGGCACTAACCTAGGCATTCCCAGCCTTGTGCTTTAACCCCAAGGCTGGTTTAGGTGCTATCTATACTATATAGCATGCGCTCCCCCTGTGACCCATTCATAGAGAACATGGAACATTTCCACCTTCATTTGACAAAGCCGTCCGTGAACACACCCTAGTAGTTATAGTTGGGTATCCCCGTAACTCGGACTTTCACTGCGCCATTGCCTTCTTTGGGAAACGCAAAGCCTCGGGTATGGTACAGTTCAATATCCTGTTGTGTGGTTTCCCAAAGGTCCATATCGAGGCTGCTGGCGACTTTTGCTATGCCAAGGTACAGTGCGGCGTAGGCCAGACTTGGCAACATACGTTAGTCACGGCTCTAGGAAAGGGAAAGAGGGAGAGAGGGAGAGAGGAGAGAGGAAAAAAGGAAGAAAGGAAAAGGCGGCACATCTTCTGGCGGCCCGGGAATAAAAGTGATGGCCATACTTTATACCGAGACAACCCCTGCTCCCTTTGGAAAAGCTAACCATGTACTTGTCGAGATTGAAGCCGTCTTGGGCTGCCTTGATCCAACGATCAGGGTCGAATTCGTGAGGATTCGGGAAGATCGACGCATCGTTGTTGATGAGGTAGGTCGACTGACTGACGGGAGTCTGAAGATGGTCAGTGTTGTACAAGCATGATGGCATCAAAGATCTGGGTTGACCGGAAGTCGAACTTACCCCCGGTGGGATGGTGTACTCGTTGTATTGCAAAGCTTCCTCGGCCGAGATCCTTGGAATGCGGACGACCAGGCCATATGAAAGCCTGAGCGCCTCCTGGACGACTCCTCTCTGTGGCTCGGGTTAGCCAACCAACCACTTAACCTACGTCTCAGGAGAGGGGGAGGAGGTCACCATGAAGGGTAGAGCCTCGAGCTCAGCAACAGTCCACGCGCGGTTGGCGTCTGCCGAGTTCGGCAGGGTGTGCAGCTCCTGTCGCAACCTCTGCAGGTGTTTCTTGTCGTTCAGCAGGTGGAACATGGCGACCCCGAGAGTCCGGGCAGTGGTATCTATGCCGGCGAAGATGATGGTCTCGCCCTCGTCAAGCAGGCGATCAATATTCTTCTCCTCGGCCGGGATGCTCGGGTCGGTCAAGGCGCTGACAATGACCGATTTGAATTTGGACTTGGTCTGGGTGTCCCTGGCGCCGCTGCCGCCGCCCCGGGGCCGGTTAAGAAATTCCATGATGTTTTTCTTGTTGGCACTGCGGGCCGACATGACGAGGGAAAAGTTCGGGTTGAGGAAGCGGAGGATGGGGAGTGGAAGATTCTTGATGGTGGTTGGGGGCACGGGGAGAAAGCGGGTGAGGTGGTAGAAGTCCAGCAAGGCTGTGAGGGCGTCTTTGAGGCCAAACTTGAAGCCGTCGCTGCCCAGGTAGTTGGGATGCGAGCCGTAGAAGTGGAAGGTGACCACGTCGGCCGTGAAGGCGGAGAAGGCTGAGGTCAAGTCGACCGGGATTCCCGCTCCCATTCCCTGGGTCATGGTCTCTCGGAGGCGTGAGCACATGACGTCCAGTCTTTCTTGGATGGTGGGTTCCAGGCCGACGATGGCACGTTTGGAGAAATACGGGCTCACGACCGCCCGCCGTTTGCGGTGGAGATCGTGTTCGATCGTGGCGATGGTGGAATGAGGGAACGTGTAGCCTGCCACCGCCGATGGCTCCTTGTTGACGGGCCGGCCGCCGCCAGCATAGATGGTGGAAAAGTACTCGGGATCATGAATGTGCAGTGATCGTGAGTTGATGCGAACAATCGGCCCTGTCGAGGGGGCCCTGTCAGTCAGACTCTCTCACTCGGTGAAGTGGCCTTGCTTGGGGCGAGATGTGTTCTCCGTTCAGATTGCAGGCCCCGCCCCTGGGCTATGAGTGGACGTCGACACCGTGATCCCCCGGAGAGAGAGAGAGAGAGAGAGAGAGAGAGAGAGAGAGAGAGATAGATGTCTTCGTTACCTACCGTATTTGCGATGCATCTTCTCGATTTCCCAGAGGTATGTCCCATCCTTGACCACATCGTAATAGAACTCATAAAACGACCCGACCGCTGCCAGCTTGGGGCCCGGGAAGTTGCGCAGCGGGTGCAGGAAGAGGTCGTAGACACATCGAGCCACAAGGTATGCAGTCAGAGCACAGCCGGCCAGGCCAAAGGCTGCTGAAACAGAGAAGCCGTCAAGTGCTCCGAGTACGAGCTCAAACATGATGGCAGTGGCGGTGGGAGAAGTCACTCAACCTCAGCGTGCAGCTTAGCTACTAGAAATGTTGTCAGACAAATGCAACGACAGAAGAGGATGGGCGAAGGCGAGGGCGATTTTCCTCTTCGCAGGACTCCCTCAACCGCCGTGTTCTTCTTGAACGACTATGTATAGTCAGGCTTGTGCCCTAGAAGAGACCGGTCTGCTCTGCTTACAGGGCATACGCCATTTCCGATTCCGACTCTCACCATCTCCTCTCCTCTTGTACGATCGCCAGGCCTCCGTCATCGAGCGTGTACGGCCTACAGGCCTTGCTTGGGATATGTTGCACGATGGAACATAACGTGAGAGCACATGTGAAAGATGCGAGCCACAACAATGCCTGGGTGATAAGGCTGAGACCTCCTATTGGAAGGACCCATCCCTGCTTTGGGCGGACAGCCGAGCATGTGTGCTTTGGCCTTAATTTGTACGTACAATTGGCGGTTTGCGTTTTACTGTACCACCGGCAACGGTGCTGTATCACCGTGGGACTATCTGTACAGCGACTGTGTGGCCCTGGGACGCCGGGGGGCCCTGAGGGCCTGATGTCAGCCTCAAGCCTGCCGGACAGCCGAACGAGACGAGACTCGGTCCGTCCCTACCCGCAGGGCCGGCGGCTTAGGGGCCGCGGTGGAGCCTTGCTATCTTTTGTATGTAGGGGATGGAGATATTGACACGGATGGGTTCAGCATGTGTAGGATCCTGGATACTGCACGGTCGACGCAGTCAGCATACTACATGCTAGATATGATATCGAGGATGGGCGGCCTGGTTTTCCAGTTCAGTTTATATACGTAGCACGGGGCGAGCAAGTTCTTCTCTCCCTTTGTCTCTCTATCTCTCTCTCTCTCGCTCTCTCGCTCTCTATCTCTCTTCATCACCTACCTGACTGACAGATCCTTTACAAATTGCAAAGCAAACCATGGCCCTGGACACGGTCACTCCCACGTTCCCTTCCGAGCAGTTCTGCCGGTCGGTGGTGCGGTTCCTCGACGCCCTGGAGTACGAGGACGACAACCTGACGCTTGACGAGCGTGTGCAGGGGCTGCGGTACGTGCACTCCAAGACGGCCGAGTATTTCACGCAGGCCCTGCCGCGCGAGACACTCAAGAGAGTGCATCCGGAACGGATTGCGGCGGTGACACGCACCATCTCGCACTTCATCATCTACTGCTGGTCGAGAGTGCCGCGAGACGTGCAGGTGGAAATCAGCATCTACCTGTCCATCATCAACGTGCTCGACGACGAGATCAACGCCGACCCCAACGAGCAGATGGGATCCTTCTGGGTCGATCTGCTGCAGGGCAAGCAACAGAAGCATCCCTTCTGGCTGCTGATGAACGCGCGCCTCCCCACGCTGCTCAGCCACTACGGAAGCTTCTGCTCGTTCAACATCATGCGCTGCACCTTCGACTACTTCGAAGGCTGCTGGATCGAACAGCACAACTTTCGCGGCTACCCGGGCTCTGACCGCTACCCGGACTTCCTGCGCCGTCTGAACTGTCTCGGCGGCGCCGTCGGCGGCACCATGTTCCCGGCCGTCGATTTCGACGACCAGAAGCTGTTTCGGGAGTTTGCCTGCGTCATGGCCCAGATCGACGGGCCCGTCGCCCTCATGAACGACCTGTTCTCCTTCTACAAGGAATTCAATCTCGACGAGGCCAACCTGGTCTCCAACTGGTGCGCCGTCGACGGCATCTCGCTGGACCAGGCCCTGGAGCGCCTGACCGACGAGACCATCCACGCCTGCCAGCAGATCTTGAGCGTGTTCAAGGACAAGGATCCCAGTGTGCTGGCCACCATCCGCACCTTCATCCGCGGCTATGTCACCTGGCATTTCTGTGACTTGAGGTACCGTCTGCGCGAAGTCTACGACGCCGCTAAAGACCATGGTCCCGTCGGAGCCAAATTCCGCCAGTACTTTGAGAAGGCCCTGGATGTCGGCTGGGTTGACCTGGACCAATGGACTTTGACTCCGCCCGAGAATCATCTCTCGCTCAACGGAGCTGAAGTCGACATCGACCCTGCCCAGGAGCTCAACCCGGCTCAAGTGAACGGCGCCGAGATCAGCGAAGCACCAGCTGCACATGAGGCCATCGCCGTTGGGGGCTGATGGACGCCTGGTTCAAGGCAGTCAAGGCAGCCTGGGCCTTACGGCATATGGGTGATAGATGGATCCCAGGTGTGGGTCCTAGTCCTTTTCTTTTCTTTCAGGACCATCCGGATGTGGCAGCCCATAGACGTACTTTATCCCGAGACGGGGGGGATCCGACGATTCTAGTACCAGACTTTATTTCATGACTAGTACCAGACTTTATTTCGTATCTATATCAAAGACATGACATGGTTTCTTTCGGCCAATCACTCTCGAACTCGTCCCTATACTCCGTATAGAAGAGCTTTCCCTTTCCCTTTCCCTTTCCCATTCCATGTGCCTGAGTTCAAAACAAGTGATTTTCCCATTCCATGTGTCTGAGTTCACAGCAAGTGATTTGCGTCCGACTTAGTTTTCTTCTGAAGAAACCTCAACCACTCGGATTGGTGCCGGTTGCCCAGGGCAGAATAGAGACAGATAAGACAACCGGGTTATCATTGTCCTGGGACGAACCACGAGACTAGGATCTAGGATCTGATCTTGGTGGGTGGCAGTACTATTGCACTGTACCTGTACCTGTCCCCAGCCGAAGCCGAAGCCGTGCTCCCGTAAACACGCCATCCCAGGCACGGCACAGTCAGCGCGAAACTTGAACGTGAGTAGCCTGGGCGAATCGAAAGGTGAGTCTGGCGAGCCTTAGCCTGCCTGAATCTGCACATTTTGCGTGCTCAGTGCGGCCTGAAGTCTCTAGCCTGTAGCCTTATCGGTCCCATACCGTACAGTCCTGTCCTGCTGTCCCGTACCACAGCCGGTGGTCACAGATGTCTATTTCTACTAGGAATTGATTGAGGATCCATACAGGAAGAATCATTGACTGAGGGTCCATACAGCATCATTTACAGTCATCTCATGTCTGCTTCTGCTCCATTCTCGCGTGGATCCGTCGGCTCCGTCTATGTAGGTGGCATCACCAGGATACTCGCAGGCCGACCGACACCACTACATTTGGCACATGTTGAACCGGGTTATGTGTCAATGCTATGGTTAGTATGTACGTATAGTAGCTAACTCAGTTGTTCAGAACCACGTGTCAAGGATATAGGATACAAACTGTTCAGAACCACATGTCAAGGATGTAGGATACAAACTGTTCAGAACCATGTGTCAAGGTTACAGGACACAGGATACAAACATCGCTTGTCTGATTCCTTGGTTTAATCGTAGGCTTAGGGGTCCGGTCCCGGTGCTTCCGTAGGATTTATCATTCGTGCACATCCATATCTTACATACAGTACGAGGCGAGAATGCTACTCTACTCTGTGCCAGCCAGTGACGAGGCGAGAATGCTACTCTATTCCGTGCCAGTGACCACTGACCACTGACCACTGACTGCCCCACAGGGTGATTGCTATCCCACATGCACTACTACAGTACTACTGCCACTGGTGCAAGAGACAGACAGGGTGCTGACGCTGACGCTGTGGTGGCCTGAATGAATGAAGTCAGTCCTACGTAGCACGACCGGCTGAGCTGAGGCGAAAGGAACGGGAGCGGGAGCGGGAACGGGGTCGAAACGTGGCGGCATAAATCCTTCCTTCTCCTTCTATCGCATCTTCAGCAGTTCGTCGCTTTCACTTTCACTTTACAGGTAACGGAGGCTGGTTTCACGTCCAGTAACACAGAGTCTCAGTCTCAGTCAGGACTTGGCTGAGTCGGTCTTCGATATACTGTCTTGTCCACCCTTAGCGGGAACGGTTGAATCGGTCTTCTATTTACTGTCTTGTGTCTTGTCTACACTGGGTGCCCAGGGCTTGGGCGTGTACTGTCAGCCGAGCCAGTTTGTTCTGTGCAGCAGGTCGATGGCGATGGCGACCTCTCTCCCCGTCTTGGTTGGGTATGGGAATCTACTGCTCATAACTCTCATTGTCACAGCCATCGTCGCTGTTGCCGTAGTCTATCAAGCATTCTTCGCCATCCGGTATCCCGCCAGCCTTCCTCTGGGAGGAGAACCTCCTGGGGCGAGACGCTTTAGCTTGAGGACAAGATGGAGATACTACACCGACTGTGCCGGGCTGTATAGACAGGCATATGAACAGGTACGTACGCTATCATTGTTGAAATTGGAGGTTGAAGTCGAGAAATGGGCAGAGGGCAGTGGGCACCCAACCTGGCTGACCTTGAGCAATCACTACACTCGTCCTGGAAGAACTAACACTAACCCCAATCCCCCCTTCCAGTACACCAAGAAAGGCAAGGCTGTCCTCCTGCCCGGGCTCGGGTGCCGCCTAGACATCATCTTGCCTCAAAGCGCCATGCGGTGGGTACTGGCGCGACCGGAGAACGAACTCAGTCACGCCGATGCCGTGCTCGAGGTTGTGCAGCTCAAGTACGGGCTGGGCGACGAGAAATACAAGGCCGATCCTTGGCCGGGCATGCTGGTCAAGACCGAGATCAATGCCATGTTGGAGAATGTGTGTGCTGACATGAACGACGAACTGGCCCACGCCTTCGACCGCTTGCTCGGCGGTGGCGGTGGCGGTGGCAATGCAGGCACCGATCAAGACACGGGTTCGGACTCGGACTCGTGGAAGGAGATCGACCTGCTGCACACGGTCAGGCTGGTGGTGGCACAGGCTGCCAGCCGCTTCACAGTTGGGCTTCCGCTCTGTAAGTTTCTCGGTTCTCGGTTCTCGACTCTCTGTTCTGCTTGACGGCAATCCAATATCCATGAAGTTCGGTCGAGGCATTTGTGGTTCCTGAATCCCGACTCTCGACGACGGAACCCAAGCCCTAACTTCCCAGTTCCATGTCCTTGTCCTTGTCCTGACTGAGGGGATTTCGATTTTGATTTTGGCAGGTCGCAATCAACAGTATCTGCGAGACTGCTTGAGAGTCGTCGACGGCATCGTCTTGAACGGCGGCCTGACAGGTGCATGCCCCCGAGCTCTGCGGCCCATCTTGGGTCCGATATTCAGCTGGAATCTCCGTCGCCACGTCGACAGAGTCAAGAAGCACTTCGAGCCACTTTACCGCCGGAGAATGCAGGACTTGACCATGAACAACAACAACAACAACAAAAGAGACGAAGAAGGTGCCAGACAAGCCAAGGGAGACCCGACGACTAAGCCCCCGGATCTCCTACAAATGATGCTTCAGTACGGCCTGAAGGAACGGCCGGGCGAAGTGTACGACGTCGACAGCATGGCTCGCCGCCTCTGTTTCGCCAACTTCGCCGCGTTCCACCAGACCAGCATCCTCATCACCAACATGCTCCTCAACATCCTGAGCTCGGACGCCGAATTCAACACCATCTCGGTGCTCCGCGACGAGGTGGCTCGCATCGTAACCGGGGTGGGATCCCCGACCGGCGCCGCCGCCGACGACGACCTCCATCCCCAATGGACCAAGTACAAGGTGGCACAAATGGTCAAGGCCGACAGTGTGGCTCGTGAGACGCTACGGCTGAACTCGTACAGCAACCGCGGACTGTTCCGCAAGGTCATGGTGGACGGCATTGTCACGGAAGAAGGCATCAGGCTGCCCAAGGGCGCGTACCTCTCATTCCTGGGCCACCCGCTGCAATGCGACCCGGACACGTTCGACCGGCCGTTCAGATACGATCCGTTCCGCTTCTCGCGCGCGCGCGAGGCCGCCGCCGACCACAAGGGCAATGCGGGCTTGAGCAATCTCAGCTTCGTCGCCACCTCCCCCCAGCACCTGCCGTTCGGCCACGGCAATCATTCCTGTCCGGGCCGCTTTCTGGTCGACTTCGAGCTGAAGATGATCATCGCTTACCTCTTGGAGAACTATCATTTGGATTTCCCCGCCGAGTACGCCGGGAATCGTCCGCCGAATAGGTGGGTGGCCGAGGCGTTGGCGCCGCCTGCTGCAGTCAAGATCAGGGTCAAGAGGCAGAAAAAGGAAACAGCCCACTAGACTTGTCCAGTGAGACTAAGCCTTTGTTCATGACAATATCAAAAAATGAAAGGAAGCTTTGTCATTGTAGAGTCTCTTCCTCAAGAGGGAGAGGTATACGGAGAGGTAGAGGGAGAGAGGACGGCCGAAACATGCCAGCTAGACCCGTCAGTGGGTCACCTATGTATTCACAACGTATACTTGTAGTTCGGGGCCTTGTCTCCCAACTCGATCAAATGCTCGTCGGTATAGGTGGCAGAGATCGCCTCCCACCGGGCATCTCGCTTCTTATTGATGCGACGACAGATGAGATAGTACACCACCATGCTCACGAGACCAAGAACATTGAATCCAAGCACGAGAGAATGTCCCAGCCTGTAGCGGGGCGCGTCCTGTTTGTGATAGAAGTTGGAGGCTGCCGCTCCACCCATGGTGCCGAAGCCTGGGAAGTTCGCATCAGGTTAGTTTTAGTTACAGGATAGAACCCTCGAGTGGATTATAGATATCCTTGTGGGCAAAGGGAGGGAAGGCAGGAGACACTGACCAATTTGTATCGCCATGCCAGTGGCCCGCTTCGCGTTGGGGGCGTAGTTGTTTGCAGAGAGGGTGAGGAGGCCAGGAAATGCTGTGTACAGAAGAGATACTCTTCGGTCAGACGCGATTCTTGTATGATGAATACGCAGACAATGGGGGTGGGAGGGATGATCTTGGCATAAAGCAAATCCAGACGACAGAGGGGGTTGGGTGACTTGACTTACCAGGATAGATGCCGCAGGCGGCGATGAAGCAGCCGGCATACGTCAAGCCAGGGATGAAGGATGAGGGAGCAACAGCAAGCAAGAAGCCGACGAAGACTGCCGCGTAGGAAATGAAGACGAAGAGGCCTCGCTTCTGCGTCTTGTCCGAATAGTAGCCCACTGCGATACAGCAGATCGACGCCGCCACGTAGATCGGGACGGTCAACAACTGGGCGTGCTCGGCGCTATAGCCGAGGCCGTTGATGATGGTGGGAAGGAACAGAGATACCGCGTAGACTGCGACGGCCTAAATGATAAATCGTCTTGTCAACCACAACCACTGTACCACTGGTAGACGAAAGGTCTGGATGCTCAGCTCACATTGCCCCAATATCCCAGACAGTGGAAAAGAGTCTGTGATGACATTAGATGCTGGAAATAATAGAGCACGCAATGGCCGGTTAACTCACTTGCCAATCCGTGAATGCTGCCCACACGAACTTCCACTTGAATTGGTGGTTGAGTGTGCGCTCTTGAGGGGTGGTGGTGGATTGTGGACGGTCGATCCTCAGCCTCATTATTGCCAGACTCTTCTCCCTCTCGTCCAGGAAGTTCGCGGTGGCTGGCTCGTCGGGGATGATCCAGAAGGCTGAGAAGGCAACCAGAACCGTCAGGAGTCCTTCGAGGATGAATCTGTCAATGCGGATCAGCGTGGCTCGGACAAGTCGACCAAGTGGACGAATCCAAGGCAACAGACATCCACCTCCAGCCATAAAGACCTCCAACACCATCCATCTTCACGATCCCGTACGCGAGGAGGCCTGAAAATGCCCCGGCTACTGATGCAGATGCAAATACCAGGGCCATGCGTAGTTGTGCATCTGCACGCGTGTACCTGGCGAGAATCATGATCAGCTGAGCTTCTTGCCCGCCGCTTTTCAGAGCAACGCAGGCTCTCCCGATCACAAGCTTGCGAGGGCAACTTACCACAATGAGATGTAGAAGGTGATTCCAGGAACTGCGAAGGGTTGTCAGTCAGGATCGTTGGAGAAGCTTCACAGGGACCATCATACAAAGGCCAGCTTCCGTAAGACCTTGTGGGCAATGTTAGCACCTAACCACGTGAATGAAGATACAGCTCACATACCGAGAAAGAACCTGGCAGCAAGCAATCCCGAATATCCTTGGACGAGTCCTGTCAGGGTCATGACAACGCCTGTCCAATGTTAGAAGTTGCTGCATGCTGGTAGCCTTCTTTCCTTTCGACTCTCTTACCCCACGCAACCATGATTGATGGGAGCCAGATGCTTGGTCGGAACTTGACAAGCAAGGCGTTGCAGACCGGCTCGAAGAAGCAATAAGGGAAAAAGAAGACTGTCAAGCACCTTCCATGCAGTTAGCGGCAGGTCGTTGCGGCGATCCCGTGCCAGTGCCAGCACCAGCCTCCTTACCAGTTATACTGATTTCCAACCAGGCCGATATCTTTGGAGAGCCCTTGAATGTTGGCGTTTCCTATGTTTCCTTTGGCACAATTAGTACAATGTGTCCCTCCGTCAAACATGATCAAGTCTCATACCGCGGTCGAGAAAGCTCAATAGATAGAGCGCTGCTAAAATGGGAATGATACGCATGTCCATCTTCCGAAGAAGTCGGCGATATTGTTTTGTCTCGTCATTATCGTCCGAGACACGAAAATCACCTTGTGCCTCGTTGGGCTTTTCATCAATCTCCTCTTCATGCTGAGACGAAGGCAGGGCTTTGGACAGTTCTTTCGAATTCATGGTGATGGTGGGGTCGCAAGGGTGCAAACAGTCATGGAGGGCTGCATAAGCGAACTGGCCCTGAAGTCTTGAACGAGTCTCTATATAGTAGAGGCCTCTCTGAGCGACCCCGGATTCGCGATCAAGCTTGACCCTGTGACAGGGCAGTGTAGCTTGAATCCCCGCCGCCGGTGCATCACTTACCGTAACCGGGCCGTATTGTTTCCATTATGGTTCCGGTTATGGTATCTTTACCGTTGCCGGTGGAACGCAGTCGAATGGTTCCTACCTAAACCATCCTCCTCATTTTTGAATTCCCCGTTGCCTAGCCATTGGCTATGGTTGGAAATCAGCTGATATGGGGGCCGCGGCTTGTACAGTTGCCAGGCAATGTTGGTAGTTGCTCGTCTTGGACCGACGGAAGGAACAGCGTGAACATACCGGGACGGGTCTTTTGGGTAACTCTGCGGCAAGCCAGACTCCGACGCAAGACATGATTTTCTCCTCATAAAGTAGATCCCATCCCGAGTGAAAGAGAAAAGGAACAAGTAGACTCGCAGGTCTATTACATTTGTCAAAACCGACCAAATATTCAACCATGGGATCCATGCCCGAGACAGCTGGCCAAACAAATGGCACCGTCCAAGAGGCCAGATACATCGGATTCGAGCAGCTTCCACAACATGCAGTCAACAGTCGTGGCGAACCTGCCCTGAACAGATGGTCTCATTTCATCACCAAAGACAAGGACTATCCGGCTTCTCAGGTACGTGCGGCCACATATTATATCTCCTCAAAGACTTACAGCTGACGCTCGATTTCAGGCCATGCTGTATGCTGCTGGGGTTCCTGATAAGGATGCCATGCAGAACAGCCCTCATGTCGGCATTGCGTCGGTCTGGTGGGAAGGAAATCCTTGCAAGTATGCTCAAGTACCTACCCGGGTTATCAGTGGACAGTACTGACACAAATCCAGCATGCATCGTGAGTAGAGACCCACTAGAAGGCCGAATCCTATTCATTAACACACCTCTTACAGTCCTCGACTTGGCGAAAGTGGTCAAGGACTCTGTAACCAAGCAGGGCTTCATTGGGTGGCAATACAATACCGTGGGGGTTTCGGATGCCATTACCGTCGGAACAGAGGGCATGCGATTCTCGCTGCAGACAAGAGAACTCATTGCAGACAGCTTGGAGACGGTGACATGCGCGCAACATCACGACGCCAACATTGCCATTGCCGGTTGCGACAAAAACATGCCAGGAGTGGTGATGGCAATGGCGCGCCATAACCGACCGTCACTCATGATATATGGTGGCGCCAGTAAGCCGGGCTATTCCAGACTGCTTCGCCAGACAATCAATGTGAGCAAATGTTGGGAGGCTCAAGGTGCTTATCAATACGGCACACTTGCCAAAGCCGTTGAAGACCCATCCAAGACCCCGGACGATGTTCTGGAAGACATCATAACAGGGGCCTGTCCTGGCGCAGGGGCTTGTGGAGGAATGTATACTGCAAATACCATGGCCACCGCAATCGAAGTCATGGGACTCTCGTTACCCGGTTCATCATCCAATCCTGCGGCATCTGCGACCAAGATGAGAGAATGTAACAAGGCGGGTGAATATATCCGACTGTGTATGGAGAAAAGCATCCGACCAAGGGATCTCTTGACTCTGAGAGCGTTTGACAATGCCTTGACGATGACCATGGTTCTTGGTGGGTCGACGAATGCTGCGCTTCATCTCCTCGCGATGGCTTCTGCGGCCGAGGTTCCCTTGACGCTTGCGGATGTCCAGCGAGTGAGTGACAAAGTCCCCTACCTCGCCAACCTCGCCCCTGCGGGTCAATATCTGATGGCTGATCTTTACGATGTCGGCGGTATCCCGGCCGTTTGCAAGCTCTTGGTCGCGGCTGGTTTACTGGATGGGTCGGTGCCAACCGTGACTGGGAAGACGTTGGCCGAGAACATCGAGCCATATCCATCGCTGAAGCAGGATCAAACCATCATCCGCCCGGTCGATAATCCTATCAAGGCAACAGGGCATTTGCAAGTGCTGAGAGGTAACTTGGCTCCCACTGGAGCTGTGGCTAAGATCAGCGGCAAAGAAGGCACCAGTTTTGTGGGCAAGGCTCGGGTGTTCGACAAGGAGAAATACCTCAACGCTGCGTTGAGAGCTGGTCAGATTCCGCGAGACGAGAATCTTGTCCTCATCGTGCGCTACGAGGGGCCGAAAGGAGGGCCTGGAATGCCAGAGCAATTGCAGGCATCGGCAGCCCTGATCGGGGCACAGCTGAAGAACATTGCATTAGTGACAGATGGCAGATATTCAGGAGCGTCTCACGGCTTCATCGTGGGACATGTAACACCAGAGGCGGCAGTGGGCGGCCCAATTGCCGCCGTCAGAGATGGCGATGTGGTGACTATCTCGGCCATCACAAATGAATTGTCGGTGGATCTGACGGAGGATGAGATTGCAGCACGATTGAAGGGATGGAAACCTCCTCCAAGTGCAGTGACCAGAGGAGTGTTGGCCAAGTATCAGAGATTGGTAGGCTCGGCAGACAAAGGCGCAGTGACAGACCTGTTCTAGGCATGGGAGCAACCCCTAGTAGGTGCCTAGGTAGCCAGCATTAATAGAGTTATAGGCGAGCCTAAGTGTGCAGACCTAAGCAATAGCCCCGATATCTCCGGGTACCTAAAGACCCCCGCACAGCCCGCAGTCCAGTGAGTGGAGGTTCCCCGGCACCCGGCCACCTTAGCTTGCCCCTCTACTGTACATAAGCCCTAGACTTCGCCCCTGGTAGCATGTGGACGGATATCTCGACTGGACTTCCTGTCCATTCCCAAGGCAATAAGCGACTACAGTCCTCCGTACTCCGTACATCCTGTATAATGCATTGCTCATCGCCATTTGTCCTCCAAATTTCCCACGCATAAGACTCCTACTTCGCTCAGGATGAATCCCCCCAATCCTAGCCACTCAGTGTTTGTCAAGAGACGGAGGAGCGCTGTGGCTTGTATCAGATGCAATCGGCAACGCATCCGCTGTGACGCTGCAACTGCGGGCCTCCCCTGCACCAACTGTCGGCGTCTGAAGAACGGAGACTGCCAATTCATAGAATCCAGGCGTGTCAGGTAAATCTCTGTCAAGGCGTCGAGCCAGCTCTGTCTAACGCTACCGCTGAAGAGGGACCACGGGGCGTTTTGTTTCTCGAGACCAAACGGACGAGCGAAGGCCAGAAATCGGCCGCATTCAAAAGACTGAACACACTTTGACGTCTGCGGAAGCGTTGTCCACCACCACGGCACAAGTTCCCGAGTATACCATCGACATCGATCAACTGTGCAGGGATGAAGAAGAGCGCACTGAGGCACAGACCGCCGAGACACACTCAGAGTCGAAGTCAGACGAAGCCTCGCACGTTACACCGGCTGATGGCTGTCACCCCAGTTCCACATCGCACCTCTCGCCCAGTCACCGCACCTGGGGTGAGAGCTGGTACCTCTCCTACATACTGCATACCACGAACAATGAACATCCTCGAATACACCAACCGCTGAACGGACAGACCATGGACGGAACACCACATGTCAACGAGGAGACTGAAGAAGCCAACAGTTCGGCCCCGGCAATAACAGCGAACACCATTCAACGTGGTGCCCAAACTCTTCCGTCGCCAGCGTCAGTCATCCGTCTGCTTGATGCATTCTTTGTCCACTTCCATCCATTCTGCCCCATCTTAGAGGAAGCCCAGGTTCGGTCTTCTCTCCACGACGGCTCTCTGTCGGTAGTGTTGCTTCGTTGCATTCTCTTCGTTGCATCGATCCACTGTGAAATGAAGCTCTTACAGGCGCTGGGGTACTCCAGCCGCATCGAAGCCGAGGACAGTCTCTTCCGGAAGGCCAAGACCTCTTTTGACTCGGATGAAGAGAGAGACAACTTGACATTGCTTTTCTGCTCCTATCTTCTGCACTACTGGTCAGGCAGGCCGGCATCTTTCAAGGACAGCATGTGGTGGTTGGCGGGAGCAATCCGATGCGCCCAGGCCCTGGGGATGCACCGCAGTATGGAGAGAAGCAAAGCTCCGGACGACCTCCGCCGATCGTGGAGGAGGATTTGGTGGCTGCTTTATGTATGGCTGAGTGGAATCTCACCCATGATGATTATGACTGCTAATCCCGAGCTTTCTGGCTACAGATTCGGGACCGACAGATATCCATTTCACTTGGAAAGCCGACTCTTATCAATGATAGGGACTGCGACGTGGAAAGTTTGGAAGAGGATGATTTCCCAGACGTACACCAGGAAATCAAGGCCTACGTTATAGAGCAGGCACGCTTGTCAGTCGCTGGTAAGTATCAATGGCTAACGGGAGGCGGCTGGGTTCTTTCTGATTGCTACAGCATCACGCATCTTCGCATTGTTCTCTCCTGGTCCTGGGTCCCGCCCAACTGAGGCAGTAGATGCCAAGCATATCCTGGCGACCATTGAAGACCATTTCAACGAATGGTATGCTCATTTGGAGCCGAGCTTTGTCATGGAAAGCTCAAAGAGATGTCGATTGGGGTTGATTCTTCATATGACCGTCAAGTGAGACGAGTACTCGATCATTGCTATATGGAGCCGGTCTTTGCTGACCAAAGAATGCGTCGTGGTAGTTATTACACAATCTTATCCTACCGAATGCTACAGCGCCACTACTCGAGAGCTCTGAGAGCCGGTGATTTGGACTCCCGCTGCACGACTGTCATCTTGAAAGCCGCTGGAAGAACCACGTCCCTCCTGGAGAACGCGGTGGTGAGCTTCGAAGCTCGCCATTTCCCGATGATATGGTATGCTAGTCACCGACAAGGAGAAAATCAATGCTGATGGATAGGAAAGCGTTTCAGCCGTCTTTGCAGCCATGACGGTTCAACATGTCCATTGTGGGAACCCAGCCTTGGACGGCCCCGAGCGAGAACTTCTCTCGCAAAAGCTCCGCTTCAATTTGCTTGGACTGAAGGAGTTTGAGCAGTGTCACATCCTGGCTCGTTGGATCCGACAACTTTTTCTTCTGGCCCTCGACCGATCACGCACGAATCCCCGTCCATTTCGGTCTTCACGACCGATCCCTTGCCCGGACCCACATAACAATCAGCGTGATCGAGCAGCTGCCACTCCAGTCAGTGGACAGCCATTACCTACGGCACAAATATCGTATGAGTCGGAACAGCTGCACGGAGGGCGGCCAGACACCATCGCTTCGTTGCCAGTTACAGGTCTAGACTCAACGACCCCTGACTGCACCGCCAGCCTGGGGGCTGAGAGCCTCCTCACCCCCGAGGCTGCGCCGTTCGATCGGTTTTTCCCCGAAGTAGATGTGCATTTCGGGTTTTGGAGCAATCCTGAATTGATGTGGTTGCAAGCGTCCGCCGACGAGTTCACCATGGCAGATTCCTCTGGTTGGTTTGATCATGACTTTTCCCGTCCAGCGAATCTGTAGTGAGTACTGGCTGCGGCTGCGAACGACGATCCAACACGTTGACGAGATTCAGATTCACAGAGAAGGTCAGGGTTACCTAAGGGTATGTAGCTCGTCTTCATGCTTCCTTGTTACAGCACTCCGTAGTACCGTACAGATACAGTACTGTATCTTATCTGCACGTGCCACACTCCCCCTGACAGAAGGCTGGGTCAGCTGTAGCAGCTGCGGGGGAACAATCTGATCGCCGCCGCAGGAGCCATACAGCGATACGCAGATACGGTACTAGGCTTGTACGTGTCTGTACCGCCACTCAACTTATTTTTCAATCCCCGAGTTCAATCAATGACTCAGTCGCCGTTCCTCATCCTCTGTCCACAACTTCCCCCTTGATCCCTCTAGTCTTTCCTCTTCTTTCTCTCCCTTCCTCGTCTACTCCTCCGGCTGGCAGATTTTGTTCCTCACTCCCAGTAAATCTTGCCAACATGGAAGCCATCAAGGCGACTTTTGCGCGATGCAAACAGGAACACAGATCTGCCCTCGTAGCATACTTTACCGCCGGGTACCCAACGAAAGAATCGACCGTGGATGTCATGCTGGGGCTGCAGGCTGGTGGTGCTGGTATGAAGCCGTGACTCCTCCAAGCATATCTCTTCCGTCTAACCTGCGGTGTGGTAGATGTCATCGAACTCGGCCTGCCCTTCACAGATCCCATCGCGGACGGACCTACCATCCAAAAATCAAACACCGTCGCTCTCCAGAACGGTGTCACTATCCCAATCGCCCTGGACTTTGTTCGAGACGCTCGGAATCGAGGCCTTCGCGTCCCCGTCCTCTTCATGGGCTACTTCAACCCTCTACTTCGCTACGGCGAGGATCGCATGCTGAAGGATTGCAAAGAAGCTGGCGTCAATGGATTCATCATGGTGGACTTGCCCCCGGAAGAAGCGGTCAGATTCCGAAACAATTGCACAAAGGCCGGCCTCTCATATGTGCCGCTGATTGCTCCAGCCACGTCCGAGAAACGAATGAAGCTGCTATGCAAGATCGCCGACTCTTTCATCTATGTGGTGTCGCGCATGGGTGTCACTGGCGCAACGGGTACTTTGAACACAAAACTGCCAGAACTGCTCGCAAGAGTGCATCAGTACTCTGGTGGGGTTCCCGCCGCGGTTGGGTTTGGCGTCAGCACAAGAGACCATTTCCTGAGTGTCGCAGAGATTGCCGAGGGTGTGGTCATTGGCAGCCAAATTGTCACGGAACTGGGCAATGCGAAGACCGGCGAATATGCAAAGGCCGTCCAAGAATACTGCTCGCAAATCACCGGGCGGAAAGTCGGCGACTTCAATGACACAAATGGCTTAACAAGGGAAGTCGGAATTGTCGAGGCAGTCAATGCCGCAAAAGAACCCAATGCTTCGACAAATGGGCTCAACGGTCATCAAGTCCAAGTCGACAAGGTCATCACCGATGCTGATATTCCGTCAGAACCAGGTCTGGCCGACCAACTAGATGCCCTCAATTCTGCCACAAATGGGACCGAACCGAACCCTGATGCGATTCCAGCCCAATTCGGCCAGTTCGGTGGTCAATATGTTCCGGAGTCACTGATGGACTGTCTAGCCGAACTCGAGGAGGGCTTCACCAAAGCGAGGAACGATCCGGAATTCTGGAAAGAATACCGGTCCTATTATCCCTACATGGGCCGACCTTCATCACTTCATCTGGCAAATCGGCTGACTGAAAAAGTGGGTGGTGCCCAAATTTACCTGAAAAGAGAGGACCTCAACCACACTGGAAGCCATAAGATCAACAATGCCCTGGGACAGATTCTTATTGCACGGCGGCTAGGCAAGACGCGTATCATCGCTGAAACCGGGGCCGGTCAACATGGTGTCGCTACCGCAACTGTGTGTGCCAAGTTTGGCCTGCAATGTGTTGTGTACATGGGTGCCGAGGATGTGCGTCGACAGGCGTTGAATGTGTTTCGAATGAAGCTGCTCGGCGCCAAAGTTGTCGCCGTAGAAGCCGGATCTCGTACCCTCCGCGACGCGGTCAACGAAGCTCTGCGTGCGTGGGTGGTTGACCTTGACACCACGCACTATATCATTGGATCAGCCATCGGGCCTCATCCATTCCCTACCATTGTCCGTACATTTCAGAGCGTGATCGGGCAAGAGACCAAGGAGCAATTGAAGGAAATCACAGGCAAGCTACCCGATGCCGTGATCGCCTGCGTTGGCGGTGGCTCCAACGCCGTCGGCATGTTCTTCCCTTTCAGCTCCGATCCATCAGTGAAGTTGATCGGTGTGGAAGCTGCCGGCGAGGGCGTTGACACTGGCAAGCACTCTGCCACTCTGTCTGGCGGCTCCGTTGGCGTGCTACACGGCGTCAGGACGTATGTTCTCCAGAACGAGCATGGCCAGATCGCCGACACGCACTCTATTTCGGCCGGACTCGATTACCCTGGCGTCGGGCCGGAGTTGTCGAATTGGAAAGACAGCGCGCGCGCACAGTTCATCAGCGCCACGGATGCACAGGCCCTGATCGGGTTCCGGACACTCAGCGAGACTGAGGGCATCATCCCCGCGCTCGAATCGAGTCATGCCATCTACGGAGCGATGGAAGTGGCTAAAAAGATGGGCAAAGATCAGACCCTGGTCATCTGCCTCAGTGGAAGAGGTGACAAAGATGTCCAGAGTGTTGCGGATGAATTGCCCAACCTGGGTCCGCAGATTGGTTGGGATTTGAGATTTTAGAAACAGGACTGTCGCATCCAAGAAGGTGTCAGGTGCAGCCCAAAACCGATAAACAGGCCGCGACTTTACTGCACTATAGATTCTGAACAGAAACAGATGCGAGTCGGGTCTGCTGCTCAGGGAGATCTTGGAGTTGGAATCAAAGGCGGTCTACGCTCTATGTATGTGTACATGAAATGTGTACATGAATGTGCCGCCATGCAATGCAACTTCGTCCAGTTTTCCGAATGTTTATTGCTCCGCCAGATTCAATCCTCCCATAATCCTGAATGAGACCTTACCTCACAAAGCGCAGTGAGGATATAGTTTCAAACAACCCTGTCCAGAGAGCCCAACGGAAGAGAATCTGCGCCGGGCACTCGCTTTCCGCCCTAGGATCTCAGCAAACTTGAATATAGCCCCAGCTGAAGCTTGACCAGAGGCCCCGGCCGCTTGACTTTGCGATGCCCTTGGGCTCCTTGATTACCCTTGGAAGAACGTAGATTTATCACTTGCGTTTTCTTTCGTATGTGAATGGTAAACTTTTCTTTGTAAATCTGGCCAAGCGAGGGAATGGCAGCGAAAGTTGCCCGGCTGGATGAAGGTAAGGCTATCACATGCCTCCTCCAGCCACCCGACTGCAGTGAAGATGCCGGCAGTGAAGGTACCGGCAGAATGCCTTCACCATTCCTCCCCCCCCCCCCCTCCAAAAACGTAGGGATATATATTTGATGACCAAGTTTTACTCACAATAACGCAAAGACCCCTAGCACCGATTAGTTCAGGTCAAACCACTTTAGCTCAACGGCAGCTCGTCTGGTGACAGACAGAAGTGGAAGGCAACTAATCGACTGGGCGACCCGATGACAAAATCCTCGAGTTCGAGTTCGATCCACGTCTCGCCCACTGAGTGACGACTTTTCGACCAAAAACTCCGATTCCCTGCGAACCCGGGAACACGCCAGCCAACGATGCGAACCAAGTCCACCCCTGCGAACCCGGGGTACCGCCAACCAACGAGTCTCTAAAACGGAAAAACCCTGCGAACCCGGGTTTCACTTCCCACGACCCCCATATCAAAGGGGTTCGTGAAAAAGTTTTTGTCCGTTGGGATTGTTGGAGGATATTTTTAGCGTTGCTGATTCTGCGGGTGAGGCAGAAAAAATAAGTGCTTGATGGAGTGAATACAGAAAGTGAATGTTCAGATATCACACAGTTCTGACTAAGAGAAGATCAAGTGTCCACCCTGTCCGCAGAGATTGGTAGGATCAACTTGGGACCAGCCGAAACACGCCGCGAGTCTCCATCCCGCCAACTTTAAACCCGCGACGACCCAGATCTGCGCGGTCGACGGCCCGACGTTGATCCGCATCTAAAGTGACGGCATCTGCACCTTCTCTTTCTCTTTCTCTTTCTATTTCTTCCACCTCACACCTCACAGACTCGAGGCTCAGCATTGCCATTGCACTGGGCTGCTCAGCTTGTCGGAAGAGATCAAAAGCTGGAATGCCCCGCGAACTGTCTGCGAGACATGCCTCACAACCCGACAACCTCTCGAGTCTCGGGGCCTGCTCCAGTGCATGGTCTTCCCCGCACTGTTGTGGTCGATCTCCTCTCCAGTCATGACCCCCGGCTTTACCGCGACGTTCCCCAGCTTCAACGCTGAGTCCACCGGATACGAGTCAGACCTTGGAACCCGAGTGACTGAATTGCAAAAGGTGGAGCTCAAGTTATCTAAGATGTTCGACGCGTCCGCTCTCAAGCTACCGGAAATGTGCCATTTACCTCGGGTTTGGAGGTGGAGGATCATCAGTCCCGGTTTAGGCGCCTCGGTGTCAGTTGGATAGATATACTGGTGAGTATGGGGTATGGGGTACGGGGTACGGCTACGGCTACGGGGTGTATTAAAGCCTTTTCCTTCTGTCGTCGACTTTCCAACCACCCTACTCCTCTCGCTCACCTCACCCTCTCACCGCGCTAGATCACGCTGTCGGTCACGATGTTGCACAAAATCGTGGTCAATACATACAATTTGTGGGTGGTCGTGTTCGTCGCCCTCGGTACCATTTCAACTGCCTATGGCCTCGCCATTATCGGCTCGACGGTTGGTCAGCCCAATTTCTACACCTACTTTGGCCTCGCGACTGCAGGAGAGCCCGGGTATGACCACACAACCAACATGATTGGCGCCTTGAATGGCGTGAACTCGGCGGGAGCAATCGCAGGATGTATCTTCCAAGCCTGGTCTGCCGACTCGTACGGACGCAAGCGGACCATGCAAATAGGTTGTGTTGTCCTCATCATCGGTGGAGCTCTCTGTGCCGGTGCCTATGACATGGCCATGTTCCTTGTCGGGAGATTCGTGGCCGGGTTGGGTGCTGGAATTCTCGCCTGTGTGGTTCCTATCTACCAAGCCGAGGTCTCGACCCCAGAGACTCGTGGAGCCATGGTCTGCGTCACAGGCATCATGTACGCTCTGGGCTACAGTTCTGCAGGATGGCTGGGTTACGCCTGTTTCTTCATGAAGGCTCATGATCCCGCCGCCCAATTTGCTTGGCGCTTTCCCCTGGCTTTCCAGGTCGTCTTTCCCATCATCCTCCTGGCTGGGAGCGAGATGGTTCCGTACAGTCCACGTTGGCTGCTTTCCAAAGGCCGGCGACAAGAAGCATTGGATGTGGTCAAGAGACTACATAAAACACCCGCCGACACCAAGGACGTGAAAGCCAGACAGGAATTCTGGCTGATGGAGAAGCAATATGAGATGGATGCCAGTTTGGTCGTGCGTCGCTTCGAGCTCTTCCGCACCCCAGCCAATCGCAAACGAGCTCTCATGGCATGTGTTCTCATGTTTGGAGATTCGTGCTTAGGAATTTATGTGATGACGAATTACGGAGTCTTGATATACGCGAGTTTAGGCCTCGATGGGTCGACTCCTCTACTACTCAATGCCTGCTGGACGACCTTGACCATCTTTGGGAACATTTGGACGGCACTTTACATCGACCGCTTTGGCCGACGGAAGTTCATGCTCATTGGAGCATGCGGCTGTGTCCTGGCATTGGTGTTGCTCTGCGCCTTGACGGCTTCATTCCTCAACACCGACAACACGGCGGGGCTCAAAGCGGCCGTCTTCATGGTCTGGCTGTACATCGTGTTTTGGTGTTTCTTCGTCGACGCCACGCAGTACGTCTACGTCTCGGAGATCTTTCCCAACCACCTACGCCCGCACGGCGTCGCGCTGGGTCTGTCTGCGTTCTACCTCGCCAGCGAAGTCACCCTGGTCGCGGCCCCCGTGGCTCTGAACAAGATTGGCTGGAAGTTCTACTTGGTCCTGATCATCCCCAGCGCCGTCTACATCGTCATCATGTACTTGACCTTCCCCGAGACCAAGGGCCGTACGCTCGAGGAGATCGGCGACGTCTTTGGCGACACCCAGCACGTCGCAAGCCATTGGTACACCGCCAACCCGGAGGAGAAGGAGAAGATTGCCCAACAAGCTCTCCGGGAGACCGAAGGTGGCTTGGTCCACGAGAAGGGCGACCGACCCTCCGTCCATGAGCTGGAGAATGCCACAGCGGAACAAGGCGATGTCGTTCAAACCCATGAGGTGGCAAAGGCGTAAAGCGCACTGGTTGGTGGTCGACCAGCAGTGTTCGTTGTTCGTTGTTTGCTGTTCGCTGTTTGCTGTTTGCTGTTCGCTCTTTGTTGCACGCTGTACTGCCTCTGCCGCTGCTACTGAACTGGTATAGACTGCCCTACCAGCCTCGGTAGGTCGGTTGGCCATGGTTCTGTACTTCAGATGGAGGAGTGGAGGAGTGGTTGGCTGCGCGAACGTGGGTCTGGGTCCGTCCACAAGAGCAATTGGCGTCAAGTCAATAAGACATAGGAGAGAGATATAGACTTGGCCAGATAACAAACTCGGAGAAGAAAGACACCTTGAGAGCAGGCGCTCTCTATATGCGTGCATACGAATCAATCAATTCATACTCGATAGGTCGTGTTCCCCAGCACAGAATGAGATGGATCCCCAACGCTCGATAAACTCATTGCGACGCCTGCAAAGACAACACTTCGTTGGCATTTATATATAGCTAGACCGCACCAGTCTCCTCTTACGAAACCCGACTATCGCTCCAATTGCACTTCCACTTCTACATCCACTTCTACTTCCACCTCCACTCCCACTCTGCCTTCGAAGCCTCTCCATTTCCATCTCCTATCCTCTGGCTCCCTAAATGGTACCAGGGTCAATCACCGACATTTCTGAAGCCTCAAACCCTTCAAGACCACAACACCCCCCTTGTTGGTCGCCAGGTCATGCCTTCAGAAATCACGCCTTCGAGACCTTGACCCTCACCCCCTTACTGTCCAGCTTGGGACTGGGCAGGAAGAAGTCATGGGCCAGCGCAACGTCGGAAATGTCCGTCTCGTACAGCTCGAAGGTGAAGGTGCGAAACACGGCCGCCAGGGTCAAGTACAATTCGGCATGGGCGAGACTAGGACAGAGCAGACAATGGTCAGCAGGTAGTAACAAGGAATGTGGAGGTCAAGGGCCAAGGGTCAAGAATGGTAGAGTGAGTACAGCAGGGTGGTGGAGTAGTGAACGTCGGGCAAGGAAGGAAGTAGCATATCTGGGTCATGGTATGTCCCAGACAAGAAAATAGCAATGCGCTATCGCTCTCACCCTCACTCCCCTAGCCTGTCCGAACAGAAGGAGAACGAGAGAGAGGAGGGGGATGAACAAATTAGGCGGCGTGGGGTATCAGCCAAGAAAGAGAATGGTGGTACTTGTCTGAAGAAAAAAGGAAACGCCCTGAAAAGATGGCGAAAATGGGCGGACGTAAGAGGCACATGTGGGGGCGTGAATGCGAGAGCGAGGTCGGAGTAGTAGAACTCTGCTGAGATGATTGATGCAGGGGACGGGGCAGCTAGAAGAGCAAAGGTTCTTGAAAGAAGGGGGGATCAAAGGAGACGCAGGGGCAGGAAATAAGGGAGACTGCTCACTTGATTCCCAAGCAGCTCCTGCTCCCTTTGCCGAAGCCGACGAAATATCGCTCCAGACTACTCCCGTCTTTGGTCTTGGGTGTGCCGATCCATCGTTCAGGGCGGAACTCGTGTGGCGAGGGGAAAATGTCTTCGTCGTTGTGGACGTCGACGATGGTCATGGAGACAGGCGTGCGCGGCGGAATGACCCAGTCCTTGTAGGTGAGTGGTTTGGAGAAGAGGCGCGGGTTCCGCGTGCTCACGGCGTCCGACAGGCGCACGGCCTCGTGCACACAACCGGTCAGGTAGGGCAGTTTCTCAAGTTCGAGCCACGACAGTGGCGCCGCAGGGTCGGGAATGGCCTGCTCGAGTTCCGCGCGCAGTTTCTTCAGCACCGCCGGGTTGCTGGTCAGGTGGAAGGCGGCGACGCTGAGGGCCCAGCCGGTGGTGGTCACTCCGGCGGCAACCACAAGCTGCGCCTCGTCTTGCAGCCGTCGCGTTTCCTTCTCCGCCTCTGGGAGATTGCTGGAGATGAGTTCCTGGAAAACGGTCGGGTGGGAGGATTTGGCGATCAAGTCGTTCATTTTGCCCTGCTTCATGGCGGTGATCTGCCTGCGGAAATCCTGTACAGATACATGGTCTCGTTAGTATGTTGATATCCGTTCGATGCATTAAGGCAACTGTGTTGTGTCTGGGGCAAGAAGACAGCAGGCGAAAGGGAAAAGAGAAGAATAAAGAATAGAACGTACAGCTTGCATGCGGAAAACAAGTGCATACAGCGGCTCTATCTTGACAAGGATGGATTCCGGTAGCAGAAACAGAAGCTTCGGCACCCATGGGCACTGCAGCGAAAGATGGCCGCTGATGCTCGCCGCCATGAAGGGCTCGTGCATTGTCTTCTCGAAGTTGGCCCCCTTCAGGTGGTCGTAACTCATGGAGAAACAGTATTGCATCACCACGTCGCCCGTCAGGGCCATGAAAGCCCGGTTGAGAGGCAACACCTTGTTTTCTCGCTGGAACTCGGCAATACGGTCAACCAAAAGCTTGATCTTGAGCCGGATGATGGTCTGAAGGTCGACGATACGGGCTCGCGAGAACAGCGGATTCAACGCGCCCCGGCGGATACGGTGAAGCTCGTCGGGCCCGGTGGTGAAGACGGACGTGTTGCAGCCAAAGCGGCCGGCCATCCAATCATACTTGTCGACCCGACCAGCCTTGGTGTAGAGCGTTTCGTAGAACTGTGAGTCCTGGATGTGCAGTTCGTCCGGGACGATGCGGACAATCGGGCCTGGTTGGCCAGAAAACAGGATAGTGTCAGTCAGAGATATGTGGCTATTCGGCGAGGAAACCCAACAATGGCTTTCTTGATAACGACAACAGGGACGGCATACCATACTGCTTGTGCAGTTCCTGGATTTTGAAGGTGAATTGTCCTTTCTTGACTACTTCGTAGTAAAACTCGTGCCACCGACTGATCGCGGCGTATTTTGGCCCAGGAAATTTGGCGAGGGGGTGGAAGTAGAGTCGATAGACGACAAGACCTAGCAAGTAGACGAAATAGGCGACAATTAGGCTGGTGATGGGATAATTTACAATCGATGAGATAGCCATGGCGGGCTCGGCGACAGTTACAGTGGCCGCGGCGCTGGGCTTTGAAGGGGATTCGGGACTGGGGACTGAACAAGGTCGAGGTTGAGGTCGAGGTCCAGTTCGAGGTCAGAATCGAGGTAAAGGTCGAAGTCGAGCTCGAGCTCGGTACCTATGCATACACTCGACACGTGTAAGCGGAGTTGGCCTGACTTGGGTCCAGTGGTCCGATACAGTCGCATTGAGGGCATGCCATTGCCAGGCTGGCGTGGTGAGACACGTACTGAGAGGCCTCCAGGGAAGGGTGCAATGTGCAATGTTCATGGCCTAAAAGCTAGCTAGAAGAGTGGTCGCACATCCGCGAAGACCGGTGCTGCACTAAGAGACGTCTGAGCTGGCCGCTGGATCCCGCCGAGTGGTGGCGGGGAGCCAATCGGGGGGCCCTAAGGACTGACCAAGATGTCGAAGGGATGATAGAGTGGGTGTCGGGGGGCGCGGCAGCGTCCTTGTCGCACTGGAGACACAGCCTAATGCATGCTAGGTGGATGCTAGATGGAACTGAGTCTGGCAGCAGAATCGTGTCGACACGGGTGTCACACCTGCAACCCGCCCGATTAGCAGAAAGCTTCCCCAGCCGTTTTCCGTGGGGCATTGTTGTGTTGAGAAAATCATGTCGTCGTTGTTCTGTGGTAATAATGTTCGCTCATGCCGGCTTTTGACCATATACAAAGTGCCATCGCAAATACAGATGAAGGCTCCGATCCTGAAACTCCCTTTTGACCAGCGCCATGGTCACTTGGGTGCGTTCCATGCTATGACCCAAGATCCGTGTGTAGTATGCCAGCATGAATGAGGGCACTGACTGCGTCATCTGCACTCTCATGAGCTCGCCAATTTCTTTCAGCTTCGGGTCCTTGGCCCAGCTACCAATGGGAATCTACTCAGGGTCAATAAATGAAGACAAGTCGGCGGGCTTGGGGATGCTTGCCTTTCGGATCATCTCGGAGACATGTTGAAACCCAGCATCAATCATCCATTGTCGATGAAGATGGGCAATGTTCAGCCGTTTGCCAAACATGGTGCTGGCTCGATCAACTTCGCGGATCCATTCGGAGCTGCCAGGAGCCCGATCCATGCCGCCGTCGTCGCTGTTGAGCCAACACTCGTGGTCCTGCATCTCTAACCATCCTCCCGGCTGCAGATGCTCGTACGCCTGCGCATAAAACCTCGGCCAATCTGCAATGCCCCCGCACAAAGCACGACCATGGATGAAGTCGAACTTCTCCGATTCATGGAATGTCCAGTCACTCTCGGCATCATCGATGTAGAATTGTAGGTTGGGAGGAACCCACACTGGCTGGATGGGCGATAGATCCGTACCAATGACTTGTGCCATGGGGAACCGGTCGGCTATTTCGATTGCCCAAATCCCAGTACCGGTTCCTACATCGAGGATGCGTTGAGGTTCTTCGGGCAAGGGCGCCAGGTATAGCTCTCCGCCCAGGATCATCTTGAAAAGATGATGCAGCAGGTCTAGTCGTTCTTGTTCCTCTTCATCATTAGGAATTGGATATTCTCCATCTCGGTATGCATGGTATGTTCGACCGTTCTCGTATCGGTGGTTGTAGATTGATGAGCGCAGTGAAGAGCTCAAGACTGTTTGGTCATCGTCGCTGAATGCAGAATCCGTGTCACCTGAATGACTCTGGGCAAGTAGCACGCGTGGTAAGCAACCTGAATCGTTCGGACGGAGTCATTCTTACGCTGGCATTTTCCTCCACTGAAACGGCACGATCTTCTTCAACCGTTACGTCCACATGGGCGTCTTCATGGGACATATCTATCGTCCCAAAAAGGCTCTTTCACGGTGACCACACGAAGCCACCCGCTTCAGAGTGAAGGGCAATAGGAGGTGAAAGTGCCGCATCCAAGACGATAGGTTTGCGACGGCAGGACGTGATCATCGAGCAGCTGGTTTGAAGTGGGAGGAAGAGAAGAGTCGGCGTTCGACCGTTGCCGGCAAGAGCGTGAAGTTTTGTGGAAGGAAAGTCTGTCGCAGGCGCAGGTGCGCCTTCCAATGTCGCTTTCAACCGTCAACGGTCAACCCTTCACCGCACCCATGTCAGGCTTCGCTAAACTTGTTGGACCAAGTGGAGGATGGAGGGGGAACAGTCTCCACACGCTGAGGTCGAGCCTGGCTTCTCGTGCACGCAGCTTGGGCCAGCCCTGACCTCCACCTCTATTGAAGGTTTTTTGTCTAGTGCAGAGTACACATGGTAGTAGCGAATGGAAGCACACATTCATTCTAGCGATCTAGCGATCAGTGGTGTCGCGAGACCCTGGTGCACCGACGTCGGCGAATGCTGCGCCAGACACCTCGAGTGTTACATACAGTAGCTCGGCATAGGCGCCGTGCAGGTGGCTTGGAATAGTTGGGAGTAGTTCCTTTGGGCCTTAGGAACCCTTTGGACCGGGTCGGAACGGGCCACTTGAATGTCCCAGGGACTGGATCCAAGGGCTAAGGAGGCCCATAAGGCCCCTAAGACTTAGGCGCAAGCCTACAATACGTACCTAGGTCAGTTCCACCTAGCGGACCTGGGGCTCATCAATTTAGCTTGCTTGCAGCCATCCTTCGTCTGGAGGAAAAATACGTACTGTGCAAGTTGGCAGGAGGTGGCCTGGCCTCGGCTGGCGTTCCAAGCACGAAAGCAGTCCGGATTATCCGTACCTATACGTATTTAACCTGGTCACATATGTCCTGTAAGTGCCCGGACAGCGCCAATCACGCCCCTCTGTCCGGACATCCGCAGCCTTAGAGCCCCTAAGCCTGAGCCTCCTAAGCCCGGGGGAGGGTTCTTAGGGAACACCCACCACCAGAGAAAGGGCCTCCGGAGATATGCTTCGCGGCGAAGGAAATTTGCATCCATGGTGTGCTCTAAAAAGCAGATCTCCGTGCGGCAGAGCGGTTTATGTGGTACATCAACATGGCATTTGGTGTCGAGTCGTTCATCTCCTAGTGTGCACCCTCTTGGTTAGGGACCTCTCGCTGCCAAATGATCGAGCTGTTAGTTATACTGGCAATGAGCCCCAGCATAGGGTAAACTATTGCAAGCTGCTCGTTCCTCCAACCTGCAGGAATAGATGGAGATGGAAGAAGCTGAATACCCCGGTGGCTAGTGATAATGAGCATCCATTGGATGCAATGTGTCGATACTGTTTATCCAGGCGAATACAGGGAGAAGCAGCGAAGTGTCTATACCTACAACTCACCGCTCCAAAGCCATTTGGATCTTTCACTTACACTGGCAAAGTGACAACGGAACAGCCGGCAGACCTCCTCAGCACACAGGATTCGAAAGACGACTCACACTTAGTATCCCGGGGCTTTCTCGGCCAGCAGGTGGACAGAATATCCCGCACAAGGGTAGGATAGTTTTTGTAGGGGTGCCCAACATTGTCCCTGACCTACACAAGTGCAAGCATTGTTTGAAGTGACCGAAGCTCAATCTGGCCCTTTTGAGGAAACTTACAGCCTCGTTGAGAGACAAATAGGTAAATACTGAAAAATTAGTATGTATCGGCGTCTACGAACAGTTTCTCACAGCCACAGCTAGATCACGGGACTCAGAGGTCAAAGACTATGGTCACGTGGGTGTCACGGGAGTGCCAGTGTGAGTGCGGGTGCGGACGGCGCTTGGAGAGTACGGAGTACAGAAGTAATAGCGCAGTTTTGGCATCTGCGGAGCAGCACTGTAGCGAAAGCTTTCCTGTCAATCTGTTTCTCTTCCACTCCCAATACCCGTCTCACAGCTTCGTTGTCCGTCCATCCGTGGCCCTTGATCCTTGATCTTACTCGACGTCCATCTCTCCCCTTCACCTCTTTTCACCTCTCAAGTTCACCCACGATGTCTTTCGTCCGACAAATGTTTGGCCATGTCCAGCGCCGGGCTTTCACAGCCTCGGCTCGACAGGTAAATTCCTAGCTCTCATTGCGTCTTCTGTGCATCTTAAGCTGATGATCCTCCCTGCACAGTCCTCCAAGGTTGCCGTGCTCGGCGCCGCCGGTGGTATCGGACAACCTCTGTCTCTGTTGATGAAGCTCAACCCTCGAGTCTCTCAATTGGCCCTCTACGACATCCGCTTGGGTCCAGGTCCGTTTGTCCGTAACCTATACTACATGAGACAGAATTTAACAGGGATGGCTACACAGGTGTCGCAGCCGATCTCTCCCATATCAACACAAAGAGCGTCGTCAAGGGCTATGATCCAACCCCGTCCGGCCTCCGTGAGGCTCTGACGGGCTCTGAGATTGTCCTCATTCCCGCCGGTGTGCCGAGAAAACCTGGCATGACTCGGGACGGTAAGGGATGCCCTAAGCTATGGCAGAGACTCAGTCTAATGGAATGCCAGATCTTTTCAATACCAATGCTAGCATCGTCCGTGATCTTGCAAAGGCTGCCGCCGACGCTGCCCCTGGGGCCAATGTGCTGGTCATCGCCAATCCTGTACGGTTCACCCAGTAGGCCGATCAGAACACTCCACTAACGCAATCACAGGTCAACTCGACTGTGCCCATCGTCGCGGAGGTCTTCAAGAGCAAGGGAGTCTACAACCCGAAGCGCCTGTTTGGTGTCACTACTCTTGACGTTGTTCGTGCCTCTCGATTTATCTCGGAAATCAAGGGAACCGATCCCGCAGACGAGAACGTCACAGTTGTCGGTGGTCACTCCGGTGTCACCATTGTCCCCTTGATCTCTCAATCTCGCCACCCTAACATCTCCGGCGAACAGCTCGATGCCCTGGTCAACCGCATCCAATTTGGAGGGGATGAAGTGGTCAAGGCTAAGGATGGTGCCGGTTCGGCCACCCTTTCCATGGCCTTCGCAGGTGCCCGATTTGCAGAGAGCTTGTTGAGGGCCTCGCAAGGCGAAAAGGGAGTGATTGAGCCCACCTTCGTGGACAGCCCGCTGTACAAAGATCAAGGAATCGACTTCTTCGCCTCGAGGGTTGAGCTTGGACCTGAGGGGGCCCACAACATCTACCCGGTCGGCAAGCTCAGCAAACATGAGGAAGGTTTGTTGGAGGCTGCCTTGGCAGGTAAGTAGCTGCGCAACGTCCTTGGTGTAGAACAATAATGCTAACCTAGAGACAGACTTGAAGAAGAACATCCAGAAGGGCATCGACTTTGTCAAGGCCAACCCATAGACGGTGAGGGTTAGGGTGAGGGTGAGGGTGAGAGAGTGTGGATGAGATGCGTATGTACAAAAGCAAGGATATCGCAAGATTCTAGAGCAGGGTTGCTTCCGTCTAGTATTCTAGTGGGAGGATTCTTTGGAGCCTCGCAAGGAGAGAATCATGCCCTGGCTTTCTGTGCCACCCTTCTCTTTTCTTCAACAGATTCTTGAACTGTCCCTCCTCTCCCCAGACGTATGCGGTCCCGTATGCGCAAACCTGCTGCGCTCCCGTAAAAGACCGGCTTTAAGGAAGAGCGTTGGCGTCGGTCGGGCATTCTGTGAAGCCACGGGGTTGTCGCGCATTGTACATGTGTAGCTCAACCGGTGGGTGTTTTCAGGCGGCTGTGTGCGACGGGGCATCCAATCAAGCCGGTTCAGAAGTGTGAGGGAGTGTTGAGAGAGGTGCGCAGCCTGTCTTGGGCGAACCGCTGTGCCGGGATGAAACTGTCAAACGCAGGAAACAATCTGCGGGCCACTTCCACATCATAGCTTCTCTCCCATCACCAACATTTCCAGATCCTCCATCTGCCATCACTGTTCTGCCTGAGACTGGCCGTCTATCTTTGGGCGAGATTGTGTTGCTGTGCGTGGTTGACTTGACTGTTACTGTTGCGGGGTCCCGCATGGTCAGGACGCAGCCGGCAGTCAAACTACAGGCACCCTACAAGATCGGGCACCCACGCAACTCACGCCCTGTGAAGACGCCTCCCCTTGCTCTCGCTACAAAGGGGACTTGTGTTGTGCATCTCTACCTCCTCAATCACTCAGGTTGCCAGAATCTCGGTCTGTCCAACCGCAGAACCATCAGTCTTCCACCTCCTGCTGCGCCTACTAGTACGGCATCAACTTCAGCCTGATGGTCCTCGACCGCTATCCATGTCTTCGACCCTACCAGCCGATCTAGCATGAAATCCAGCTCTAGTGTCAACTAACCATTGCTATCCACTGAGATGGCTCAGAGGCTGGGAGTTCCCCGGGTCGACCCCGATGGTGATGCCCTCATGGCTGACGATCAACCTGACGAGACGAGAATCCCACCAGAGTTCCCACCTCGCAGCTACTACACGAACTGGCAGAACTATGGACTACGCTGGCACCCATTCCCACCCGCCATTCCCAGATTCTCATCTGCTGCCAGCCAAGATCGACTGGCACTTCCACCTGACCAGACCCTGCCAGCCTTGAGAACCCCCATCAACTATCCCACCTCGTTTGAGCCTTACTACCCGAATTCATTTGGGAACCTTCGGTACCTGCCTCCTCCGTTTCCGCCGTTTCCGCGTACGACAACTCAGCCTCAGCTGTTTCCTCCTTCCGTCGAGATCGGTACACGTTCAGCGACTGATCCTTCACCCAGACCTGCCTTCGGAGAACAGCCTTCCAGCGTCGAGCCGCGACGGTCTCTCACCTCAGACATAGAGTCACCAGCATCCCTTCCACATCTGTCGACAGTTTTTCCTAATCACATGTACATAGATCGGCAGCCACTGGCCAGCGTACAAGAGCCTCGGTCACAGAGACCGCATGGGGCGAATAGTACTGGTCAACAGGCGTCTCGCCCTACAACCTTCATGTTGCGCGCTCATGATAGCGTGGAGCTGATCGAAGAGAGACTGCTGCAATCACTTGATGGTCCTCCGGACAGGTTGAAGCATTCAGGTCCGGAGGCTGCCTCTCTTCATACAGGCTCTTTGAACGATATGGCAGACTCACGAGCACTACAGCAAGCAGTCCGGGCTTCACCACCTCCTCATCCCGGTGGCATGGGGCGGCCACTACCTCAAAATCAAATGTCACTCGACAGCAATGTGACCGGCACCGGCACCATTCCTGGCAATCGTGCACCACAACCACGTACTCCACGTCCACGTCACCGCCGCAGAATGTCTCGGCCTCCTATCCCTCGTGTCGCATGTACGGCATGTATGGAAGACTTCAAACTCGACGATCTGCTCAATCTAGCTTGCGCATGCCGCTATTGTACACCATGTCTCAATGCAGCATTCCGAGCGGGCTGTACCAGTAAGGCTGCGTTTCCGCCTAAGTGCTGTGGCCGCCCTCTGCGCATTTCTGTGTGGGGAAGCATGCTTGAGGCCGATATTCTGGAGCGATACAAATTGATTGAGGCCGATTTCAGCTCTACTCGCCCTCTTTACTGTGCTTCTCAGACCTGCTCCGCCTTCATTCCTGAACACCAACGGAATCTTCCCGAGGATATCGGAACATGTCCAGATTGTAAGGCAATCACCTGCAGCAAATGCAGAAAACCGATGGAGGAACACGAAGCATTGGGTGCTGACCCGCGGATCTGCCCGGCTGACGACGCAGAAGTAATTGCCTTGTACGCTCTGGGAAGTATGAAGAAATGGAGACAGTGCCCAACCTGCCTGAACATGGTAGAACGCACAGAAGGTTGCAACCACATGGATTGTGTGTGTGGAGTCGAGTTCTGCTACCGATGTGGAAACCTCTTTGACGAAGACGACAATTGCGGTTGCGACCCGAGCTCCTGGGACGAGGACGATGATGACGACGATGATGACGATGACGACGATGAGAATCAAGCAGGTGAGGGTGGAGGCAATGAGGGAAATGAAGACGGCGAGGCAGAAGCGTGGCCCAATTTTCGCATGGCGGTCGATGCATCAGGCAGACCCGTGTGTCTACATCTGCACACCGAAAGCAATGGCGATGATGTTCTCGTTTGCCATGGATGTCTCAGACATGGGCCGGTGCAAAGCTGCAATGATTGCGGCGTGGAGCTCTGTCAAACCTGTGTGGAAGATGTGCGCAGTACTGCACGCGGTCGTCGTGTTGAACTCATTGACACCGATGACGATGACTGAGCGGTCACAAGCAGATGTTATGCTGACCACGGAGGAAGGTCAGATAATTAACAACATGGACACAATCGCGAAACCGCTACCCTCTGACGACGTACCCGCGGCTATTCTATCGTCTGGGATCTCGGTACCGAGACCCTTGGACACTTTTGTTTGAGTTGGATGGACTCTACAGCAGGAACCTTCACGGCGAGTTTGGGACTTGCTGGCCTCTCAACGGATACCAGTGCTGGCCCAGCGCTCTCTCTTTTACACGTGTCGTGCAGCCATGAAGCCGGGATAATATGGCCAAAAGTCGCAGGAAGGAAGATTGAGACTGCCATGACAGGTTTGCCGGGTGGCATCAATCAGTCTCTCACGTACACGACACTTTACTGGCACTCTCTACGGCTCCTGAGCCCTTCATGCGGCGTACTGGGGCGGGCGGAACGAAAAGGAATCTTGCAATCTGGGGACACGCATGGGTGAAACTAATTGAGACTTGTTCTTTGGTCCTAGGACCCAATCCCTGTGGTGTCTACCATTGCGGCCAAGGTCCGGTAGGGCGGTGAGCACCTAGCTGCAGCATGGGCAGCCAGAGCAGCAGGTTCATTACCGAACCCATTGCTCAACGATCGCAATGACTTTTACGGGGCAGTTATTATGAACATGTAGAAGTAGGATCAGAAATCATCAACCACCCGACAGTTTACAGGAGCTACGAGTGGTACATGCACCCCTCCAAGCCGAGTAGAGAAACGAATAGAGAAACTGGACGGAGCAGTAGGCGACATTGGCCAAATGCTTCGCGTAGTTAGGCGTGGTTATGAGAGAGGAAGGGTTCTCTAACCCAGTGCTAGTAAGGTGCACGAAATGGTTGAATTGCTACGAGATGCCCGGTCACGGGTCAGCAATCTTCAAGATACTCTTGCCGAGATTCTCGCCCTTCAGCATGCCCAAGAAGCCGTCGACGGCATGATCGATGCCGTGGGTGAAGAAGTCGACCGACTTGAAGCTGCCGTCGGCAATCCAGCGGGCGACCTTCTCGTCGCGCTCCTTCTCCCAGCGGATGATGTTGGGGTCGTAGACGATGAAGCCCTGCCAGCGCAGGCGTTTGCGCACGACGCTGCTGTAGTTCTTGACCCCGTACGCTCCCGACGCGCCCGAGTTGTTGTACGTCGAGATGGTGCCGCACGCCACGATGCGGCCGAAGTCTTTCATGTTTTGGAGCGCAACGTCCAGCAGCTCGCCGCCGACGTTGTCGTAGCTGTGTTTTGCACCCAGGAGTCAGTATCAGTATCAGTACATCAATTAATCAGAACCATCATCAAAAGCGTCGTTTGATGTCTTGGGGGCAGCAAAATCGACCATGGGACCCCGGGCGAGAGTCTGTGGCAAACATCTCCAGGAGGTCGAAGACGGCCGAACATGGGAATTGGAATTCAATAGGGGAAAGTCCAAGTCCAAGTCCAAGTCCAAGTCAAAGTGCAGGGTTAAAAACGTACTAGATGTCAATGCCGTCTGGAGCCAGCCTTTTGACCGCATCGCTTATGTTCTCCTTCTTGTAGTTGAAGCCGGAGGTGAAGCCGAGCTCGTTGATGATAAAGTCGAGTTTCCTGTCATCGCCGACGGAACCGATCACCTGGACCAAGGGGGGATTGAAGAGTCAGTTACTGATTTCCGCACTAAAAGGGGTAGTAGTGGGTACTGGGCACTGTGCACTGCCAGTGGCACAATGGCGTCCCTCGAGCATTTCGTATGTGTAAGTGATAGCTACTCACATGGAGACCTTCCTGCACGGCAATCTGGCCGACGGTCTGGCCGACGGCACCGGCAGCGGCCGAAACCAGAATCACGTCGCCGGGCTTGGGCTGGCCGATCTCGTGCAGCGAGCCGTAGGCAGTCATGCCGGTCATTCCCAGCGCGCCCAGGTAAGCGGTCAAGGGGACGCCCGGTTTGGGGTCAATGACGGCAGTTCTGTCGAGGGCAGACTCCGGCACGGCAGAGTACTCTTCCGTGTAGTAGCCTTTGATCAGGACGATGGCACCCTCCTTGATCTTGGGCGTGTCGCTTTTGAGGACCTTGCCGAGGACGTGGACGCTCACCACGGGCTTGCCGACCGTCATGGCCGGGGTGTAGGATTTGATGCTCGGGTCACGCATCCTACCGCGCTGGCTGGGATCGTATGTGGCGTACAGGTTCTTGGTGGTGAAGCCTCCCGGGGGCGGCGGCGCCGTCTCGTCGAATCCAATGTCTTCCACGCTCAAGTCTTTGCCTGGGACGGGCCAGCCGTCCGGTACGGCTTTGTACAGGAATGCCTTATTCTGGACCATCTTGCTTTCGGCGGCGGCGTGTAGGGTGGATGGAGATGAGATGGGCGGGCAGAAGACACGATAAGATGAAATAGTTCGGCAAAGCTGCGGCTGTCATCGAAGGTAGTTATATGTACGGATTATGGAGGATGGAGTCGCCTTTTACTCAGCACTGGTATCGCGTGAGGTACGTAGTGACTGTCATAATATAGTGGCAGAATGGCGGGACCCAATAGAGTCGTACGACCATGGTCAGAAACCCATAGACCTCGGCTGCTTTTCCCAAAAGTGTGAGGGTTGGTGTTGGTAATCGCTGCAGCACAGTACAGCACAGTACTAGTAATCGGCCAACAGCGAGGCATTGTGCCTCCAGGGATGGGTCTCTGGAGCATACTGTAGATACGCATACCGTCTGGAAAAGGGGAGATGAGGTACTAGGTATCTTATCGTTTTATCGATAAGTTGCTATCTGCCTGCGCTGCGCCTCCACAAACTGCGGCCTACCGCAGCCAGTGCGGACTCCGGAGTGCACGCCTAAAAGACAACATTGTTGCTTGATGCTGCAGCCCCTAAGCCTGAGTGCGGCGTGCCTATAGTGCCTAGATGCTGGCACCGTAATCCGTGGCTTAGGCGACAAGGTGGTGCTAAATAAGTGTCCTCTGGGTGCTGCTATATACTAGCTGTAGTAATGAATGGTAGGACAGTGCTAGCCAGTAGCCAAACTAGACCAGTGTCATAATTCACCGCTGCAGGCTGACTTCAGCTTGCTTCAATTGAAACACAGCTTGAGATCGACCTCAAACCACCACCAGTCTGCGTCTGCCCTTTATGTTTGCCATCTTCTGCATTTGACCACCGGCAGCCTGCTATAGATCTAGCCACTGGCACTGGCACCGGCATCCCTGCTTCTGCCTTGCTTTGTCTTACTTTGCCACTCTGCCTGATCGATAAAATTCCCACCCTGGCCGTCCTGAACGACCTGGGCCTGTCTGGTGTCCCAGCCTTGCTTTAAGTAACCTGCTCGTCACCTCGTCCGGCCTCTTCCTCCTTGTTTCTCAACCTCCAGCCCGGTACTGTCGTTGCTGCGCTGCTCTGAACGAACCACCCACACACGTTTGCGTTTTCGTAGCGTTATTACTGCGCAGCCATGTCCACCCTCCCTAACCAGCATGACCTGCATCAACGGCTTCAGGATTATCGTATCTTTGACCAAGCTCGGCAGTCCGAAATTGAGTTTCTAGCTCAAACCTGCCTCAAATTGGACTCGGAGCGGCTCACTCTCCAGAGCGACCTGGACGACGAACGCGCCACCCGACGCACCTGGAAGAGACGCGCCGAAGAAGCCGAAGTGGCTGTTCAACGCAAGTTTGTGGTCGTCCTTGTCGACGCTGATGGCTACATCTTCCGAAAGGTTTTTTTCCAAGCTCTGGCCGCTTCTGGAGGCTCCAAAGCTGCCAATGAGCTGTACACCGAGGTTGTAAACAATTTGAGGTCTGCTGAGGCTGGGCCCGCTATCAACGCCGACTGTGATGTCCTGGTTAATGTCTATGCCAACAAGGCCGGTCTGGCAAGAACCCTGGCCGCTGCCGATTACCTTAACCATCCCTCTCAAATCGATCATTTCTTCGGTTCTTTCACCCAGAGCCGCAGCCTCTTCCAGTTCATCGACTGTGGCCAGGGGAAAGAGAGGGTGGATGCTAAACTTCGAGGTCGGTCCCTTCCCCCTCGCAACTCAAATTGGAGACAATTCCGCGGCTGACATTGAGACCCCAGACACATTTCGATTCTATGCCTATAACGCTCAATGCCAACGCGTCTATCTGGCTTTTTGCCACGATATCGGGTATATTGCAGAGCTCGACAAGTATCGTCACGATGCCATTGTCATGCCAAAGGTCATGTTGATCCAAGCCGCTCAGACGGCTCCTGCTGCCCGAGCTTATGCTGGCCTTCCCTTCAAAAGCACTAGATTCGATAGCGTTTTTGAGACCTCGCCCTTAGACCTCACTCACAGAGTCGATGCGCCTTACGGCCCCACCGGATTCGACGCACTAAGTCTGGGTTCGTCTCCGGAGCAAGCGACCGACCATTCCACCCCGAGTGCGAGCCGATCGAGTTATTCATCGGTCTCGGGGCCGCCAGGTTTGACGCCACTAATGCCATTGTCTACGAACAACAAGCCTGCCAACCATGTTAGATCACCTACACCGCCAGCCGAGATAGTCAGCAAGCCACCGGTGAAACCTCAGATCCAGCCTCAACCACAGCCCCAAGTAGCTCAAGTACACAACGGACCCAACGGGGCGAGCGAGACCAAGCCGGGCATCCCGATCAACCGTCAAGGCCAACGGATTGATTTGAAGATGAGAATGCCCACCACCTCGGAGATGGAGAGGTTTGAGGAGCGCATCAGCCAACGACGTAAGCTCTGTAATGAGCACCACCTTCGAGACAACTGCGAGTCCTACAACTGCAAGTACGATCACGACCCGATCGACGCCAGTATGAGGAACACTCTGCGATACAAGGCCAGAAGCATTCCCTGTGCCCACGGCTCCAAGTGCCGTCGCCAGGATTGTTTCTATGGCCACCAATGCCCCTGGGGGAATAATAGCTGTGGCAATCTGAAGTGCGCCTTTCTCAAGACCGGCTTGCACGACATAAGAGATCTGGAAGTCGCCAAGTTTGTCCCGGCCCAACCGGGAGCATGAAAGAGGAAAGGGGGTTTGTCTCCGCCACCGATACCACCACCAACTGCACCACTAACCGGGAGAAGAGGAGGCTTTCATGTGAAGATCGATCCATCCCGGATCCTCTCGTTATCTTCTCCTTTGACTAAAGCGACCAAGCACGCCGCCGGCGATCCCAAGGACACGATCTACAGTAGCACAGTACAGTACAGTACAGTACGATAATAGGTAGCCCGGAGCCCATTGATCGACGCGGTGTTTGGAATGCATTTAATTTGATGGCATTGCGCCCAAAGCCGAAATACGCAGCCAGGGCGGTAAAATGATCTAGAGCATCGCTTCTTCTATTCCGTGTCATCGACGTTCCTCTGTTTGCTTAGGTATATATATGCGTACGAACTGGCCGACATGGGCACACCGAAAAGCGCACAGCATCACGCAACAAATACCTCCCTCGACCTACGTACCCGCCCAATGCAACCCGCAGTATCCTGATGCCCAATATCAACCGCGGATAAATCCCAAAGGTCCAAAGGTCCAAACTGTACAATCGTTATCCCTCGTAGCCTCTGTGGGCATTTGCCAAAAGCGTTGGCACTTCACAAACAATGCCGAGTCGGGCAGAAAGACGGCCATTCAAACGCCCCCACTACCAACAGAAAAGAGAACCAACACTTTGGGCCACGAGCCTTCAGCTCGACACCGTCGCCGCAGGGTTGCTCTTCTCAGCCAGCCTGAACGCCTGCTCCAACTCGTCGTCACTCGTGTCGGATAACTCGTCCAAGATACGATCAATCAGAGCATTCTTGTCGAAAACGGCATGGTCTGTCGAAGAAGATCCAGCGTCCGAGAAAGCCACTCTCTTAGGAGATGTCATGATGGATGCTTGGCTGAATTGTGTGCGTAGCGGTGAAGTCAAGGTCGAGCCCGGCGGTGCTGTTGTTCGGAGGGATGACGAGTCCTGAGACGCGTGCGAGGCCGGATTGTACCCTGAATTGTTTGGGCTGGCCATGAACATCAGTGTCTCGACGGCATCGGCTTCCATAGCCGCATTCTGGCTGGGTGTCCTTTTGCTGTTGGTCGGACGTGAAGCATAAATCTCTTTTGCATTCGTCCGTACTGGGGGAGGCGGGTGGACCCTACCGTGATATGCCGCGTTTGGGGTCGGTCGACGGCGTGATCCCAAGCCCGGTCCCGATCCTGACCCTGATCCTGGCATGATATCGACAGGAGGAGCGAGAGAGCGGCGTACCGCAGCATGCGGACTGCCTACCGCATTGGCCGTGGTTAGTCCGCGAGCTTCCAGGGCTACAGTACTGTCGGACGAATCGCTTTCACTGGATTCGCGTTGATATAATTTCCTCGACATGGCTGTCTTCGGGGAGAGTAGAGTTTGCGGGTCATTGTTGAATGGGTGAAATCCGGACACGGTCGATCGAGGCGATTGAGAGGCCAGAGACTCGACCTCATCGAATGAGCGAGACTGCCAGCCATTCTGCACCTTGATCATGGCATATTTCAGCTTGGTACGCAACTGCTGGGAGAGCTGTGACAAGTTAGTTCCACGCCAAAGTGACACAAGCAACTGGACGTGGTAGGATGCACACACCTCAAGCACGTTTCCATTTCCTCCATTCGAAGTTGTGCTCGACGTTCGAGAGTGGCCGGCCCCATCCGTAGATCTGGTTATTACATCCCCCATCCCGTTCACACTGGCTCTCTTGACTTGACCACTCGCTGTTCGCTTGGTGCCAGAAACTGCCTCTGGCAAGGGACTTTGAGAAGTTGAAGCAGACCTCGGTACTTGTACCGTTTCTTTCCCAGCATCCTGTTTGTCCTCTACCTTAACAGGCGACCCTGTTTCCTGGGATTCCTCCTGACTGGATATGGCCGAGGTAGGCGGTGTCGAGTCATCTTGTCCCGCGGCGAGATGATTCGTGCTGGAGGCGACACTTGTAGTTATATTCAGAGCAGCTGGTCGAGCAGGAGAATGCGGCAGAGCTGAGTCTGGCGAACTGTGTCGTGGAGGATGGGCAGGTGCGGCAGGGGAGGCCACAGGTGCCGATGTCAGTGTCGGTGGATCCGGCATGGTTGACGCATGCGTGGTGGCATGGTGCATAATCGCATCAACGGGGTCGGCGATGTCGGTCATGCCCGAGGAGACACAACAGTTGCAGAGATGAAGGTCGAGGGGAGAGGGTCGTGGTGCTTGAGGAGGACGGGCGATGAGGACGAGGGATAAGGGAACAGGTTGAAGCGGTCGTCCGGACCTCGACAGGGCAACAGGGCAGTGCGTCGTGTCGTCGCGTGCGTGCGAACTGGTCGTGTGGTCGTGTGGTCGTGGTGGAGTGTGTAGTGTACGGGTACTCTGTAGGCCGCGGTGATTGAATGGTGGGGCGCGACCGACTGCGACAACGACGGCGTGCGACGCGTAGGCAGACGCGTTGGCTGCGACTGGGACAGAGGAGAGGATGGCAGACGGGACGACCGTATACAGAGGAGGGTTGGACGGTCAGGTAGTCAAAGATGCGTGCTGGAAGAAGAGGAACCTGCTGGTGCTACCAGTCGGACATAATCATGGGCGACGCTGAAGAGCAGGACGCGGCGTGGCGCCGGCGCAGCAGCTGCTGCACGCGCCTCCTCTTCCTCCTCTGCCTCCATCCATCCTTCATCACAGTTATCTTCACAACTACGCCTCTCGAGACCTGCCCGGACCAGGATACATCTGCCTGCCACTGCGAACTCTTCGTGCTGTCCATAACCATACTCTATTCGGGGGTATCATCATGATATACTAGTCACATGGGAAAAGGCGAAAGCTCGCTCACCGCAGTACCTATGAAGCCCGCCTAATGCTTTTAACATCATCGTTTAGAACGTTTCCCTCTACCACCACCACCACCACCATCCTCCTCTCCAGGCTTCCGCTTCCGTCCTTCCCGTCTCCAGAACTCGTCTCGCTCCTTCTTCTCTCGCTCGTGCTTCTTCTCGAGATTCTCCGCGACCTTTTTGCGGTATACAGCACGCCTTTCTTCCTGCTTCTTCGCCCGCTTCTCCGCTTTCTCGTTCCTCAGTGTTTGCAGCTTCTGCATCAAGTCTCGAGCTTTCTTCTCCTCGCCGCCTAGCACAACTGCCCGTTTCTGAAGATAGGTCGGGGCTTTGCGGGCTTTCTGCTGTGTGATTTGCGATTTGAATGGAAGTTCTGCCGCAAGAGCTCGAGGCACTTTCAGAGGGTTGAAATGTCGCGTGGGCCGTTCAATCTTTGAATAGGCGGAATCTTTGACCAGCGGTGTAGGTATGCCCATGGCGGCGCGAACAGCGCCAGTAAGACGCATGGCCTGCCATCCATCAGATCCATCAGCCAGCTGTTGTGCTTCCCCGTCCGTGGCATCTACGGCATTGCTCGCAGGCGCATCCAACAAGTTGGTGACTGGGTTGTAGAACCGATGGGGTTTGACCGGGTACCACGCCCGCAGGAATACAATGTCAGACATGAGGATCTTGTCCTCGAATGTCGCACGAAAGTGTCCGTCAGGTTTACTCAAGGCCCGCTTGATCTGGCCGCGGATCCCAGACACCGTGCGAATGCCGGCACCCTCGAACTTGGCCACCTCGATTGACGAACTGAACATGTCTCGAATGAAGGCAGTATTGCGGAAGATTTTGTAGGGATGTCCGGTCAGCTTGAGCTTCTTGACAATCTCCGTCGTCTCGTCCACATTGAGCACCACTCCTGTAGCAGCGATGCGGAATCCAGGGTTGGCGTTCGTAAACGATTGAACACAGCAGAATCCGGTGTTGGGAGCCACAAGCGGCCCATAGAATGTGCCAAAGCAATGCATGTGCTCCGGCGTGTATTTCAACATCCGGTTTCGGGTCCGTGAGTCGGATATCGAATACAGGGGCAACGTCTGAAAGCGCCGCCAACCCAACGAGAAGATGAGAGGATCGTTCGTTTTCAGGATTTTCTTGTGCCAGCGATGTCGCTTGATTCGAACTTGCACAAATCCAAACCGGTCCTCCGTCGGAGCCAGCCCGCCGATGATGACGGGCATTTTCGGATTGAACGATCGGACGAACTCGTACGGGACTTTGTCCAACACGATCCTGGCGTATGTGCCTGATTTGAATCCTTCTGCTCGGGCCCGTGACACCGGATCCAGGCTGTCGAATTCGGCACGGTTGATATCAAGCTGCTTTTGAAGCATAGCCTTTTGAGCATCGTACCACTCGTCCTCCCCAAACTCCTGCTCTGTTGACTTGATCTCGCTCTTTGCATTAGCAAATCCTTCACGGTCTTCTTCCTCGAATCGTAGTCTTAATTCTTCTTTTCGTTTGGCATTCCTAGCTCGTTCCTCTTCAAGGGACAGTTCCTGTTGGGCCTCGGCGGTTTCCGATGCGGCGGCTTCAAGATCTTCGAACTCGCCATCTCCTTCGTCTGTTTCATCCCCGTCGTCTTCGGCTCCTCCGTCATCGTCTTCATCGTCAGTGTCTGCATTGGCCCCAGTCGCGAAGGAGGCCCTGGTGAAGCGAGGCATGAGAGCCTCGATTCTCTCGTCGTCCTCCCACTTCTCCACCAAGCGGTTGTAGTCGTACAAAGGGGTCTGACGGTCCTCGAGATCTGCTTCTTGCTCGGTCTTTGCTCGCTTGAAAAAGATATCCTCCTCATCATCACCTTCTTCCCCTTCATCCTCTTCGTCGGCGCCTGGTTGAGGCTGCTCTTCACTCTTCCATTTCGCGATGACTTGCGAGGGAGACAGTGTCAGATCATACATCAGCTTGGAGAGGTCCGCCGCACGGAAGGCCACTTTGTTGGCATGCAACTTCCTGGCATTTTCAGTGAGATTCTCTTTCCATCGAAGCCCACCGTCATCCTGTTCCTCATCATCATCGATCTCATCCTCATCGCCGGACAGATCTTGTTCACCATTGTCTTCACCAGAAATTGATCCCAGATCTGAATCACTTTCGGCAAAGTTCAGGTCGCCATCAGCTTCCTCCGCATCGGTGTCTTCCTCTTTGGCAATGCCAGGTCGACCGGTATGCTCGGGGAATTCAGTGATATCGTCGTCAGCGTCTTCATCTTCGGAATCGCCTTCGCCACTGACGAAGCCTTCATCCTCATCCTCCTCCAGGCGCGTGGTGAAATCGCCTGACTGGTCAAATGAGCGGATGCCTCGCTTCACCGTTCGGCCCATATCATCCTCTGCATTGTCTCCTCCAGTAAGTTGGCGACCACCCTGAAAGAGCCGTACTCCAGCATCAACTTCTCCTAGCAGTTTACGTTCACTTTGGAGATTCATCACAAGCTGCTCTCCAAGACCTCGTTCCTCTCCGTCACCTGCGTCACGATCGAAAGTGTTGGTCTTGACTTCGATGTAGACAGCATCTTTGTCCACCAATACACCACCGACATCAGACATGGGGGCAAACAACACCTTTTGCTTCTCCTCCAACTTCCGTCTCTTGGACTTCCCCGTGGCTTTGGCGATGGCTTGGTCAAGGAACGGAGTCGGACATGGATCCGGTAAGGCCTCAACCTCTTTCACTGTCAAGTCTCCCACTCCAGGCACGTGGACTCTCGCCTGTTCGGCGGGGAAATTGGTGCCTCTCAGGTATCCGTAGAGTGCGACTTGTCGGTCACACTTTTCGTTCTTCTCAATTTCGGTAGGAGGGGTAACGTCAAGGAACCGGTCGGCCAGGCAGTAAGGATGACTGTTCCTCCAGATCAAAGGTCTTGGATTTTTCATGACGGACAGGAAGCGTGACAGATTGTGGACTTCTCGATCTGGGTATCTGCCATTGATCACGCCAGAAAGGTAGAAGAGTTTTGCACCTTGGTACAGCTCGGACCAAAACCTGTGTTTTAACCTCTTTTTCGCCATCCGTAATGTGCTCTGCTTCTTGAACAAGTCCAAGTGTGTGAGGATGCCGAAGACATTACCAGGCATACCGGACACGCTGAGGGCATTCAAAAACTCCATTGTCTCCATCTCGAACCCATAGTTCCCGTCAATCATGAGCAACACAATATCAGCAATCTTAGCAACGTCGATCATGGCGGCGAGGGAGTCCGAGGGGCATTCTAGGAAGGTCAGTCGTCGTCTCTTCGAGGTGACGACGGTCAGAGGCCCGATCGGGTGGGAGAGGGTCTGTTTGGTGTATCGCTTGATGAGACTCTTGATGAGGGTGGTCTTTCCCACACCCGGAGGTCCGACCACGGCAACGACAATGGGAGGCGCTTCCTCGGGCAGCCGGTCGACTTGAGGGACATGGAGTCTCTTTTCCTTGATGTCGCTGGAGCGGACAGCCTGCTTTGCCAGCCGGCCAGGGTTGGCGACCGCAAAGGCTTTCACATTTCGCTCGCCCCTCTGCGGCTTCTTCTTCTCTTTCGGGGCCCTATGCGGCCTATTTGACTGGGTCTCCATGATGCACACGGTCACAGACCACTACTTCCACCTGCGTCTGTGAGATACATCGGGTGCAGACTGCGGTGATTCTGCTGGAGAAAAAAAGTTCACGCAGTTGGAGTTCAGTGGCGGAGAACAAGGGCCAAAGGGCCGTTTTTGGAACGAAGTCTTGCCGCTCTAATTTACCGCAGCTTTCGGGCGGAGTAAAATGGACACCAGCAAATATCATTGGAGGAAGATATAGACATCCACAGACATAGTCCGGGCTAGCCGCTAAGCCAATGGAAAGCGGACTTGATGTTTAAAGCAGCGTTGATGAGCTGAGCACTCTCGATCTTCATCTTCTTTAAGCGGGCTTGCTTTATCGACCAACTGCTGGCCATCTCGTCGCACCACCACTGCAGACTGCTTTGACTGACACTCACTCGGGCAGATCCGCTCGTCCTCGTCTTTCCCATCGTGGAATATAGCGTACAATCCTATTGCATTGCTGACTTGGAAAGGAGCCTGCCCACGACGATGAGACGGGCGAGCTAGCGAATCGAAGCGAAGGCTGCCACACTGGTACGGATATATACCGTTTCACTCGGCTCTTGTTGGATTCCCTGATACACCTGGCATGATACCATCTGAAGCCTGGACAATGGATACTCCGGCCAGTACTCCGTAGATTGACCCGGCTCGCGAGCGAATCTGCCGTTGGAGGTGGGAAAGAACACATTGTGATTGCTCAATCACCTTGAACAATACATCTTCAGCATCGATCAGACTTGGAACCACCAGCCCGGCCGGACGACTGTCATTTGGGCTCCCATCTTCTTCACTTCTCCCAGGGCTTCCGGCTCAACAGCTACTGTCGAATCTGTCGAGGGAAGGTAACACGTGAGTGTGCTGTGCAGGCCGGGCAAGTCTCGTCCAAGTGAAGAAGGTACACTGGCGACGCTGGGAAATCAGCCGACGTATACTCGTGTAATACCATACATGTAGTTGTTCCCAGTGGTCGAAGAACACTCTTGCAAGGGTTTATCTGCCTAAGCAGATTCCGTTTGTTGGATAGCCCAGGCGATACATTGGTGCCACTCCAATGGTAGAGCTTGACGGACGGTAGCCACAATCTCTTTTCCCCATCCTCTCATCCAAATATTGTCTCGCAACCAGTACAGCGTGACGGCGTAGTTTGCTAGAATCGCAAGAGCCAGTGGTTCGCCCGTAGTTGCCATGGCCCAGAATTCGGCAGGAACCATGACTGAAAACAATGTCACGGACGACTGTGCGCTTGGATAGGTGATTGCAAATGTGAGACTGGCTTTCAGTGCCTCAATGGCCGCAATGTACATGGGTCCCCGGACAGACCCCGAGGTCGTCCTCGAGGTGCGTTGCCGTAAGTCAGAGAGCATAGTTTCCATCTCTTCAGGAAGATTTCGGGTGAACGGGTGGCGGAGGATGAAAGACAGTCCCGACCAACGACTCCGTCCCAGCGACTCGAGGTCTGATTTAAAGAAAGTGGATATCCCACGGACGAGGCTCAAAACTTGATGCAGTTTTGCAATCGGGTTGATGTCGGACTCGGAAGTGCGCTGGATGCCAAAAGAATAGAATGCAACCACATATGAAAAGGCAAAGACGGCGTCGTAATTGTCGACAGCGAGCTGGGAAAGGTACGGCCGAAACAACGAAACTGCGAGATGTTGATGGCGGATGGCCGCAACTGTATGCTTCTGTGGCGAGCTACCGCCGAGTGCGAGATGGAGCGCACTCAAGCTCAAGAGGCCATGGAGGAGAAAGTCGTTCTTGAAGGCCAGCTCTATAGCCCACTGATTCCAGAGCGATTGATCTTGGTCTTCTAGGATGGTGACCTCGGCGATACTCTTCGACGTGTGCACTGTGTAGTGGTGCATAAGCTGCAGCTGCTCCCGTTCGATATCCGTCAACTGAATCTCGACGATTGCTTGCTCGGCGCTGGGCAAAGGCAACGGAATCCTGGTCGGACTAAGACTCTGGGTTGGGTCAATACTACGCCTCAAATGGGTGCCATTTGGAGCTGCGTTGTTGTCAGGCGCTTCAGTGTGAGTTCGTGTCTGTGCTTTCCGAGATTTCGTGCCTTGGGCCGGGATCACTATTAAGCCGGAGGCCTGGTCGGCGAGCGAGCAGTATGACCCTTTCCGCCGACATCGTCCGCATTCTGGCCTGTTCTCGTCACACTGCCATGGACAGTAAGCACATGAAGAGGGGTGGAGAGAGGAGACGCACTTTTGTCCGGCTCTTCTTGCATTGTGCACATCCAAACCGGCTTTTTGTGTGGAATCGTCGATGGGGAATCATGACATGACGCTAGGGACAGACAGCCAGGGAGAGATGTGACGAAGCGAGGTCGCCCTCCAGAAGGTGTCAAGACCTTGAGTCCGTGTCGGTCATCCAGGCGCCATCCAGGATTGACTTCCACTGCCCTTCAAGAGCTTTTCGTGCTTCTGAGGACGGAGCAATGCGGTGTTAAGGAGACCTTGTCTGTCAGCAGTCGTACTAGTCCCATTGTGGTATTTTTTACGACGTGCGGACTTGAGGTGGACGCCGACCCACTCGGGGCAAGTACGCCTCGAGGCTCTGGCTCTGAGATGCATATAAGGTCTTTCAATGGTCGCAGGTCGCAGGGCACTGTCGCCAGCCCTACTTACTTGTCTCCCCCAACCTCCAGAGCCATAGTATCTCTTTCACAATGGGCAAGTTGGATGCGGTCCACACTTCTAATGCTGCCCTGGTCCAGAGGCAACCCTTGGTAGCCGTCTTTTTTGGCGGTACAGGAGGCATTGGGCATGTCACGCTGCGTGCATTGGCCACGGCCGAGGTCAATAATGGCGGCAAGGGGCTTCGGGCCTATATTGTTGGAAGAAAGGCCGAAGCAGCCAAAGATTTCATCGCCGAGTGCCGTGGCATCTACCCTGGAGGTCAATTCAAGTTTGTGCAAGCCAAAGACCTCTCTTTGATTCGAGAAGTCGACCAGGTCTGCGCAGATATTCGTCGGATGGAGGAAGAGGAAGAAGGCCAGGACGCGAGAATCGACTATTTGATGATGGGCCAAGGCGGCTCTATCTTTCTTCCACGCATTGGTACGTCAAGCTTCCAGACGAGTACCGTGTACGTGCTTCTGACCACAACACAGATACAAAAGAGGGCATTGACCGTACAATGGCCTTGATGTACTATTCCCGCATGAGAGCGATCATCAACCTGCTGCCTTTGCTGCTCAGGTCCACCCTTCCTGCCACGGTCGTCTCCGTCTACGCGGCCGGAGCTGAAGCAAAACTCTTCCCAGAGGACCTGTCACTGCGTAATCCAAGTCATTATAGTTACTCGCAAGCCAGATCACACATGGTGTATATGCATACCTTGTTCATGGAGACGCTGGCAGAACAAAATCGTGGAAAGCTTGCTCTGATCCACATTTTCCCTGGCCTCGTGTTGGGACCGGGCTTCCAGAGCCCTGAATATCCCACATGGTTCAGGGTCGTATGGCGTTGGGTCTTCATCCCCCTTTTCGGCCGAATACTTACAGTGCCCCCCAACGAGTGTGGTGCTAGGATGTTGTCTCTTGCGTCACCGCGCTACCCGCCGCTGCCAGTGGACGGACCCAAGAGCGAAGCAGGAGTGGCTGTAGGGACAGATGGGAGGCCTGGCAGTGGTGTTTATTCTCTCAATTGGAACGCAGAGAGCAACCGCAACGGCAAAGCTTATCAGAAAATCAACAAGGTCGAGATGAGAAGAAAAGTTTGGGACCACACCATGAAAGCCTTCGAAGTCATTGAAGCAGGAGGGGTGTTTACTGAGTGATTGTGACAGCACCTGCAAGCAGCCTGAAGAGGGTCAAGTACGAACAGTACGGAGTCATAGTGGTGATAGTAATATGCAAGATCAAGACGAGGCTGTGTTGGTTGACGCTCGGCTAAGTTGCCGCTAGACATTCGGGTCGGAAAAACATCATTCCGGTTGATCTTGTAGCCTTGGTTGTCAGTTAACTACTGCTCGCATCTAGACAATGATGGCAAGCAAATGCGACTCCGTCAGGCCGTAATCGCCCTGTTGAAATGTCATGTGTTCATCAACCGGCAGTCCAAGGTATGCAAAAGGGGTCGTTGCGCGTCTCATGGCCAGGCGATAACCATCCTAGAAGCGTGGGGGATGATGGATCGAGCCGTCCCTCTTCCTCGAAGAACCTGCCAGAGAACCGGCACCAGCTGGTGGAAGATGGGAGCGTCTACACCAAGCAGACCGCAGAGAGTGGCAATGGCTTATACGCTGCCCGAGAGATTGCAGCCAAGTCGCAGCTGATCTTTGTCACCAGGCCACTATTGGTGGCCTTGGAGACCTCGAAACTCCAGACGACCTGTTACGCCTGTTTCCGGTCTCCCAGTGACTCAGACTGGCCGGTCACCGTTGACAAACACCACAGTCTGAAAACGTGTAGTCGCTGCAAGGTGGTGAAATTCTGCGACCAGGTAAGGTTAGCCTTGCAACGTGGCCAGCGAGTGGTTCACGTCTGGAGACCATCGGCGCGCTCACTCCGATGATAGAAATGCCAGAGTCAGGCATGGTCCCAATATCACCGTCTGGAGTGCAACCTTTACTCCAAACTGCATCCGCGCGTTCTCCCAAGCACTGTCCGGGCAATCATCCGCTTATTGAAGCAGTACAAGGCAGGCATGCTACCAGACGGCGAGTGGGAGCAGCTGCTCGCACTAGAATCCCATCAGGAGGATTTTGCCAAAGCAGGAGGCCAGCGCTGGCAAGACCTGTTGATAATGATGCAGGGCATCAAGGGCTATTCCGGAACTGATGAGAGCCCGGATTTGATCCTTCGCCTGGTCTGTGTGGTCAGTAATGATAATTCTGGCGCTAAAGTTGTAGGTCAGCTAACAGTCTCCAGCTGGCCGTCAATTCATTCACACTGACGAATGCCACCTTCGATTCTAGCGGGCTGATCCTCCATCCGAAGCCGTCTCTGCTGAACCACTCTTGCGAGCCCAACGCTTATGTGCGTTTTGACGTCTCCTCATCAACCTATCAGCAAGGCTTTCCAACGTTGGGCAGTATCTCGGTTCATGCATTAAGAGACATCACCAAGGACGAGGAAGTCACCATCTCCTACGTCGACACAACATTTCCCTCAGAGAAGAGACAGCAGGAGCTTAGGGACCGGTACTTCTTCACTTGCCAGTGTGGCTTCTGTGCAAAAGGCCCGGATACCGCACAGGACAGTTATCATCTGTCTCCAGGGTCGTCGCTGAAGTCGGCAATTGGCGCCAAGGTCAGAGAAATCGGGCAAGAAGCAGATCAAGTCTTCCTGAGCATGGAGGCGAACGCAGGATTGGAGCATGAACACATTGACGAAATCAGGGCTGCCATGAGTCGGCTGGCCAAGACAGGGGCATGGCCAATTCATCGCTACCCATGGCCTCAGTTGCGCCAACAACTTCTATATGGCTTGCTTGGCTCCAACAGATTTGCGGAAGCTCTGTTGCACTCGGCAGTGTTCGTCAGAATCATCCACCCGGTCCTCTTCGAGCAAGAACACCATCCCATCCGTCTGGTGCAGATGTGGACATTCTGGAATCTCAGTCGGCAATGCTTGGAAACACTCATGCAGAAGGACAACCCGAGCGACAAGGACCGACAGGATATCCGAACGCTCGGAGTTTTGAACTGTGTCACGATTGACCATATCCGTCAGATCTCCAACCAGGGCGACCAGCCAAAAGGCCGGCTAGAACGTATGGTAGATCGGGCCTTTGAAGAGGTGCAGCAGGAAGGGGTCTTCTGGTCCGAATACTTGCGAAATCGGGCAGAGATTCGCAGGACTGCGTGGTTGTGGGTGGATAACCAAATCAAAGCTCTACTGAAGGGCGAAGGTGTAAGGCAAGAGATAGTCGATCGAGGTTTAGCGAGAGTGCCAGGCTGAAGAACACGGAAGCACGAAGCATCGACTCTTCTCTCTCTTCAGCCCCCAATCCCGATCCCCAATGTTGTAGATCGGCTAGAAGAAGCCGGCTGGGGGCCAAGTACGGAGTACAACCTACATCATGGTAGTGGTACTAGTAGTATGGAGTACGGATACGGAGTACGGAGTGTCAACTGGTGCCTGTCCTTCGCCTACGTCAGCCTCCTTCAACTTCATACCACGTATCTCAGGTACGGAGTACATACCTAACCTTAGCACTCCGTACTGTATATCAACTGCTCCTGCCTGACTCGATGGACTCCTCTGTACCGCTGCATGATCCCTCCCCCGGTGCGGACTCGGACTCGGTCGCCGGGACATTCTTCCATAATGCCACAGCGCCCCGCGTCAACACCGACGCCATCATCCTCAACACCATCCACCACAAGCACCCTGGAGTGCCTGTGACGATTGTTCCACAAGGCAGTTGCAATCTGAAGGGCTACGCCCAAGCAGGGCACGCATCAATCGAAGCTGTCGGCCCAGACCAAGCAGAGCACCACGTTTGGCCAGAGACCCTCAAATGGACATACTTCATCCCACCCGCCAGGCGGCTCGACGGCGGCAACGGCACCGTCGCCGACCAGTTCTTTTTCGAGTCGTATCTATACAAATGGAAAGACTTCACTTTCCTCGTCTACTTTGCCGACGGCCGCGACGGCGACACCTCCATCCCGCGCGTCCGCAACCAGTATGTCCTGGGCGACGAGGCGGCGGCCCGCATGCTCGTGGCTACGGTTGGCCGCTTCGACTCGACCCTGCACGGGGAGATCTGGGTCTTCAACAAAGGCTACTGGCAGAAGGACCCTCAACTGTACCAGAGCATCACGAAGGCGCGCTGGGAGGACGTAATCCTGGACAAGTCGCTGAAGGAGGACATCATTGACACCGTCCAGCAGTTCTACGACTCGCAGGACCAGTACAGCCGCCTCCGCGTGCCATGGAAGCGAGGCATCATTTTCTACGGGCCCCCAGGCAACGGCAAGACGATATCCATCAAAGCCACCATGCACACGCTGTACAATCGGGACCCCCCGGTTCCAACTCTCTACGTCAAGACGCTGGCCGGCTTCGGCGGGCCCGAGTACAGCATCGACAGTATCTTCGCCAAAGCCAGGCAGGAGGCTCCCTGCTATTTGGTCTTTGAGGACCTCGACAGCCTCGTCACCGACAAGGTCCGCAGCTTCTTCCTCAATGCCGTCGACGGTCTGTCGCAGAATGAGGGCATTCTCATGGTCGGCAGCACAAACCATCTCGACCGGCTCGACCCGGGCATCGCGAAGCGCCCATCTCGTTTTGATAGGAAGTATCTCTTCCCAGACCCGGATTTCGATCAGCGAGTCAAATACTGCCAGTATTGGCAGAAGAAGCTCCAGGACAACAAGGAAATTGAGTTTCCCGACGAGATTTGTCCAGCCGTGGCCAGAATTACGGACGATTTCTCGTTTGCTTACATTCAGGAGGCCTTTGTGTCAACGTTGATGTCAATTGCTCGGGAGGAAGAGGGGGTTGACACAGCCCGGGTCGGCGGCATGCCGGAGTTGCTTGATTCTTGGGACGTGCTCGAGATCGCGGACGGCTCTCCACTCCGGACATTTGGGCAAGACAAGGACCTAGACGACTACATTCTCTGGCGGAAGCTGAAATATCAGATTGATCTTTTGCGAAAGGAGCTGTCAGAGGACGACGATGCGAGCTAAGAAAGGCGGCGTGAGAGACGGACGTTCTACGCAATGAGGAAGTCATGTCTGTGAGGGGGTTGAGAACCTGACGGCAGCATTGGATTTAAATAGGCATCTATTCCCAAGCATATGGATCCCATTCTCCCACCTTTGCCTGTTGACCTTCGTCGAGCCCGTCAATGACGTCGCAGTCTTCTTTCGACAATGTCCAGCCAAATATCTGCTTGTTCTCGATGGTCCTCTCTTCCTTGTCCGTCTTTGGGACCACAACAAACCCTTTCTGCACACCCCATCGAAGGACAACTTGTGCTGGGGTTCTGCCATATTTCTTGGCCAGGCCGACGATGGTCTCATCATTGAGCCGCCGACCCTGCGTCAAAGGGGAGTAGGCCACAACCACGATGTGCCTCTCTTTGCAATAGGCCTGAAGCATCTTCTGCTGATTCCAAGGGTGGAGCTCAATCTGATTGCACACCGGTTCGATGTACACTCCTCCTTCGCCCAGCAGCTGTTCAATATGTTTCGGGGCCCAATTCGACACTCCTATGCTCTTGACCAACCCCAGTTCCACTGCGTCTTGTAGCCCGAGCCATGCATCTTTCCGTGCCTGCGGTCCCGGCCGCGGAGTGTGCAACAGATACAGGTCGATCGTCTTCAAGCCAAGCTTCTGTAGGCTACTCTTGACGCCCGCCAGTGCTCCAGGCCGGGTGTAGTTGTCCTCCCACAGCTTGGAGCAGACGAACAGTTTGGAAGGGTCGACACCACTTTGCGCGATTGCAGCCCCTGTTTCCGCTTCATTCGCGTAGATCTGCGCCGTGTCAATATGTGTGTACCCGTTCCGTATGGCGGCGAGAGCGGATTGGGTGCAAGCTGCGCTGCTCGCCGTGCCGAATCCTAAGACTGGGATTCCATGGCTGGACTTGAGAGGTAGAGTGGATGTTATCTGTAGCTCCGTCATTTCGTTCGAGGCGCACCTGGAGTCACTATAAGGATAAGGATAGCAAGAGAGAGTCGTCAACGAGTTAGCATTGCAAGCACTACGCCACCTATACGCTGCCTTCTGTGCCTGGCGGGTATAATCTCGGTGAAACCGCGTACAATGCAAATGCCATCAGGAGGGACATTCACGCTTCAGGTTCAGCATCAGTCGAAGGCATTTGGCAGGACGTCCGTCGTATATTCACCCCATGTGCGAACAATTCAGGCTCTCAGCTCTCGGCTCCCTGTTCCATGGGCTATTGTGAGGTCGGTAAAGAACATCCAGTCCACCGAGAGCACTCGATGTCGCTGTGCTTGCTGATGCTGCCTACCTGCGCTGCGTGTCCCGGGACAATACTCAGCCGTAATATTACGGAGAGGTGCGTATTTCGAACTAGCAAAATGGCGAACGATGATCCGCCCCCCCACGCCTCGCGCCCACGCTCAACCCTCGGTTCTGATTCTGATTCTGATTCTTGCCTGGATTTGTTCGCACCAGCCTACAGAGTAGGATTACACGTACTCCGTACCCAGCACGCAAGTTCTGGAACAAGCGCGCAAACCCATCCACATCATCACCGTACAACATGCTGACGGATGCGGTGATCTCTCGTGAGTTGGCTGCGATATGGCTGTTCCGGTGCTCACCACAAGCACAAAAAGGTCGAAGACCACTTGCGTCCAGTGCAGGGTCCGAAAGGTGAGGGCGCACAGCCTGTTCGTTTGTCCGTTGGTCTCCCCCTGACTCAAGAGCTGACCAGGTTCGGTGTGACGGACGGCCCGGATTCTGTCATAACTGCGAACGGTTGAGATTTGACTGCTCCTTTCAGCGATCGCCGGAGGGCCCAGGCAACGGTGACGGTGCTAGTCCAGCTGAAAGTTCCCAAATCCAGCTCGAGCGAAGACGGGGTGCTCTAGCTTGCATCGAGTGCCGCTCACAGAAGACTCGCTGTCCAGGTGACTTGCCGGCGTGTGGAAAATGTGTCAGACGGGGACGAGATTGCGTGTATCCCACCCCGAAGAGGCCGACTCGAGGCGCGAAACCTACCGCCTCGCCGGGCGCACAAGAAGAAGCCAACCCCTTGATCATCTCGCCGAGCCCGACACAGGCGACTCCTGGCGCTTCCACGGTGAATCTGCTACCGCCTGTCAACGAGACTCTGACTCTCTTCGATGCATATTTCGAACACGTCTATCCACTACCCTGGTATGCGTTTCTGCACAAGCGGTCTGTGGTCCAAAGGTATCTCGATGGCACAATTGAGGAATGCTTACCTCTCGCCATCTGTGCCGTCACCACTCAACGCCTCAAATTTGACCGGTATAGCGCCGAGCTCAGCGCGAGTTGGGCTCAAAGAGCCGAGGACTATCTTATGCAGACCCTCGAGAATCCTTCGACTTCACGGCTTCAGGCACTTGTCCTCATCGTTCGATACAGAGTTGAAGCCGGCAACTTCTCCAAGGCGTTCATGCTTGCCGCACTGGCAGGCAGATGTGCTGTCGCGCTCCGCCTGAACTACGAACGTCCCGGGCTCCGGTTCCTGGTCCAGGAGGTCCGGCGGCGAATCATGTGGTCATGCTTTCTTCTCGACTCCAACTTTTCCGTTGGACTGCGAGAGTACGAGATTTGCCCACCAGAGATTCTCTATCTCCAGCTCCCGTGCCCGGAGACGGAGTTTGAGGACGACACGCCCGTCAAGACGCCGCCTCTCCGAGCCGTGTCTACGAAAACGGCAGAACGACTAGGCGTATATGCCGCCTGTTTGAGATTGGTCTCTATCAGAAGGGACATCATGATGTAAGTCACCTCCCTTCCACGTCTGCTCGAGGGCTAATCGTGACAGGCTGACCCGACGCCTGACGTCTTCCCGTGTTGAGCCCCGAGACCTCATGCGATCCGTACAACAATTTGAGAATGAACTCGATCATCTCTATCAGAGCCTTGCGGATTTCGACCGGTACTCTTCGACCATGTTTACTCACGGTCGAAAGCAAGTTCGACTTCTCATAGTCCACCAGTCGTGGCACTTGACCCACTGCGATCTTTATCGAATTTTCCTGACCGGATATCGAGAGTCTGCACCTGCGTCGGCACTGGAAGGTATTGACAGCCAAGAAATCCTCCGTATCCGAGGGCTATGCTTGCAGCATGCGTTATCAATTGTTCAGATCCTCCAAGAATTCTCGGAACAGTCCCCTGCGCAAACCGTCGACTTCGACACGGCCTACCATGCTTATCACGCCACACGAATCATTCTATTCACGACCCAACCGGCTGTCGTCGCGCAGCCTCTGAGTGTGGCCGCCGCGCTGGAGAAAGCTCGCTTCTGCCAACGGATGCTCGAGCGATATTTCCCCGCCTCTCCTGTGGTGGAGCCAATGGTACGTTGCTCCTGCTCCTGGCAACCTGAGTTCTAATTCTTTTACAGAAAAAAGAGATGGAGTTCGTCATTGGTAGATACGCGTCGCGATTTAATGCGACCGGGTCGCTCCTGTTGCCGCAGCCAGAAGAAGCAATCGATGAAGATCCGCGCCAGGCTGATGAAGCAAGGATCCGACAGAGACTGGGAATTCATAGCTTGATCCGAAGAGCCGACTTTGTCGATGACAGCAACGAAGTCACCAGCCCTGCACCTAACTTCCAAGCCCGATCCTCCGCAATCCGACATACACTTTCCGTCCAGCAGCCGGAACGCCGCTCGCAAAGAACCAGTTCCGTCATATATCGTGCTCCCCAAAGGACCCTCGGCACGCATGGTACTACTCCGAGTCGCAACAATGCTGCTGATTCTGCCAAGTCGAGATCGTATCAGCAACAAAACAACGTTGCTGGGAATGCCAACAACGAACCGGCTTCGTATGCCGAAGAGCGACCGGACCAGTCATCGGACGAAATGCGTTTTGCCTTCAACCCTTGGATGGGGTGGCCCGAGACTTTGGAAACATATGGATTCCCTCAAGGCGTGGACGATGATTACTTTTAGACTTCTGTGTGTTCAGCTCTGCTATCAGAATAGACTTGATCGCGTTTGATCCTTTGTTTCACTTGGTTCAGCTACTTGTTATGCTCCACACACCAGTTTTCCACACCACCCTCAGCCAGCACACCTTCGATCGCCAAGGACACTGCTACACAAGGGCTTGAGACTCAACAGACTTGTCTCTGTCATTGAACAGGAACATGACCGTCACAATCAGCTTGCCAATCCCTGACAGCAATATTGCAGAGGCTGAATCCAAGCTTCGATACACATATGCCCCGAGGAAAGCACCTGCTACCAGAGCCGCTAGGAAACTCGCTCGACGCGTTCGAGCCCGGTTGTGGAGGGCGAACAGGTTCTTGTCAATTATCAGGTCGACCCACGCAGCCGTTGCCATGGCAGTACTGATCTCGGTGATGGCCAGCGACCTTGACAAGACCACCTGACTTCCAGCGGCGAGCGCAAGCAATCCCACGATCATCAATGTCTTGGTGCTTTCCAGATCGATGCCATACTTGTACTGAATGGCAGCCGCCATGAAGACCAGTATCGTCTGAAAGAGGTTGCAAAATACTATCCAGTGACGTGACCGTGGTCCGATGACATGGCCCAACTGGCCCGTCACCCACCCTGCCGCCAGGAAGCAGCCTAGAGAGACGCCGATGTTTCCAGTCACAAACAACTTGTGTGTTATTTCAGGTAGGAGGACAGCCATCGCAAGCATAACGGTGTTGCCTGTTTGGTTGGAAGCAAAGCAGTGGTAGTCGGGGAAGGTGGTCGCATCTTGGATACCCGTGCAAAATGTGAGGATCAGGAGTTCGGTTTCGGCGAGGATGTTGACGCGGATGTGGCTGGTCAAATGCTGTTTGAGCCGCCGGGGAATATCTTTGCCCTTCGACACATCCACGCCGTTGGCCAAGCTTCCCGGTTGCGGTGCTTCTGTGGTTTTCTCCGTTGCATCGAGCGGCATGGCTACTGACGGCATGGCGAAGAAGGTCGGATTTGGCAGTGTGGGAGTTCTGATGTCTCTCTGGTGCAGTTGATGTCTTGCTTGGAGGGAGCGCAGGCGGAGGATTTCACTCACCGGGTCGTTGGCTTCCACTGATCGAGTGTTGTGGCAATCGCAGCGAGTTTATCACCCTGACTTGCCAGGGCCCCGATCACCAGATCACCAGACAAGGCAGTGCGGACCGCCACCGACTGCCGTCGAGATATTGTCGACATGTTTGCTCCTGACCATGTCATTTACCAAGGCCAGTACAGGACGGAGTATCCGTATAGGTCCATGCCTTGGACGGTATGCAGCGAATCCAGTCGCTGTCCGACTCCCGAACCGACCGACGAGATATCGAAAGATCCAATCAGCCTTGTTGGTGTGGAACCTTTTTCGACTTTTGTTTGCTCGCCGACTTCCGGAGAATTGACCGACTACCGTAGTGTCACCAAGTCAGGATTCCATTTCCAGAAGATCACCTTCTAAACGGCCGTTTGACGGGAGCGGTCTGCTTCCAGTAGCAACTGGCGGTCTGCGATGGCAGGTCTATTGAAATTGGAGTCATGGCCATTCTATGCTGGCGCTCCCGACCAATGCTCCGACTTTTGTATCGCGAGCAGTGCCAAGTTGGGTCACAGAACAAGGATCAGGCCCGGCAAGCGGAGCCTTTCGAGGCTGATGAGGTCCCGCTGGGGTCCAACCGCTACCAATTCATCAGACCCGACAGGTTGTTGCGCGGATGACCGGAAACGTCGAGGATAACGTGGCAACGGTAGGCGCGGTCCTGGTCCACCATCTTTGACTTGACCAGCATAGTCAAGGCAGATTGGTCTTCTGACAGGGTGGAAATGTGCGCCAAACACCTCCTGCTGCTCATCATCTCTCTCTGACTGTTAATCACCTCGACCCGGCTACTCGTAACAGCGTGTCGTCGCTTTGTTGCTCGTCCGCAGCGAACCGGTTCAAGGGCTGCGACCCAACTTGTTCCCTTGGATCGAGCTCCAGAAGAGATAGGAGCCTCACTATGTCAGCAACTTTCTCCTCCAGTCATCTAGCCACCAAGGCCTTCCCTTCGTCGGTTGTCGGCGTCCTCCAAAGACTCTGATTAAAGCAGGGACTGGCAGATCCCCACTCTTTCTTTCTGCCCTCACACCCGGATTGAGCAACTAGATGTGGATACTCCAGACCACGACCATTTCCATTCATGCGTCTGCAATTCCTTGGGATGCCCCCAGTTCGAGTCTCGCTATGAAAGCATGAGCAGAGCTCCTACGATATTATTTGTCTGCCGCGATCTCCCAACTGTTGCCAAGTCTGAGCTGCCAACAGCAGAGGCGAACCACCAGATCTTTGTCTTTACTGACCTGAACGCCCCATCGATGGCAGATTCTTGGTCGGAGTCATCCGACAAAGTTGCTTCTCGCTTGGCAATGCCCCATAGTGATAGAGCGCGTACATACCGATACCGACAATGCCGATGCATGACAAGCCCGCCACGAGCGTGACTCCACAACCAATACCCAGCTTGAGATACATCTGGCGGGTGAACTGCACGAAGCTCGCGGCCAACATTGACCGAGCAAACTCGTTGGCGGCAAAGAGCGAGGCCACGTGTTTCGGATATGTCAGCGCCATGTAGCAGCTCAAGCTCCGGAAGATGCAGAAACTTATAGCAGCAGGCAAAAAGAGCGATGCCTGCCGTGGGTGCGATCCAATGTACGTCGGTGCGAGTGCGAGCGCGAGCGGTCCATGCGAAAAGCAGCAGTCTTACAGGTGGATCCCAGACGCCCAAGAGGCCCGGTCGAAGCCATTGCTTGGGGGATACAGGCTCGCCATGCTGTTCGTGGTAGCGCATGGCACGAGGGAGGAAATGGCATCGGAGGTAGATCCAGTAGGTGGTCAAGCCAACGATGCAGCCGGCCGTGATATTGGTGAAGATCAATCCGAATGCACCCAGGGACATGTTGTATGTGCCAAGGTAGACGAGTGGGAAGGCCTCGAAGAAGGAGTAGTAGGTGGCATACGCGATGGAGCCGTCGTGTGTGGCGGGATCTTTCAGCGTGATCTCGCTGATGGGTGAGAAGACCAGCCACAGTGACAGAAACATTGAATCGTCCAACGATGAACTCGGCCCGCCGGCGTCATGATCGATGCCGTGCAGGACACGATGAAGGTGTATATGTTTAACATGATCATGGTCAAGCCCCACGTCTTCTTTGCCGTCCACCAGTTGCGCGGCTTGTTCCAGTCGTTCTGGTTCTACATAGGTCCAGGGGGGTGGTGTCTATGTCAAACTAAGGCATTCCCAGCCTTGCCCTTTAACCAGAAGGCTGGTTTAGGCATACTATACTATACAGCATGCGCTCCCCCTACGATCCTTTCATAGAAAACATGGAACATCTCAACCTTTGATGGTCTAATGGTCTAAGAGGGTATGATAGGTACTGTACTAGGTATAGGTACCTATTCTTTCCTAATTAGGATGCTCACACCTAAGCAGACGACAAGCACCGCAGCTGGCTTGAGAGATGGATATACTGTATATTATATTATATTATATTATATTATATTATATTATATTATATTATATTATATTATATTATAACTATATATATATATATATATCCTTGAACGGACACTGGGCTAAGGAGTATAGGAGAGACAGAAAGAGGCTTTTTCATGTATTACTGCATCCTACCAGGTGGGCCACCAACTCTCCCACCGTTGGCAAGCAACTCAGCTTATTTCAGAATGGAGATCGGGGCTTCAACCACCTTATCTCTAACGTAGTCGATGAACCCCTTCCCAAAGCCATCCAAACGCTTCGAGCTGCTGACGCCACGACCAAGGATCCCATACACGACAAAGTGGACGGCTAAGATCCCAGGGAATTCAACCCGCTCAATGGAAAAGTCGGCCCGCCAGTCATCTCCCAGGAGCTCCTGGACCTTGGCGCGGGACATGAACGAGCGCAGCCAGTCCCATTCGGCCTGGGTATGAACGAACAGGCCAAAGTTCAAGTTCGCACCCTTGTCGCCGGAGCGGCCGAGGGCGATGTCTCCCAGGCGAACCTCGCGGAGCTCGCCCTTCAAGTTGAGGTCGACCGGCAGTTTCGTGTCATAAGATTCCCGTTGCCCAACATGGTCGAAGTTGACTGGCCCGGCGGTGTCGAACGATTCAATGGTGCCGTCAGCGCTTACCAAATGGAAGCGTTCTTCAATCTCGGACTGCGGCCACAGGGCTGGATAGTAGGCCAGATAAGGGCGGGGAACTGCTGTGCGCATGTCCAAAGAACTGTGGAAACCTGAATCATCGGATGCATGGCTCAGCAAAGAGCAAAGCAGGGTTCCCTCCACTCTGCACCTACTCAATGAAAGAGGGCGGGTATACTACATGTACAGTAGTACTCACCGGAGAAATGCTTCAACGACACGTCGCGCACGGCACGGGTGATTGCTTGTAAAGCCTCGGCGCTGGTCGACTGAGCAAAGATGCGGATATAGATGGTGCTGCTGTTCTGGTTGGATGGATTGGTGGCGGGAACACCGATCCTGGAGTGAGTCTCAGAAACCATGAACGACGCTGGTATTGGGGGGGAGGAGGGAAACATACTGCTGGAATTCAAAAACGTCGAACCGCCTCAAGGCCTCCTCGCCCAAGAAGAATCGAACCTGCCTGCTGAAGAGGTCAAACTTCTTGTCAGAAGCATAGCCTGTAGCGTTGAACAAGGCCTGCATTTCGTATCCACCCTTGTAGAAGACGGCCAGCTTGGTGGTGTCGGGTGGCGGCGCGCCATGGATTCCGGAAACGTGGACTCTGGATTCCAACGGTCAACACTGTACGAGTAAGTAGGACATAGTACTATATAGCTATGCGATGCTGGAAAGAGAGGCAAAGTTGCTGCCGACAGACCTGTCATGGCCGACCTGTTCCATCACCACATGATCCAAGTAGGCCTTCACGTCACTGTTGAGATAGACGTTGCCCTGGAGTTCGTAGACCAGCTGGGACCGGCAGGTGTCGACCGTGACCATGCCGCCGGTACCGGGGTGCTTGGTGATGACACAAGACCCGTCCCGAGCAATCTCGGCGATGGGGAAGCCCGGGTCAACGAAGCGGTCCAGGTCAAAGGCATCGAAGCCTGCAAAGTTGCCGCCGGTCACGTAGGCCGAACACTCAATCAAGTGTCCGGCGACCAGAGCGCCCGCCAGCTCGTTATAGGACGTGATGCTCCAAGACCACCAGTACCACGCACAGGCCATGACAGGGCTGGCGTCGGAAACACGCCCGCATATGATGATGTCGGCGCCGTGCCGGAAAGCCTCGTAGATGGAATGGGCGCCCAGATAGGCGTTGGCCGATACAATCTCACGGGGTTCGATGTCCTCGTCCTCCCGGGCGAACAGAAAGGATTCGGATTCGGAAGACAGGCTGACGTTGCGATTCACCGAATCAAGATGGGCCAAGGCCTCGTCCTTTCGCCGCGCCATATGCTTCCCAAGCTTAGGGAGCACGTTGTCGCCGGAGACGTAGGCGACCTTCAACCGGTAGCCTTTCTCTTGGACCTAAATTCAGGGCAACAACTGTCAGTTGGTCATGTCCCGGTCAACTCACACGATCACGATCCGCTGGGCTACCGACTAATCCCGCCACCCTGAGAGCGAGACCCTCTGGGCTGAGGGCACCTCCGTTGATGGCAACTTTGATGTGTTTTTGGGCAATCACATCGATCGTCTGCTGAAGCCCTTCCCAGGCCGTCTCCTCGTAGCCAGGGTGGTTTCCATGCGCGAAAGATTCCGCGTTGTTGGCCATGTTGACCTCTTGTTTCCTGTCAGCTCAGCCAAATAAATGCACAAAGGGGTCCAGGGCGTTTGGAACACATGCAAGCCATACCGGCAAGATAGTCCCCGGTGATGAAATCCACCTCGCCGAGCGTCGCCTGCTTATACATCTCCCTAGCTGGGTCCCCTGTGAGATTCCTTGTTAGCCCGCCCATCTCACATTAGGGTTAGGGTTAATAACCCTCACAGCCAACAGGATTGCTCTCGCACCATGGTAGCCTGAGCAGTTGGCCACACGCGCAGGGCGGACGCCGAATGCACCGGCTCGCCAGTCATTCTTTGCAACCATGATCGATGGTGGTGGACCAACCCGTTTGACTGGAGGGGATCAATCAAAAGGTAAGAGGAGAGGGGAATTCGAAGGATGGATGCCGAGGTGTGCAGCTGTCAGATTCCGTCTTGCCCTCTTCCTGGAATTGCTCCTTTTTATATCGATTGGCACGAGCACAAGACCCGAGGTTCCTGGCAAACCCTGGCGGTCAAGCGAGGGGCTCCTAAGCCTCCTGAACCCCTCGATGCCATATGTCCGGACGCTGGACGGTAAATAAGTCATATCGCTGTTGGGGGTCTCCGAGGCCAAAACTCCGAGTTGCGATCCGACGCGGTCAAAGAGTCGCAAAATGGTGCCCCAGAGCCTCTCCGGAGTTCTGTCGCCACTCGGAAATCACTGACAAAAGCCCATCGGGGCTGTCGGAGTCTTGAGCATCCATGTCGCAGCAGGACTCAGGTCGGGCTCTGAAGCATCCTCGGGTACCAAGTATATGATGTACTCCGTACATATGCTGGACGTCTGGTTCGTGGGTGTCCCAGTGCAACTTCAACTCTCTCGTCGCATTCGTCACCTGGCACCATGTCCAACTATTCCATCCGCACCGAGGCTGCTCGCATCCTCCATGAGGTCCTACTTAGCGATGCCCGTCTTGGGTTCCCAGCCTCCTTCACTGAAGCGGCCAAAAAGGTCAGGTTTGTCGGTGGTGATGACAAGCCCTTTGTTCTCACCCCGTTGAAGATGACCGAGTCATGCGCCTCCCTGACTGCTCTCGTAGCCACGGCTGCCAACGTCGCCGCGGCCGAGAGATATGGAATTGGATACCAAGAAGTCCAAGTCAACACTGACGTGGCCACTCTGTTCCTCGAGTCGGTCTTGCTCCCGACCATCGGCGGCAAGCCGTTTGTGCAGCATCCCCAGATGGCCCAGGAGCTCGCGAAGATGGATATTCATCGCATGGCCAAGCCCATCCGACGTTACGCAACCAACGTGTACCAGACCAAGGATGGCCGCTGGTACCACCTCCATGGCTCGATGAACGCCGAGTCGACCATGAAAATGATGGGGGTACCAGATGTCGACGTGAGCCCCGAAGAGGCCATCAAGATCTATGCCGACAAGGTTGCTCAGTGGGATTCGAGCGAAATCGAGAGGGTCGCCAACGAGCAGTACCGGCAGGCCGGGGTGGTCTGCCAGACTCCCGACGAGTTCTTCTCCAGCGAGCATGGCAAAATCATGGCACAGGAGCCGCTGTGGAACACCACTGCACTGCCCGCGCCGCGCAAGGCTTGGCCGCACCCGAAAGAGAAAGATCAACAGCAACAAGGCTACAAGCCCCTTGCTGGCATCAGGATCCTCGATTTCTCTCGTGTCATCGCAGCCCCGGCGGTCTCCAAGATCCTGAGTGTCCTCGGGGCCGATGTCCTCCGTGTCTCGTGCGACAAGCTACCTGAATACGCCACGACCATGCCGGATCTGCAGACCGGAAAGAGAGACACAAACCTTGACCTGAAGACAGCAGAGGGAAGGCAAGTCTTCGCCGAGCTGGTCAAAGGAGCCGACATTCTCGTCGATGGCTACCGTCCCGGCGCTCTGAAGCGACTGGGATTTGATCCCAAGGCTCTGCGCGATCTGAATCCCAGTCTGATCTGTCTCCGGGAGAACTGCTATGGATTCAAGGGCCCCCTAGCTCACCGATCCGGCTGGCAGCAGATCAGCGACTGCGTGGTTGGCATGGCCTATCTCCAAGGGAAGTTCCTTGGTCTCCAAGAGCCTGTTGTTCCACTTCTTCGTCAGTGCACCTTTTTTCTTTTTCAATCCCACCTTTCCTCTTCTTCTTCTACCATATCTCTTGGGAAGGTCAGGGTTAGGGTTAGGGTTAGGATTATTGCTGACTTTCATAGCCAACTCTGATTATCAGACGGGATTGATTGGTGCCGCGGCTGCCATTCAGGCCTTGATCGCTCGGACAAAGGACGAGGTGACCTTCGACATCGACATCAGCTTGACCCAGTACAACATCTGGTACTACCGGCTTGGTCTCTACTCGCCAGAGCAACAGCAGGAATTGCGCCGCCGCGATGCCGACTTCAGTCCCCGCCACTACGACGATATGCCCATCCTGGTGGGAAAGACGCACAAGTCGTTCGAGAAGATCCGTCCAGACATGTTCGCTCACCCCGAGTATTTCTGGGACATGAGCGGGCAAGAATACGGCCTCGAGGAGAACTTGACGGTCCTCGCGCCGGCGTTCAAGTTGGAGTCTTCGTCCATCGGATGGGCCGTTCCTACTGGGCGTAGGGGACGGTCGAAGCCGGAGTGGGACGCCTGAGTTCTGGAGGAACATGTAGCCTAAGCCGTGGGTGGACAGTCAATATAACAGTAGGATGGCTACCTAGGTAGATAGTTACCTTATGTAGACAAGGTTGAGGGCTTGGGGGCCTGTTCGGCACCGGTATTTCAAATCGTAGCCTTGGGCTGAGGGGCCTTAGGAGCACTTAGACTTAGGAAGAGGCTCCTTGGGCTTGGGCTTACTGTAGGGTAGAGGCTTAGGGGCCTTAGGCTTTGGGGGTTGGGCTTAGGGGCTTAGGGGCTTAAAAGGCTTAGAAGGCCTGAAGGCTCCTAAGCCGGTGGCGAACTCGGAGTTGTTGCCTCTACCGTAGTCCCGGAGTGTCGAACGGCCCGGAATTTGGCCACAAGCCGCAAGCCGCAGCCGCAACGAACTCGAATGCGTTGCCGCCGATAGATGCTGCTCTAGAACGCCGAGGCCGTCGAGAATTGACTTGCGTCTACTCATCATCATTGAGCCTCCATCAGCCAGGCCATGTCCGACGTCCGACGCTGTGAGAATGACAGGCACCCGTGGAGATCGCCGGCGACGATTCGCCAAGGTACGCTTCGTGTCCCTCCAATTCCCTGGCTTCGCATCGCAGTCTCATCTGGCTGAACTCTAGGCCTGTGACCCTTGCCGAAGAAGAAAACTCCGATGTGACGGGGCCCGCCCTGTGTGCATTCGCTGCCAGAATCAAGAGGATTCGTCGTGCCGTTATGCCGACGTCGACAAACCGTGTGTGCGCCAGCGCCACTCCAGAAGCCGCGTCCACAACGATGCTACCGGTCACCCGTTTACCAGGCCAGTGACTGTTGACTCTCAACCGGACCGTGATGGCCAGTCCAGGACGCACCCAGCTCACACTCGCGATCCCGGTGCCCCAGACCCGAGTCCCCAGAAAACAAGCGCTTGTCCAGTGAGCTCGGATACAGTGGTGGGCGGACATGGAGATATGCGGTATTTTGGTACGCTCTAGCTGATGGAATGTGTCGGGAAAGCACTGGAATCACATCTGATACTGTCATGTTGAGCAGGGCCGCCTTCAGTGATTTCCCTCGTACCCATGGGCACATGTCGCAACCCTGAATCATCATTCCGGCATACGCTCCAACCCTCTCCCCAGGAAGGGTCCTGGTCTACATGGACGCACCCCTCGGTCCAATCCATTTTCCAAAAACGAACAACCAAGTCCCTGCCGCCTTGGACCGAGGCATTCTCCCTTGTGAGCGAGTTTTTCAGCCACGAACATCAAGCTTTCTCCTGCTTCCACCCACCCGCCTTCATGGCTCTTTTAGGACAACAGTATTCTGGGAGCCCGCCCGAAAGCCCGGCCTGGTGGGCTTCGCTCAACGCCGTGCTGGCAATTGCGCAGCGTCGCCGTGTGGAAAAGGCCCAGGAACCTTCAGCCGATGAGGACTTGGCCTGGTGTTACGCCGCAAACGCGCTGGGAACAACCTTGGATGTTCTTATGCGCAACACTCAGTTGCTGTCTGTCCAGGCCCTCTTGAGTATTGCCTGGTTTTTTATCGGAACTCCAAACCCACAACCCGCCTTCATGTTGATAGGTAGTGCCTTACGCCTAGCCCATTCCATCGGACTTCACATGACCAACTACGATTCATCTTGGGGTGCCATCGAGTACGGAATGAGGAGAAGAGTTTTCTGGATTGCCACGAGTCTGGATCGAGAGCTTTGTCTCCGGACAGGGAGACCTCCAGCCCATGATTTGCATGATTTCCACGTCGACGCACCAAGTGATCCCCTCGACGACTCGGAGATGATTACCACCACGGCTGGCTCGAGATTGAACCTTTTCCAAGCCCAAGTGCAGCTGGCCGTTGTCCAGGGTTGCATCTACCGACTCCTTCATTCCAGCGAGCCTTCGGCAACCGACACAGGCCGCATCACTGACTCGGTTGCAAGGCTCAACCAACAGTTAGACGAATGGTGGGCCAAATTTGCCCCCGTCTTCCACCCGGCTCAAGCTCTCCAGGATCTCGAACATCATGGACTGTTGCGATCGTACTACTCCTACTATAACTGCGTCATAGTAGTCAACCGCGCACACGGTCGCCAATACTGGACGCCGCTGAATCATCCGGCCACCCCCGTAGATCTGTCCACCGGCGTAAGGGCCTCCATCCAGCGGTGTCTGAAGGCGGCTCGATCCATTGTGGCCTTGAACCATGCAATACCTCGCAAGTGGAAAAGCTTCTACTGGTAGGCATCTTGGCCCGCTCGGTCGAAATGTATCTATGGATATCTACCTGACTGGCCTGCAGGGATGTTACTTCTGTGATTGCAAGCGCTGCCATCATCCTTTCCATCAATGCGCTCCGAGAGCCCGACTTGGACACGACTCGAGACGATTTGCGCGCCGTGCGCGAGATTCTTCAGCTCTTCGGTGCCCTGGACGAGGGGCGTGTCGATACGTACCTTCCTCGAGTGCGGATGGCATGCGAGGAATTATATCGGAGGGCTCAAATGGTCTCGCCGTCGTCTGAGGGACAGCGACCCCTGTCGTCCCCGCGACACGGTTGGGGAGGGGGAGGCCCGAGTCCTGTTGCTGAAAGTCAACGTCAACGTCAACGTCAAAAAGGTTCGGCAGAAACACACCCGATGGCCGGTCTCACCATGCCAAATGGTCATCTTCCACCCATGCTGCCGCAGGAAGAGGAAGAGGGCGACGGGTCTCATTTTGGTCTGGAGCCTCGAACTCATCATGATGGCATTGATTTTGACTCGGGTGCATGGACCCATCCTGGGCAATCGTTCCTCGGTCCAGCCCTGACTCCATGGAGTTTGGATTTGCTATCAGAAGGGCCAGGGCCATTTACTTGTTGGTACTAACCCGTTAGGTGGACAACGAAGCGAGTCTTGTTGTAATGAATGACAGTGACACTATATGGCCGGTGGGGATCTGAAGCAGGTAATCCCATAGTATTTCTCTAAATGAATAGTATCATGCATACATAGTATCTCTCTGAATGAGTAGTATCATGCATAGTATCTCTCTAAGTGAATGGTCTGATTATCGCTGGAACGTCGACTGGTTCGACTCCTCCTAGTCTTCCAGTCTGGACCATCACCACCAGGCCTACGTAGTGCTTCTATCCTGTGAGAAATAGGGATACTACTATATATCGACGTCGGGAGGACATGCCACGTCGAAGCTCAGGTTGGAACATTCAATGACCACGTAGTGTTTGAGGAGCCAGGGACCGGGGAACGGGGGTCTTCGTCTTCCATCGAATGAGCTAGATACCGCGCTGACTCTAGTTTGTCAACCTTGGCACTAACTTATGTAGGCATTCCCAGCCTTGTCCTTTACAGAAGGCTGGGACTGTATAGGCATGATAGGCACACCTATTGTATATGTATAGTCTGGGCTCCGCCATACCCCTTTGAGAGCCAACATGGAACATTTCAACCTTTGACATATGTAGTTGTCCCGCCGGGCGATGTGCGATACAGGAGTTTCCTTGTATCTCACAGTCATTTAGTCCTCCTCCAAGATCTTACTTATCACATTCAGATCGATGCTCCTCTCACTTATCACGTCCAGATCGATACATAGTACTCCTCTCACTTGTCTTGTCCAGATCGATACTCCTCCAAGAACTCGCTTGTCAAGTCCAGTGCCTTCTGCAAAACACCCGGCTCCTTCGTGATGTGGACGCGCACGTAGCCTCTAAAGTCAGTGGGAGAATTGCCTCCAAAACACAGACTCCCCGGACCAAGCAGCACACCCTTCTTGTCCAGGAGGGCCTGACAAAAAGCCACATCATCGAGCGGCTCGCGCGTGGGCGCGGAGAACTTGACAAACGCAGTGGCGCCGGCGGTAGGCCTTGTCCACGAGACGAGATCCTTGTTCGTCTCGACAAAGGCGTCCAGCAGAGCCAGATCTTGGTGCTGGTAAGCCAGATGGCGACGCAACAGGGCCGGACGGCAGCGGTCGCTCAGGACCTCGGTGGCAATGGCCTCGTCGATGACGCCCGTCGACTGCACCGTATACTGACGGGCGTTGACGAGGAGGTCGATGATGGCCGGGTCGCGACAGACCACCCATCCGATGCGCACGCCCGACATTCCCCACACCTTGCTCAACGAGCCGGTCACAATGACCTTGGTGTAGTCATCATGCTCGATGAAGGACGGCGGAGGCGTTATGTCTGTGGCGAACAGCGGCCGGAAGATCTCGTCCGCCAGCACGATCAGGCCCTTTTCGCGAGCAAGGTCGAGGATCTGCCGCTGCAGCTCGCGGTCAAAGTGCCACCCGGTCGGGTTGTTGGGGTTGTTGAGCACGAGCACTTTGGTCGACCCGTCGGGCTTGATCAGGCCGCGCAGCTCCGAGAGGTCCGGTCGCCAGCCGTCCTCCGGCTTGGGAGCCCAGTACGATACTTGGCCGGCCACCGCCTCGACCAGGCCCGTGAGCTGCGGATACGTCGGATACAGGCAGATGGCGTGGTCGGCCGCGCCGAGGAGACCCTGCAACACCAGGAAGTTCGCTCCCGTGGTGCCGGGGGTGGTGATGACATGGTCGGCCGAGATGGGGGCGGACACTGGCCCTGACCCTGGCACTCCCGGTTCGCCTTGATCATGACCCTGACCCTGACCCTGATACAGGGCCGCAATGGCGCGTCGCAGGCCCAGGCTGCCTTGGACCGGGCCGAGAGGCAGTTTCAGCGAGTGGAATTTCAACGCATTTTCCGTCGTCGCGCGGTCGCTGGATAGCGAGATTAGCTCGTCGAGGGAGATGCTGGGTGCGGCACTGCCGGCCAAGACGTAGGTCGCTCGGTCTTCGTTGCCGTGCAGATACTGGGTTGGACAACAGTTAGTAGGGAACGAGCGACTTGATATATGTAGGTAGTTGGTAGTAGGTAGTAGGAGTAGGTAGGAGGTAGGAGGTAGGAGGTAGTAAGTACGTCACTTAGTACCGTCCTATATGGTATATGGTAGGTGTGTTCCTAAGTACTGTCCTACTGTCCTAGTAGGACAGTACCAAGTCACAGGAAGAGCGAGACAGTAGGACAGTCCAAGTCACAGGAAGAGCGGAGACAGTAGGACAGTTCAAGGAACAGAAAGAGCGTGGTTCCTGTTCCTGTTCCTCGCCTCTAGGGTCAGGGGTCGAGACTCACTTGAGGCAGCTCAAACTTGGCAAACTTGACCATCTTGATGGCCTGGAGGAGAGGAAAAGGTGGTTGAGCTCAGCTCCTAGACTGAACCCAGGGGAGGTGATAGGTAAGAGGTAAGGTAAGTTGTAAGAGGTCAGAGGTAAGAGGTAAGATATAATAGGTAAGAGTCAGAGGTCAGAGTTAGAGGTCAGAGGTAAGAGTCAGAGGTAAGAGGTAAAGTAACACAGTTTATTCTCAGCTGGTTATAGGGTCAAGAGTCATAGAACCGACCTCTTTCCTCTGTCTCTATCGGTATATGTCAGCATACGCGTATAGGAGGTGTCTGTGTCCGTGTCTGCGTCGTACAGTAGAGAGATGTTTGTTTATTTGGCTCTGCTCTCTTAATGACATGAGTCATGCGAGGTGATGGCTGTGACGCAACGTGAGGTGGGTGTGGAGTGTGGAGTGTATATTATATAGGGGTGGATACAGGAAGTACATGTAGTACAGTACAGTACAGTATTTGCGCCCTTCCCTCGACATGATCAACAGACAACGCCTCTGCTTTTCTTGGCCACCTGGGCATGATTACATATTAGATGTCTAATTGTAATTATGATAGGTTTAATGTTAATGTTTCTCGTAATGAATACATACTGACAATGAATGCATTCATTCTCGCTGAAGCAGGTTGTCCGCTGTCTGGGGGAGACGGTGGGTGGATAAGTCTAGTCTGCCAATGAGTCAGTGCCCAGCAAGCAAGCCTTGTGGGTTGGGATTTCCCCTGTATATCTACATCTACTCCTGACAATGATTGCATTCATTGGAGTCTGCTGTCCAGTGGAGGGTGGTAAGTCTAGTCCGCCAATGAGTCAGTGAGTCAGCGAGTCGGTGCCCAGCAAGCATACGTTGTTCCTCTGTACATCTACATCTACATCTACATCTATCGTAATTAGTATCTAGAGAAGAGAAGGCCAGGCCAGGCCAGGCTTGTCTCGGAAACTGAACTAAGTCTCGGTCGTAGTATACCGTCAGTCTGACCACCGGTGACCAGGTGACCGGGTGCTTGCTGCTGCTGCTGCGGTAGTAGACAGTATATACAGTGTGCAGTATAGTATACTCGGTACTGTATGACAGACTTAATTCAGTGTTGTAGAAGAATTTCATTCAGATCCGCCCGTCTATCCAACTGGGTGTCGAAATGGATGCCCCGAGACATTCCCGTCTATCCAACTCCTTTCTCTAGCTATGCCATGCTATGCAGATCAGATCCCATCAAATATATACCTCATAATACTATGTAAGAGCTGCCAAGAGGCCTTATCTTCCATCGACAACGCGGCATCCAGTTCTTTCGTACTCGACTAAATCTCAGAAAACACAGCGAATCATTGCTCCTCCGCGATGACCAGCTGTTACGGTTTCCCTTGACGTGTGTCTGGTGATCCGGCGGTCCCCGGAGAGGCCAAGGCTCTGGTAGTAGCGGTTTCCCGCAGATTCTCGACATAGGCCTGCGACAGCGCCGCATATTTGCAGTGCGTACGAATGACAGCGCCGTACTTGTAGAAGAGGAACGGCAATGGCATGCAGGCCAGGGAAATAAACGCCGGAATCGACGAGGCCCAATGGATCCCCAGCCCTTTGTACATCTGTCTCGTGAACAAAGGGAAGACGGCGCCACAGAAATACCGGAGCACCGAGACCGCAGCTAGCACAGATGCCGCGTAGATGGTGTACGAGTCCAGGAGGTAGTTGATGATGCTCAGGTAGATGAGGATCATACCAAACCCAAACGGCACCATGGCGGCGACACTCACGATCCAGTGGATGGACGGAGAGTTGGTCCAGGCAAACCAGAACAGGCCGACTGGAATAGTGATGGCAGAGACCATACAGGGTGGGAGCCGGGCCTCGGGAGGTGCGAATCCCCCATATCTCTCCTGCACGCGGATGTACTGTCGATTGATCTGGATGGTGTAGAGCGCACCAGCCAACGTGCCGACCATGACTCCGATGAACGGAAGACCTCCAACCCCGGCGTTCCAGCCCCGGCCTTCTTCGTACACGATGGGAAACGCCCCAAAGAGCATGTAGAGGGTACCATAGACGATGGCGGCGTAAAAGGTGAATAGCAAGACGATAGGCTCCCGAAGGAGAAGGACCCATGGTCGTGACAAAGCGGTCTGGAGACGTCGGGATAACGTGACCTTTGGTTTCTCGAGGTCGATCTTGCTTCGGTAGCATTTCCCCGTGATTTGTGACAGCCGTTCGGCGCGTTTGATGAGGAGTAGAGGCGCATACGTCTCCGGGACGAACAACGTGATGATCAGCCAGACCAGTCCGGTACATGCGGTCAGGAAGCCTTCGACCCACCGCCATCCGGCATTAATGCCCAGAAATCCACCGATCATCGGTCCTAGGGAAGGTCCCATGTACGGAGTCACTGCGAAGAGACAGAGAGCGAGACCTCGTTGTCTGGCGGTAAACATGTCGGAGATGACGCCGCCCGCATTCGTCAGTGGCGACGAACCGAACGTTCCTGCAAAGAAGCGGAGAATAAGGAGCGTCTGGATATTCTGCGCGCCAATACAGGCCGCGGAAAAGGCGGCCATGATCAGAAAACTGAAGAAGAACGGTATCTGTCTTCCAATGGTTTCGCTCAAAGGTGCCCATACTAACGGTCCGAGAGAGAATCCGAGCACGAAGAGCGACAGACCGAGGCTGGCCACCTCATTGTCGACGTCGAAATAGGACAAGATCTGGCCGATGCTCCCGACGTAGGCTGACGAGGTCAAGGACACGATGAGAGTCGCAAATCCCGTGATGGAAGTGATCGTGACCTTTCTGGCAAAGCTGAACTGCATCGGGTTGCGTGGATCATCCGGGATCCAGGCCACCACATAGGGGTCGTCTTCTGTGCCGGATCCCACGTATTCGTAGTCCAGGACTTCCTGAGTGATTGCCCCTTGGTCCGTCATCAGTCGCCAATATGATATCGTCCGCGGGCAGCTTGATTCCAGGGCATTTTTCTCCATCTTCACGCTTGTCACCGCCATAGTATCATACATATATAGGAGTCGGCAGTGGGAGAAATGACCAAGATTGGTTTGGAGGCTCCGAGATGGCACACTGCCGCCAGGATCGAGGTTGAAGAACGTTTCCGCCGGTCACCATCAACGACCTTGGTATACTGTACTCATTCATGCTCGACGAAGGACGCCGTGCCCGTGCTCAACATTGCCAATGTGAGATTTGGATTCTGATTCTGACTTTTTACTAGTACTTGAAGTTGGGAGAAGAATCGGTTCACCAAAAACTCCAAGGTCAAGGTCAAGCTTACCGCGTTTCCGAGCGAGCCATTTCGTGATCCTTTCCTAGCTCTGGCGGTGGATCAGCTTCTTGTCGTAATTTGGGGCGTCCACGGGTAGATCGGCATTTCAGGTAGGCTCAAGATACTACTACCTAGGTATATACTGTAGCTAAAGCGGCCCGATGTAGTACTTTTGCTCCCGAATCTGACTCTACTCGCTCGGTACATACGTACTACAATACCCATAATGGTTGTAGACTCTATGTACTGAATCCACCCCAAGACTTGAATCCTAGAATTTGCGATGTTTTCGTGAGCCACGATCTAAAGTTTCCGCGCTAGTATGCTTTAACCACAACCAAGCGGCGCTAGATTGGCACTAGAGATCTACGCCGGCGCTACTACATACTTCTACCAATAATTATAGGCGCTAACTCATCCAAAGGCTACTAAGCTAAAAACCTTAAATAAGCAGTATCTATAATATTCGAGTAACCAACTAAAAGCATACGACGCACTCGCTGGCAACGGACAGCTCCTTCCCCAAGCCGTGGATTGCGTTCAACGTCTCATGCATGTCCTCGCACCTCCACGTCGGCATCTTCGTCAATACGACTCTTAACACGATCGAAGAACTCAAAGCCCGGCGCAAGAGGAAACGCAACGAAGACGACGAAGACGAAGACGACGAAGACGAAGACGACGAAATTGACGAAGAGCTTGCTGCCCAAAGAAGAGCAGCACGTGAAGATGCCGCGCGCGAGGCACGACGACTCAAGATCAAAAGCGAGTCAAAATTGGACGGAGCTTGACAATCAGCTCCAAATCGCTTGATCTTGATTGCACCCACCATCAAGTTCAAGTTATCACTGCATTCTCTCGAAGGCTTTCTGTACTAATCCAACCATTTTCTTAGAAATAGTACACAACAATAGAGCGTGAAAGGGAAGCTACACGCCGTCGGAATCGGAATTGACAACAATCCCCAACTCATCAGCACAAACCTCAACATCTTAGTACTAGCCCTCCGTCCCAAAGACCAGCCTCTCTCGCTCGAGTCGTTCAGAGAAAACGAAGGATAGGAGCAAGCTCACGGACTGTGGTTTCATAACATTCAGAAATGTCAGGGGAGATGGAATCGAGCATGTTCAAGTTTTAATAGTAAGATCGCGAAAAACAATCAAGATGCAGGCGCGGGAGTCCCAAGGTCTCCCCGGGGTCGGCCCGCTCGTATCAATTGACACCCAGTACGCGGACGTGCGACAGCTCACAATCAAACAATATGAAGAAGCTACTGACATTTCGAGGCGACATCCTCTTCGTCCGCATCAGCGTCACCTGTCATTAACAGCTAGCACTCTTGCTGTTCTACAACAGAGCCAGGCCCTGGCTAAGCTCTTTTTCTCGAACGCGCTGGAACGCGTCAAAGCGCGATCCAGCGACGATAAAAGCAGCAAGCCCGCTGCCGGCGACGACGAGGATGACGGCGACGAGGTGTGGGCACCCAAGTGGGAAGAAGTCGCCCGTAAAGGCCTGCGAGGTTCACTGCGCTCTGAGCCACCAGGGCGCGGTCTTCGATGATTGACGGGGCGCCCCCGCCACACATCGAGTGGCGGCTCGACGGCGACATCATCTACGGCCGCCCCTTACGCCGTCCTCACTGGTCTTCGGTTTCCTTTGCGATCTGGCGCCATTTGTCAATCCTCTCTTGCATGGCAATTCCCAAGGCCGCTACAACGGCAAGGACAGACGCTCAGCCACCAGCCTCCCTACTCTGGAGTATGTCGGCCATTAATACAGGATCGAGGCCATTTCCAGCCCCAAGCTCAAGCTCCATCTTGACTTGTGTTGCGTTACGTTGCGTTGCGTGACTTTAGGTGTCGACGACACTTCAAACTTGCCGCACATTTGTCCAACCGCCGGGTCAAGTCTTTGGAGGACGATTACGACGCCTCAAACCAGTGATTTTCCGCGGAACTTTTGTCCGTCCCTGCCTGTGCGTTGGGACTCGGTGAGATGTAACACGCTTTGTGCTCGCATCGGCAAAGGCCAGAAAAGCGACGAGATCTATAGAGTCTGGCCAGCGGAGACAACACTCGTGACTGCGCAGATTGACAGTGATGAAGACGTTGACGTACGGCACCTTTTCCTCAGACAGCGCCACGGGAAACTCAATCAACGACTCGAGGGATTGGCTGTGAAGACTTTATCAGCAGGTGCTTTGGTGTCGAGGTCGTCCGCGATGAGACATCATCACTGTTGTGACTCACCCTCGACAGTGTCAAAAAACCCCTCTCAGAATGATCAGTCCAACAATTAAGCCAGTCTAACAACAATCAGTCCAATTGTCACTCGAACAGCCGCCACAACGACGTACTCCATCGACTACGAGTCATCCAAAATCCTGCTACATCGAATGTTGTTGTTTACCAAGAATGTTGTTGTTCACATATTCTCGATCCGAAGAGCAGAGTTACATCATGCTATCTACGTCAAGAGTTTCTTGTATCGTATCACGGTTCAACAAGGATTCCGTCCACAAGGCGACCGGGATATGACCGAGCCTAGTACAAGACAGGCAAGAATCCAAATCAGCTCCGTTTGATCCGGGTTTGATCCGGTTTTAATCTGGTTTAGATAGTAGTTATAGATATAGAGTTAATACTGTCTAAGTACTACCTAGTATAGTACTAAGATAGTGTTAATACCGTCTTAGGTCCTTAAATTGGTGAGAATATTTAGTATTAGAGAAGCTTTAGAGAAGCTTTAAGCTTTAATAGAATTTTTTTTTGGGAAATTTTTAAGTTAGTAGTTAAAGAGTACTCTAATATGTAATAATATACTTGAAATTAAATTATTATATAGCTAGCGTAGCTATAGCGTAAATTAGAGTACTTCCGAGTTTATTCTAGAACCTTAAAACCTTAGAAAAACTTTAATTTTTTAAAGCTGGTCAAAGGCTAAAGCTAGCTAAAGCTAAAGCTTATCTCTAAAAAGTGTTTGAGAAGTCTCTAAGAAGTCTCTAAGAAGTTTTAAATCGATATATAGCTTGAAATTAGTATATAGTAGTATTAAATTAGCTTTAAACTAAAGGGCTAGGTATATAAGTATATATTAAAGCTGTCTTGCTAAAGCCGTGGGAAAGCTGTAGGGACACTGCCCTGAAGCCGTTTTAAGGCTTTAGAATCGGCTCTCTAGTCCATATAATATTACTGTTTAGATACTATCTATATAGTATACCAGAGACAATGTTCTGACGGCGGCTTTAGCACGGTATTAAGACAGCTTCACCACGGTGTTGATATAGTACTAACACGGTGTTAAGATAGCTTCAATACTGCTTTAACACTTAAAGATTCTTACTAATTTAAGGACCTAATATGGTATCAACACTGTCTTAGTATACTAGTTCTAAGATAGTATCAACTCTACATCTACTACACTAACATTATATGGTATCTAAGCGGTATTAAAGCTTACCAGTAATTGAAGATTCTTAGACACGTCTTAGACACGTCTCTGAGAAGTGTAGAGACAGATTTAAACTACAGGTTATTGCCAGTACTGTATGTAGTAAGTACCTACTACCTACTATCGAGTCCAAGACTTCTTAGACAGAGCATCGCGCTGCAGGCACCAAATAGGTTCTGCCAGCTGAATGACTGTCGGGCCAAACCGCTCCAGCACGCCATTCACTCTCGCGGAGAGTTCCGAGTCCGAGTCTGAGTCCTCGTGGGTGTGGGCCGCGTGCGGGTTGATGTTGATGGTGGCGTCTTTCCACAAGGCTCTCCAGGTGGCCAGGGCGGACTTTGCGGCGGGACACGTCGGTCGAACGTCTGTGGCGATGAGATAGAAGGAACTTCGCGTGGTGTGGAACTTGGTCGGCTTGTAGAGTCGCACCGTGGAAAAGGTGGAAAAGGCATACAGCGTCTGCAGCGTATGCCACGACTCGACCTTGTGCAGGAGCATGATCAAGGTTCCCTGGTCGCGGATTCTTTGTAGGGCCAGGATCATCTGGCTGCAAGCCAGCCGGCGGGCTTCGACTCTCTCGCGTCTCTCGTCGCGATACGGCGCATGTGTTCGCAACACCTGGCCATCGCAGAAGACAAGATCGAAGGATTGGCCGAGGTAGGGGCGGTTGGTACTAAGTTCAAGTTTCGATGTCGGTGTTGATGTCGACGTCGGGGCAGTACTAGTAGTACCTGTCTCTGTGGTAGCACTAGCACCAACACCAATACCCGTGGTAGTGCTATCCGGTTCAAATTCATGAACTTGACATGGATCCAACCCAAATTTACTCCCGAGCATGGTGATATCACAAAACCACACCGCGACTCGTGGATCCGCCTTGCCGTGCGGAACAAGGAGCGGGTGGCCCCCGAGCGTCTTGGGCAAGCTGATACCGCGCACCTTAGCGGTGGGATTGCAGCGAAGAGCAGTGGCGATGAAGCCTCCGGGGGCAGCACACAGGTCCAGGATGAACGGGTTCGGCATGTTCAGACCAATGGCGCCGGTGGCTTTTCCCATCTCGTCGCCGATCCGACACATCATGGAGAAAAATCTTCGACGTTGAGCCGGTCCAGCCTCGTCGGCTTGCTGCCGCTGTGTCTTGAAGTGTTTGTCCGCCGCGGCATTCGCCCAGCCCTGGCCAGCATGGTGTGTCAGTGTAGCTCTGCTGAATTCAAGGGTTTACCGTAGATGTAGATAGAAGTAGTGGCGTCGATGGGTTTGACTCGACCCAGGCCTACTAGTAGTATGTGCCTAGTAGATGTTTAAAACCTACCTTGTTTCTAAGCTCATCCAACTCTCGAAAAGTATTCGAGTGACTTTGCAAGTAGTCGGTGACCAGTTGTGATGGGCTTCGATGACCAGGAATTTCCACTGTATCATGTACTAGTATATCCATTTCGATATATGTAGGAGGAGTAACGCGTTAGAGGTGTTCCACGACACGCCTTGATGGTAGTGGTAGTAGTGGTGGTGGTGGTGGTGGTGGTGGTGGTGGTGGTGGTGGATATAGAATGTAGTAAGTAGGTACTAGGTAGTAGTAGGTATTAGTCGAAGTGCGGCTGAGGTGGAGGTGGAGGTCGAGGTTGTACAGTGCTCCTCCTCCTCCTCCTCCTCCTCCTCCTCCTCCTCCTCTGTGCGACGTGGCCAGAGACAATTGGTCATGGTCAACCAGGTTTAGCGACAGGGTGAGTTGTTTGTTCCCAAACAGCCCAATGAACTGAAAGTCGGCCTTTCTCTCAGTCGTCTGGACATGGATTCGACATTTAAAGAGTGCTTGTCTTGACATGCAGTGTCACCTAGGATGGATGCAAAACCAAACTGACCCAAGCACTCGCCAGCATGGCCGCATGATCCGCCCTCCAGCGAGGCCCATTGCCAAAGCAAACGGCACGCGGGGCCAGGCTGCGTGCCAGCGGCATCAGCATCCTGGTCTGTGTTTCCTGCCGCCCACGCAGCGCAGCTTGAAAGGCGGCAAACTCGGCCTCGCCCATCTTCTCGGCGACATGTCGCTCGACGTCCAGAGGCGACCACCACTGGTCCATCCTCGTCCCTCTCTGGGCCAAATCGTCCAAGACGCAGGCGGCCCGCAGCTCCCACAACGCGGCATCCGCCCCGGGGTTGTCTCCGCGCATGTATCCCAACTGGCGGAACTCCATGCGCGCCTCGAGTAAGGCCGCCATGTAGGCGATATCGTGCAGCGGCTTGGAGTGACGGAGGGCGAGGTCGAACATGCGGCGCGCGGTCGAGTTGGCCGGCAACAGATTGAAGCCAGGGTAAGGGTAAGGGTAGTCATCACGGTGATCCTGGTCGTGATCCTGGTCGTGATCCTGATCCTCGAATCCTGTACTAGTATCGGGCGAGATGCCGATGGACGTGTATGTGTTTGTGGCTGTGGACGTGGACGTGTTTATATCCTTGTCTCTAGACGTGATTATGTCTCTGTCTCTGGTCTTGGATATGGCGGTGTCTGGCGGTGGCGGTGGCGGTGAGACCTGCTTGGCCATGACCTCCTGCAAACACGCATTGCCGAGGTCGAGACAGGCCCAGGCGATGCGGCCGGCGACGGTATATCTTCCGGCCCCGACGTAGGGCGCAATGTCAATCGGCGGCTCGAAGATCTTGGGGAAGCGGTCTGGGTCGAGCCAGAGACCGTAGTCCAGTCGTGGGCTCAGGCGTCCAGAGCGCGCATTGCCGTTGCCGTGGGAGAGTGGTGTGGGTGTGGGTGTGTCAACCTGAGCCTCTCCTCCTCCTCCACTCTGGGGTAGGGAGATGGAGATGGGGGTTTGTCGAGAATTTATTGTGCCATCTAAGGTGGCAGCAGCAGCGACATTGACGTTGGCATTGGCAGTGACTTCCGAAGTGGTCAACCTCTCCCTACTGGAAGACGAAGACTGCTGTGGCGTGTGTGTGTCTGTGTCTGTGTCTGTACTGAGCACGGCGGTGCCGGTGCCGGTGTCCAACCCTACCGCCCGTCCAGCCTCGACGATGGCCAGGGTCAACTGGGCCTGGGCCTGGCCCTGGGCCGGATGCTCCGAGTCCAGGCCGGCCCGGGCGGCATGCACAATGTCGGCGACCAGGGCTTTGAGTCGTTCATGGTCGGCCTTCAGGTTCTGCACGGCGTCCGACTGTCTCTGTCTGAATGCGCGCTGGGCAGCTCGGGCACGTTCACGGCGGCGCTGGGTGGGACAACTTTGATCAGGCCGGTACGGACGAAGACGGAGACGGCGGGAGAGTGGACTCACACGTAATTCTGCTTGGGCGTCCTGCATCATGGTGGCACACACAGCCTGGCTGTCGGGGTACTGGGTACTGGGAACTGGGTACTGGGCATTGAAAGTTGGTGATATTGGTGATATTGGTGATATTGGTAATATTGGTGTTGGGCAATGAGGGAGCCTTTGAAAGGCTCGCCGCCGGGCCGGACCAAATTCAGGCCGATCACGTAACATGACATGACAGGACCCGCCACGCCGCCAGACAATATTCATGTAATATGTATGGCAACGCACAGGCAGTCGGCGTCGGGTTAGGGTTAGTCCAGAACAAGAACATGCGATGCTGCAACCATATACTGTATATACTGAATATATATATACTGTACTGGTGGTCTGTCTTGATGCCGGTGTGGGTGTATTGGCGTATCTCCTGGCCACCTACTACCTACTACCTACTACCTATTTACTCCCTATATAGTACATCTACTTGATACTACTGCCCATACAGTAGACAGTACACATTCCAGGACAACCACCCACCCATGTCCACGCCCAAGAAATCCGTCCTCATCACCGGCTGCTCGGACGGGGGCCTGGGAGCGGCGCTCGCCATCGCCTTCCACCAAGCCGGGCTGCATGTCTATGCCACAGCTCGAAACCCGGCCCGATTGACCGAGGTGCAGTCTCACGGGATCGAAACGTTGACGCTGGACGTCTTGTCCGACTCGTCCATCGCGGCCTGTGTGGCCCAAGTCGCCAGGCTCGACATACTGGTCAACAACGCCGGCGCCTTGTACAGTATGCCGGTGTCGGATCTCTCGATGGTCCAGGCGAAGAAGCTGTTCGACCTCAACGTGTGGTCGTATCTGGCCGTGACCCAGGCCTTCCTGCCGCTCCTGCTGGAGTCCAAGGGGGTGATTGTCAACCAGACCTCGAGCGCCGGGGTGCTCAACGTGCCCTTTCAAGCCACGTACAATGCGTCCAAGGCGGCCATGTCCATGTTTTCCCACACCATGCGGCTGGAGCTGGAGCCGTTCGGTGTCAGAGTGGTCGATCTGAAGACTTCCGCGGTCGTATCACGCGGCCTCACCAACTATCGCGATCTCGATCGCGACATCTCCAACACGCCCGCCCCCGTCCTGCCCAAAGGCTCCATCTACGAGCCGGCTCGCGAAGTGGTCGAGAGGTCGATGCGCTGTGAGTACACCACCCCCGAAGTCACGGCCGAGCAGTGGGCGTCGCAGGTGGTGCCAGAGCTGTTGAAGACCAACCCGCCGTCCAATGTCTGGGCCGGCACCAAGGCCAGGATGGTGCGGCTGTTGGCCATGCTGCCGGCGGGAGTCATGGACGGGATGATGAGGAAGATGACCGGGCTCGATGTTGTGAAACGAATGGTCGGCATGTGAGAGGACACTCTACAGTATGTAATTAGCTGCGGATGTGGCTGGGATCATGAAAGTCCCCAGGCCTAATTTAGGGTTAGGGTTAGGGTTAGGGTTATAAGGGTTAGGCCACCAGTCGCTGTTACCCGCTAAGGCGCCTATTAGATGTCGCCTAACTGTTCCCTCTCTAGGTGCCTGCAGAGCTCCTAAGCCCCGTAGCCCCCTAAGCCTCAGGCCTGCTTAGCAGTTAGGGACCATGCACCAAGTGCCATAGCCATCTAGGCGAGTGCCACCCACCTAAAAATTCTTCACTATCTCCTTGATACTCGTACTTTATGTCTTCCCCCATCTGATGAGTGACCATGGGCTCAAGATCGAGATTCAAGGACTCGAGCACTCTTCCGTATCGCGTACCCGGGGTTGCCGCTGCCGCTCGCAACCGAATCCAAGATGATGAAGCTCTCACTTTCGTCCACATCTCTCATCCTGAAGACATCAAGCAAAGAGGGGCTCGGAAAGCCGTTCGACGCCATGTCATGGGACGAGTGGGCAGATCTCGCAAGAAACCCCCTGTGACCTTTTCACTCTCGCTGAGGCCTGAGCCTACTACCACCTCACCAGGCCGCGAGCCTGCTGAAAGGCTGTTGCTCACTAATCCGCACTGCTTACAGCCATTCGGACCCTATCCCATTAACACCGACTCGCGTGCCCTCCAGCTCATTCAATTCAGTAGGTACTAGTACTACCGCCTCAGTGGCTCTCCGGACAAGTCGGAGGAAGCTGACGGTTGACAGTGCAAACTGAGGGCGAATACCTGTACCGGCCTTTCCGACACGAGTGGTTTGTCATGGCCGTCGCAGATACCAGCGCCTTCTGCCTGTCGCTAGCAAACGCGGCGCTATTCATGAACCAGATCACCACTGGCAGGCAAGGAGCCACTGAATACAGCGACTGTGCCGAATCTGCCAGGTACTACAGCGAATGTCTAGATCAAGTCACTCGGCGACTTGCGAGCAGCACGGAATGCACGAGCGACGGCGTAATCACCACCGTGCTCGGCTTTCTCTGTCATGATGTAGGTTGACTCCCCAGGGGGCGTCAAGTCTCGAGACGCAAGACTGACTCCCACGCTTGACAGTCCAGTGTTGGAGCCTGGAAGCGGTGGCGGCTTCATGTTATCGGTCTCGAACGCATCCTACGACTCCGCGGAGATGTTTCACACCTTGGCTTAGACGTTGCTCTATTCATCTTATGGTACGTGGCAACTCTCCGGTCGTCGTACAAGGAAATTCTCATTTCCTGACCAGTGGCAGGATGGATGTCGTTGGATCGGTCGTCGATGATTCCAAACCACGAATCCCAATTCTCCCGCAAGTAATCGACACTCAACCGCGCGTCGGAGAGATCAGCTCGTCATTGTACGCTCTCACCATACCGCTGGAAGACTCATCCGATGATCTGAGGCTAGTAGCCACCGCTCTGAAAATGGCAGCCAACCTTGCCACGGTAGTGAATCAGAACAGCCACAGCCCAGCCTTCTGGAGGGATGGCAAACTGGCTTCCCAACTAATCGGACCTCTGTCTCACTTCTTGCTGTCGTTTCCGCGGCTTCCAGACAACCCCACGGACATATCACCAGAGATCTTATTGAGGGAATTGGTCCGGCTGACCCTTCTCATAATGATGGCCAGAATCAAAAAGCAGTTTTCACTGTTCTCAGCCGAGACAGACTTATTACATGAAAAGTTCGTCCACATTCTATCTTCGACGGCGCACGTCTTCACTGCATTTCCAGAATCAGAAATTGGCCTGTGGGCGATCGTGGCCCTCGCCTCCCTATCTCCAACGCAAAGCGACTTAATTCACCAAAATATCTACCAGACAATGACGGTTTTAAGGATTTCAACGAGCGAAGCTGCCATTTCTCTAGCAAAACAGATTGTCTGGGTGGGGATATTGATGGACAGCCAAGCCGATGAGTTGGCGGCGGACATCAATCTCAAACTCGCCCGACGCTCATACAGCGCCTCAATTACCAGTGATGCCCCCACTGGCTGAGATGAACTGTCCCGTGAGCCAGCGACTCTTTTCGGAAGCCAGGAACAACACCACATCCGCGATATCCTCGACCGTGCCCAGGCGAAGCTCGGCTCTCGTCAACGGCACGAGATTGGCATGAATGATCTCCGCCACCGGTGGTGGGACTCCCTCCGTCGGCACCGGGCCAGGAGCGACAGTGTTGATCGTGACCCCATGGCCGCGGCCGAGCTGGAAGAGCATGGCGTCAGCGAAGTACGACATCAACCAGTAAGGTCATGTACATGGTAGATGAAGGATTCGACCAAGGGGCTTTCTTTCTGTACTTACTTCCATGGCCAGCGAGTATGTCAGAGCATCGTTCGCAGCCTTGGCCGCGCCATACAGCGCAGTTGGCCCGATCCCCAACTTGGAAGCAATGGAGCCGATGTTGATTACCCGGCCACCACGATGCATCACCGGCACCGCAGCCTGGACCATGAACAAGGCCGAAAAGACATTCGCCGCAAACACTGCCGTGACGTCTTCGCTGCTCGCCTGCAGCGCCCCTGCGGGAGGGCCACCGCCTGCATTATTCACTGGATCGATCGCATCGTCAGCCAGCCGAAACAACCCTTTCGCATTCTAACTTTAGTACCCAGGATATCCAGCTTGTCGACGCCCAGCACCTTCAAGCCCTGCTCTACCAAGCTCTTGGCTCCGTCCTGCGTCGACACGTCCGCTCTGACCACTGCGACCTTGACTCCATATTCGGCTTGGAGCCGCTCTGCCACGGCCGCAGCCCGAGGGCCCGTCGCCTCGGAGACGTGGTTGAGCACGACGGCGGCGCCGTGTCGCGCGAGTGCCGTGGCGATGCCGGCGCCAATCCCATTCTCCTTGCCAGACCCGGTGATAATGGCCACTTTGCCGGCCAGGGAGAGTGAGTCTGAGGACGAGGCTGCCATTGTGAATGCTACTAGCGATGGGAAGATAGGGTGATCCTTTCAAATCGCTGTTGTTGCGCGTTGCTTCACTTTCGCCACGGACACTTTATCACTGGCAGATACCAAGACCAAAGGGGCCCTAAGAACAGAATGGAGGATGTCGACTGCCTACTACTGTATGATGTAGGTCGCAAAGGCAAAGAGAAATTTCAAGACACAGCCAGCCAGTTCGGCAATCAACAGAAGACAGCCAAGTGCCAGACCTCTTTTATAGACCTGAGGGGCCCAAAATTTGGTACGTACATCCTGCGTACTAATCTTTTTTTTCACCCTTTTCTATTCCTCGAAGCCTCAACCGGAATCTTGATCGGCACTAAGATATATTGTCCAATCAGAACCCTGGGCCCCACAAACCCTAATCCGAAACAGGAAAAAAGAGATCCCTGTCATGCATTAGTCCTAACTTACTAAGTACTATAAGTTCAGTCTCCAATCCTGCACGGCACCAACTCGAAATATTATTACTAGTAATACTAGTATATAAAACGAGTGGTTCTGGTTCTAGGATCATAAAACATAGTAGTACTAGTATCATAACGAGTGGTTCTAGACTAGGATCACTAAACATACTAGTATATACTAGTAGGTATATACTTAGTAGTATATAGTATAAGTACCTTACTGTTTTAACCTAATTTAGAAGCTTAATAATAGTAAATCTATTAAAGTCTAACCTAGCTTACTTATAGAACTACCTAGTATAGCGAAGGTACTAGATTTAGGAAAACCTTAGGCTTAAGTACCTAGTACCTTTATGTTCTAGAGTACCTAATATACTAGTATTAGGTAGTAGTATGTAGTAGTAGGTACTACTACTAGGTACCTTACTTATACTCCTCACACGCGTACAGCCGTCTCCATCCTTAGAAGTTTCAAGGTTAATAGGTACCTAACTAGGTACTAATACTAGGTTAAGTACTAATATCAAAACCGGATCGAAACCGGATCGACACCGGATTAACACCGGATCAACACCGGATCGAAACCGGATCGACACCGGATTAAAATACTGTTAAAATTGAATTAAAGCTAAGTCTAGGTACCTAGGTCTAAGCTAAATTACTAGGTACCTAGATCTCTTAGTAAAATTAATACTAGGTAGGTAGTTTAAGCTAAAATTAGGTAGAGTATATAACCAGAACTCTAGTATACTAGGTATTATATAATACTAGTATTAGACCTTAAGTCTAACCTCTATATAGGTATATAGTAGGTACTACTTAAGCCTAGCTAGTACTACCCTGCCCTCCTATAAGTGATCAAGTAGAGATCGATAGGTAATCAGGATTATAATTAATAGGTAATCAGGTAGGTGATCAATAGGTGATCGAGTAAGGATCGATTAGACGATCGCAGGCTTAAAATACTGATTTTCTCACGGGTTAATCGATCACCTACCTGATTACCTACCTGATTACCTATTGATTATCTACTGATTATCTACTGATTTTCTCTTGATCGTCTATCGATCCTTACTTAGCGATCAACACTTCTATACTAACTAGTAAAAAAAAAGGTCGTAGGTTCAACTCGCCTAAACGTCGAAATTTTTTTTTTCGTGTTTTATTAATAAAGCGAGGCCTATACTACTAGGCCACTATACCTTTTCTACTATATTTACTCTATATTTTCGGTAGTCTTAATAATATAGCCTTATTTTAGTAAAAAGTAAAATTTTAAAATTCTCCAAGTATAAAGTGATTTTGATCTCTATAGTGATTTAGGTGTGATCCTTGATCTCTTTAGTGATCTCTCTAGCGATCGAGGTACGATCCTTGATCTAGTATCGAACCCTAATCGAACCCTAATCGATTATAGATCGAACCCTAATTGATCGCTAGGGGGAGGGCACCTTAGTAATAGTAAGTGATACTATATACTACCAGTACTAGGTATTACTAATTGATCTTCTTTATAAGAAGACATGCCTACTACTAGTAGGCTCTTAATACTGCCTGATGACTTTCACGGTAGAACAACACTGATTAAGTGCTCCGTTTACCACCTAATCCGTGTTGAAAAATTAGTAAAACCACTCCTATAAAGTTGTAGCGTCCTCTTAAAAACTTGTAGCGCAGAGTATACTAGGTATATATATGTCAGGTTGGCAATTATCTCGTACACTATAGTACTATCAACCAACTTCGAGTTACTACTAATCTCTAAGGTGACCTACTCTCATCTTCATCTTTACTTGCTTGTTCTAGTTCATCGCTGGAAATATTGAATGTATCTTCGAGGTCCACCTCTTTATATAGTACTGAATTTCTATTGACCATGCGAGATGTAGAAGTGCCTGAGCTTGGGCCTAACTCATCCCGGGAGCTGGGTGCAAGTTGGATTCGCTTTCTTTTCCCTTGAGAGGGTTTCTGAGACGACTCGGGCGGTCTTTGAGATACGGCCTTGCTCTGCGACGACCTAGGGGCCATTTGAGATGGATCGGAGATGGGAAGGTAGTACTATTATATTGCTCTTATTGACGAAAGTCTTCGCCTGGGGAGCTAGGACCTGGTGTATCTTTGACCGTAGGCCAGATTCGGCAGTGCAACGTCTGAGCTCGTTGTTTTTAGAATGTCTGTGTCTGTTCTGATAGTCCTGCAGTGGTCACTCTAGGGCAGACGGAGTTGTGACGGAGACAAAATCCGTCCATACTAGCGAAGTCCGAACGGGAGGGGAAATCTAGACGGTAGACGGTAGACGGTACTAGACGGTAGACGTCAAGGGCGTCTTGGGCGTCTTCGCTTTGAGAGACTGCGGCTGAGAGACTGCGGCTGAGGTAGTACGTACTAGTACTTCAACTAGGTCAAATACAGGCAAAGCCCACCACGGCATTCAAGGCCATCATTCATGGTTATTGACTTTTGCAAGGGCGGGAGGAACTAGAAGAAGGGTGCGCCCGTAGTAGCGTCTACCGTTCGGATGCTACATAGTATGTAGGAGGTAGTCTTAGTAGTAGAAATGAAAAGCTGAAGTTGGTTGTTGTGAAGATGAAGCACTGCGCCCTGCGGCTTGCTGCCTGCGCTAGCGCACTTGCAGGGAACGAGAAACATCGTCTCGCTTAACCTGCCGTTATTTTAAGTAGTAGTGTCTCTGGGAAGGAAGGTGCACCGAGCGAGAGGGGACGGGCCTTCCTTCCGTTTCCGTCTCTACCACGATGGTCTGCCATGCTACACGCTACACACTACCTATGTACACACACTACACAGATGTTAATCCTTTCCAGAGGCTTATGACAGTCCCTCTGCCTTGGTGACGCGAGAGGGTTGAAGTGATGAGGAGTTCATGTCAGGAGGCTACCACTGGCACTTGCTACATATAGTAGGTATGTGTCTGCCTGTCTTAATGCTCAGCCTCAAAAGGCAGCCAGCTGCCCGACAGGTTGCCCAAGCCGTGCCGTTAGTTGCCCTGCATCTGCTAGTCCCATCTTATGCTAACTCATGCAGCTGCAAGTGCCGAGTTGCTGATGAGCCGCTCGTTCAGAGATACCCATCCACACTCCGCACTGCCACCTCTCCCACCATCACCACCTGGCTGGTAGCTATAGCCAACAACAACCTGAACTTGAAGTCAGCTTCACGGCTCACAACCCGAATGCAGAAGGGCTGCCGGTCAAGCTAAGCATGGTCCCAAGCATGCTTGATCATATGGTGGTGGGGTCCAGAACTTCATGTCCATCGATCCTCGATGATGATGATATTATTGCTGGATGGCCATGTAGGCTGTCTGATACACATATATGCCAGACCAGGTAGCAGACACAAAGCTTCATGGCCTAGCCTCTCTCCTCTCTTCTACTTTGGTCAGTCTATTCTATCACCACCCCACATCGACATAGGACACTGGACGCTGGACACCGGACACTATGCCAGGACATACACTCTCGCCAGCTCTTCTGGCTTTCCTTCTTCTAATCCCTTGGGCACTTGAGAGCCTCGCAAATCCTATCGCTGGTCTCAATGTGTTGGCTCGCTCGTCCACGGCCGATTTTGGCCATGGTACGCTCTCCCTGCCTTTCCGCCGTCGACCATCTGCTCTCATCAGCCGCTCCTCATACCTGCCGACAACAATCGACAACCACCAACTCTCATACCTGGTCTCGGTTGGCGTCGGCACCCCCCCACAGTCACTCTACCTGAGCCTCGACACAGGCAGCAGCGATACCTGGTTTTTCTCCCCTCAAGCATGTACTACAGGTCACTGTGCTGGAGGAACTTGTAAGTCCCCTTCTCCCTCCTCCATCCTCCCTCCTCGCCCCAAACGCTAACACAGTGGCATTTCCTGCAAGTCGACTCCTCCACGTCCAGCACATTCACCGATCTCTCCACCGGCACATTCCTAATCCAATACAACGACAACACCAAGATCTCAGGCGACTATATATCCGACAACCTCAGTCTGGGTGGCGTCACCGTAGAGTCCGTGGAAATGGCTCTTGCCAGCACCGGCGCAGGCTCGGGCCCCAGCTCCCAGACATACGGCATCATGGGCGTCGGATACCCCTCCAACGAGGCAGGACCTGCAGCCAATGAATATCCGAACATCGTTCAAGACCTCGTCAGCCAGGGCATCATCAGTAGCTACTCCTACAGTCTATGGTTAGATGATTTAGGTAAGTCAAGACAATCCGACGAATCAAACCCCATTCGAACATCACATTGCCCAGCAGCATGCAAGGACCCACATAGCTTCTGGAATCCATTTCCCCCTATCACTACCCTCATTTACTGGCGCATACCCCTTTTGACAGGTGGTGTCTGGTGTCTGGCGGATTCGCCTTCTTGTCTTATGTACTTATACTGACGATGCGTGCGATGTAGCATCCCAAACCGGCACCATACTCTTCGGCGGCTATAACTCAGCCAAATTCTCCGGCCAGTTGACAGTCATCGACACACTCCCCGACGCCGACGGCACGGTTCGCAGCTTCCTGATCGCGCTTTCATCCCTGAACGGATCATACAACGGCCAGACAACCACGTTGACATCCTCAACCTTCACCCCCGTCCCTGCCCTTCTCGACTCGGGCACATCGCTCATCTTGATGCCTAGCGCAGCATACACCATTGTAGCCAACTGGTTCGGCGCGAATTCAGACGGGACCATCGATTGTGGCCTGGCGGACAAAAGCGGGTCGGTGTCGTTCGGGTTTGCGGGGGTTAGTATCGATGTGCCTTTCTCAGAGCTGGCCGTGCTCGACGAGGACACGCAGACCTGTTACTTTGGTTTTGCTGACGGGGGTCCCGACTCAGATTGGATCCTGGGCGATACCTTCCTGCGGTCGGCGTATGTTTACTATGATCTAGGGAATAATCAGATTGGACTTGCGCAGAGTGTGTTTCAGTAGCTGTGCTGCGCAAGAGCAAGGGCAAGCGCAAGGGAAAGGGGAGTAAGTATGTATACTGGTTGCCACATTAGTCGCGGCCCAAGCCCTGCCAGTTGTTTGAATCTTGACCACTGCTCTTCATCACATTAACTCCCCGATCTATAAGTCCCGCAACAGGAGAAATATGTACTGCTATATACTAGTAGTAGTGCAATACTACATTAGTAGCAGTCAGTCCGCGAGTCCACGAGCCACAGTAGGCTCAACCGCATTCCAGACCACAACCGGCTACCGAAGCCGCATCCCTGCATATAACGACAGTCCCTAGTACATAGTAGTACCTGACCCAGCATATCCATGAATTCTATGGACTGGTACTATACTATTAAGTACTAGTATGTCTTGATCTGGCCGTCCTCCCTTAAGCGTGGTGAGCTTGATCTGGCCATCCGTCCTTCCTCAAGCCTGAGCTTGAGCTTGAGGCAGCACGATCTCGCACTTGTGGCTCTTGGGCGCAATCAGGAAGTAGTTCTCCGGAGTCATGGACTCGTCGGTGGTCGAACTGGCCAATTGGGCGCCCTTGCACTTGCGGAAGAATTCGGCGGTGGCGAGTCTCAGCATCATGGAGGCGAAGTTCACGCCGAGACATGAGCGAGCGCCGGCGCCTGGGAGAGGAATTGAATGTCAGTCAGTGTACTAGTCCTTGAGAGTCATGGAGGGTCCCAGAGATGGTAATGGTAGGGAGTCATGAACGGTCCCAGAAGATGGTATGGTAAGGGTAGGGAGTCATGAAGGGTCCCAGAAGATGGTAATGGTGGTGGTGTGGAACTAGGAGTCTTACCAAAGGGATGGTAGATCTTCTTCGCAGCCGGGCTGACCTCGTCGTTGAGCCAACGTGACGGAGAGAACCTAGAGAAGAGGGAATCAATCAGTCAGTCAGCTCCAATGCAACGCCCGGCGCCCCCAGACGGGCCAAAGAAGAACCAGGCAGAGTGTAATAATGCCAGTGGCAGTGGCTTGCAAGTGGAATCATGCACTGGCAGTGTCTTGCTCACTTACTCAAGTGGGTTGGGGAAAAGCTCCGGATCGCGATGGAGCGACCAAGCCTGCGTAGTAACGGTGGTGCCCCCTGGGAAGAAATAGCCGTGCATGAGAGCGCCGTCGGCGGGAACACTTCGCGGAAGACCGCCCGGGGCGGCGCCGTACAGTCGCAGAGTCTCGTCGATGACGGCCCTCAGCAGGGGCAGTTTCTCCAGGTCGGCGTCACCAAAGTCGTCCGGCAGACGGTCGACTTCGTCCTCCAGGGCCTTCTGCAGCAGGGGCCGGGACAGCACGGCCCAGACGAGGTAGGTGAGTGTGATGGCGGTGGTGTCGCTGGCGGCGATGATGACGCCCGAGGCCTCGATGAGCACGTCCTCCTCGTCCAGGCCGGTGCGCTCGCCTTTCTCGGCTTCGGCCGCTATGTTGGAGAAGATGTTGCTGTTCGAGTCGCTGGCGCGCACGCTGCCCAGGAGCGACCGGCCCTGCTCGATGAGGATCTCGTTGAGGCAGAGGATCTCCTGCACGGCCGGGATGGGGAGATACCGCAGAACCCTCCCCACCACTTTCAGGAAGGGGAATTCATTCACCGCCCCGTTCACCTTGCCGTTCATCATCATGAGCTTCAACGCTTGCGACGTCTATATTCGGTTAGCAACTGGATCTTCCTTTCTAAAACTTGATCTTGGACTTTTGCTCAACAGTTTGCTAGACACTTTCATTGCGTCGATAGAGCGGGATAGGGCGGGGGCATCTCAGTGTTGGGTAAGTGAGTAAGTAAGTCAGTACTCGCCTGTCCAGTCTCGAGATTGCCAAATGAGTGCCCATACATCAATCGGCCCGAGATGTCTGTGGACATGAACGTCCACCACTTCATGACATCGACCGCGATTGTCGATGGCGCAGCAGAAACAGCCTCGCCGTGGATGCGATGCACCGCAAACTTGGTCATGTCCCGGATGGTATCGTGCCAATGCTGCCTAGGTACGGATGATTAGTACATAGACGATCGAGAATAGCTTTTGTGTCAGTATGGACTAATTATGTGTTCCGTGTTCGTAATCCCTGTTCTGTGTCCCGTGTCCCGTGCTCCGAACGTGACCAGCTGTCCTGGGGTCGGTGTCTGTGACTCCTGCAGGGTCTGATGTTCGAGTCGTAAAGCGACTTGGCCGAGTTACTATCTAATAGTAATATTAAATCATACTCACAACAGAAACGTCCTGGAGAAGGGCCTCGCAAAGAGCCGGCGTCTGGCCGCATGCATCTTGGAGTCGGTCATGCTGAAGACCATCTGGCGCGGCAGGCCCGTCAGGCCCGTGTACCACTCGCTCTTGTCGAAGCCGGGGATCTTGTGGATCTGGGCGAAGCCGGCCGGATCGTTGACCGCGACCTCGTGCGGCGCGATGCGCACATACGGGCCGTATTTCTTGTACAGCGAGTCGACATAGTACATGCGGCGGCCGGTGATGATGGATATCTTCAGCGCCAGGTCCGTGAAGAGCGTGTGCCACGGGCCCGGCACTTTCTTGAGTTCATTCCGAAAGCCACGGACCAGCACCTGTGGAATTGAAGTTAGATATGGGTAATAGGAGAAGGACCAAGTGGGGGGTGGTAAGGGGGTCTGTTCCCATCCTTGGATCTTTTGACGAAGTTCAGATTCATGTTCTGGTTCTTACCACGAGCAACGCCAGCCCCAGCCCCAGGCTGACCGCGGCGACAATAGAAGAACTCAATTGAGTCATGTTGAAATAGATCTGGCGTGACAGAGAGGGACAACGTCGTTTGTACTCGTCGACGAGGAGAAGGAGAATCTTCTGAAGTACTTTGAGGGCAGGCAGTTATGTATGTGACAGTACACAGTCTATAGATTCCCAGGGAGGAATGCTAATATACTAGTAGTATACATAGTAAGTAATACAGTATACAGCTCCTGTAACAACTACTGTAACAACTACCGAATATCCTCAGGCCCTCAGCCACATGCTCCGTACATAGTATTGCGTTGGCTCGGTCGTTGCTTAGTCGGGTCACTCACTCATGCCGACGGAGGTGCAGGTGCAGGTGGGCACTGTTTTGCTGCAGTAACTGATAATACTGTGAGGTATTCACGCCATGCGATCGGCGTCAAGCCCCCTGGTACCAGTAAAACATTACACAGACTTCCTGCATGTGGACTGATGATCGGAGAGCGAACTACTGTAACTCCGGAGGGCCCCTGTAGGACATATGATGTATGATGTACTATGTATTTGTCCTTGCACTTGTATCGATGATTATACAATCAGGTCCTACTCAGTACATAGAGCAAGCTCTGTCCGTTTGAGGTGTCCGTTTGAGCCATCACGCCACGGGAAGCATGCTGTGTACATCATGAAGTACCAAGCACCGGACAGGATATACAGTGCCTTAACATGCATTATTACCCCTGTAGAACCATCTATTATACGTGCCTAACTTCAAATGTACTAATACTACCGTACTTAGTCAGACGGATACGGATACAGTCGGAATGATTGAGCCAGCATATTTTCGGCTCTGGCCGGGAAAACGTCTATACTCTATCTTTATTTCCAGTTAACATGTTCCCAGTAGGCTAGGAATGTACAAGGCTGAGCTGAGCGCGCCTTTCGAGGTTAAGATTCATGGCCATCGGCCCTCCCTGCCAGCACGAGAATTTCCTGCACCAGCGCCCGGACATGGACAGACTTGATAGGAACCTGATGTGCGCCGTCCCATTCAAGGAGCTGTGTCGTGGCTGGATCACAGCAACGGTAGAGGAATTCTTGATGCAGCGAAAGGCCCGGATCGCGGAGACCGTGGACATGCAGCGTAGGCGTACGCAACCGATCGGCCAATGGGATGGGAGGCAGGCTGATACCATTATTCAACGCCGTGGACAGTGTGGCCGCCCCAACGACTCCTGTGGCCATGGTCACGTCGGATGTCGCATCCAGCCAGACCAAAGGCGCTCTGCCGGCGAGGAGGACGGCGAAGCGAAAGCGAGGGAGGTCAGGGCTAGGGCCATGGCCATGGGTCTGGTTCCGAGTCCCAAGCACCTCTGCACAGTGTTGCTGGGTGAAGAGGATGCTGGCGCAGATTTTGGCGCCCTGACTGAAGCCGAGCAGCCCAACCCATTCACCGGTGCCTCCACGCTCGTTGTCTTGGTCCATGGCAGCTTGGATGCTGTCGTGGATGCGCCTCACAGCATCAGCATCAGCATCAGCTTCTGGGCAAGGAGGCAGGTGCTGCGGGTGTTGGGAATGGTGCTGATGATCTGCATCTGTGTCTGGGTCTGGCTCGTCGTTCTTCCAGCGAAGCCAGGCTTTGAACGGGCCCATGTCCTTGAACACACGGGCGACATCTGGCCCAGGATGCGATCGGTAGGGTGCTTCGACAAAGCAGAATCGGAACGACGTCGCCAACGCCTTGCTGATGGCTCGGCATTGCGTGCGGAAGATGTTGGAATTGGTCCCGCCGCCGTGGAAACAGAGCAGTCGAGGCAGATGCAGCGACGGATCATGGAGGGCATCCGCCCTCGGGTTGTCCCAACCAATCCAAGTGGTAGGAGCAGTAGCAGTCACCATCGTCGATAGTCTATGTAGGCTTTCAAGTTGCTTGCTATTCTAGGTACTGCGGTGCGGTGCGGTGAGAGACGAGAAGGGGAGGTTGGTGTGAACGGCCCCTGCGAGGCTGTTTCCTCAGAAGAGGATCGATCTCGTACTGTCACATCTGGCACAACTCACAACTCACAATTCACAACTCAACATTCATTCCAGAGGGTATTGACCTGGTGACATCGCATTCGCACTCGCACTCGCGGTGGCGGTGAATGGTGATGGTGGTGAACCGTTCAATGTTGGCAACCCCGGAGTCCGAACAGCGGGCTGCGACTTAGTAATATCGACGACCGGCTTTCGGCGACCGGGGCTCGGCACGGACAGTCCATACTTTGCACGCAAGCGGAAGCGGAAGTGGACGTAGCCTCAGACTCAGAACCGGCAATGCATGCTCTTGGGGAGTTTCATGTTTTATGTTTTGTGGTATTTGTGATGATGGTTTCCTGCTGTGATGCATTGCTGGACTTGAGGTTGGATCAAGTGGCACGATACTGTAGTACAGACCTCTCTCTCTCTCCCAGTTCCCAGCAGCATGACGTCCTATGGCAGCCTTGTGCTGCTCACGTCCCTTCTGTTCGAAGTCTTAGCCCTGAACAACCTCTCCGACACTCGACTCAAAGTGATGGCGACCACAGCCAGCCTCTATGCGCTCGTCTACTTCCTGATCAGTCCCCCGCCGGGGTCGTTCATGGCCGTGTGGCCGCTCGGCATGAACATCCACGGCCTGGTGCAACGCTGTATTAGTTACTTGTGGCTGAGAAGCCCGACGGAGCTGGTGCGAAAGGAGAAGGAGAAAGAGAAGGGGGGCGAGAAGGGCCAGAAAAGAAAAAGAGTCAAGTTCTCGGGGGAGGGAGAGGAACTCGAACTTGACCGTGACGTCCCTGACATCAGTGTCCTGGACGCGCTCGATGTCGCCACCACCTTTCGCGGCGTAGGCTGGTTCGTCAAGCCCCTTTTCCTGCAAAGTCCTTGCAAGTCCTCTGCAGTTAACAAGCATCCCTTACCACGGACCTATAGCCATGATGGTACTTTCAGTCATGAAAACCTCTTTGCTAACATGAGAACAATCAATAGGCGGTTCGAGGCCAAAGGTCTTCCAGCTCGTGGTTCGTCAACCTCGTCATCTCGCATCAGCTTCGCCCTCTCCCAGCTGCTGAGTGCGGCCCTGAGGTTCCTCGCCCTCGACCTCGGCATCACGTACGTCAACAAGTCCATGTCAAGCCTGGACCTGGACCAGGTTTCCATCGCCCGGCGCCTGGCTCTGGGCGCTCTCATGATGCTCTACGTCCGCTGGACCATGGACATCCCCTTCCGAGTGGCGTCTGGGCTGTTTGTTCTGGCCGGCGTCCACACCGCGGAAGAATGGCCCCCCTTGTTCGGCGACTGGCAGGACGCCTACACCGTCCGCCGCTTCTGGTCGCACACCTGGCACCAGGGCATGCGCTTGATTGCAGAGCCGCCGGTCAACCTGTTCGTACACTCTGTGCTGGGTTTGCAGGCCCACGGCCACAACCACAGCCAGCTCCGCTACTGGGCCAAGGTCTTTGGCAACTTCTTCATGGCCTTCGTCAACCATGCCTACGGCCGCATCCTGGCCGGCGGCGATCCCATGAACGACTGGATCATGTTTACGCTCCACCCGATCGCGATATGGATCGAGTCCTCGCTCCGCGACGTCGCCGTTGCCGCCGGTTGGCTGGACAGCCACCATCGGTCCAGGATCGAGATCTACTGCGGCTACATCTGGGTCGCTGGCTTTGTGTCCTGGACCTTCTTGGATTTCATGGACGGTGCTATTCGCGTGCATGGCAATATTCCCGCTCTTGCCAGTGGCTTGATTGAGCCGGCGTTTGGCTACAGCTTTTGGACGCCGCTGCTACAGTAATTGGTGTTGGTGGTAGTACGAAGTCCTTTGCCTCTGTCAGTGAGGGAGGCTGAGACTACAGAGCTGGGTTGGCTGTTCGTGACAAGCATGATCGAGATGGCATGGCCCAAGGCTTGGGATTTACTAGTGCCCTACAAAGATTGGCCACCACAACAAACAACATAGATAGACCAACAGCAGCTACTTCCCTTTTTGCCTTTCTTCCCGCGTCATAATGTGACTGGCAGCATTTTCCCGTCAGATACTTGATCCTGACCTGAGCAGGTCGAAAGTAACAAGGGAATCGGGCGAGTTACAGTAGGTAATGATTATTGAACGAGGGTACAGTGTTTAAGAATACGCATCTATGCTTCAATTCCTGATACAATGACACCCACACCCTTCCCCATCACCAGCGGTACCAGGCCATGAGGGGCAACGTTGTTCTGTCTCACGGCAATAAGAATACTGTTCATAGTCAAAATGTACATAGTCAATTGAGTATGAGTATGCACTAGGGACCGAAACCTTGAGCTTACTGTACTGCTATACAATCTCCCACAAGACTCTCCCACCGTGTCGGTTACCGTCCTGGCCACAGAGCAGAAACGGCTAGCAACGCTACGCGTTCACGCGATTCAATTGCAGAGCGCATCATCAAGCTTCACTACCGTCTCTCCTGACAATTCTAACAGTACAATTCCCATGTATTACTGTCAGTGATGGTCCTCTCACCACCATGGCATCTCCTGATCTTGCTCTCGGACTCGGAGCGAGAGTTGAACTCGGTCGCGGAAGGACCGGCGTAAGACATGTCTGATCACTCGGCCATATTCGACGCCGACAACGACAACGACAACGGTGCTGAGGCAGAGCTAGCAGAGCCGGAGCCCAAACTCGCCGGTTGCCGTCCGTGACCACGCATACCGGAAGAAAAAAGTCGAGTCGCAACTAGGATTTTGTTGTGAGAGTCTCAGCATCATGAGGCGAAGTTCACGCCGAGGCATGAGCGAGCGCCGGCGCTGAAGAAGAAGGGAAGAGGAAGGGAAGGGGGAGGAAAAGGGGAAATTCACACTATGGCACCGCTTGTATACCGGACACCGAAAAGGCTTTGCAGGGGTTGACCAAGCCCGAACCCCGGAGTAGCAACAATGGCAATGACACTGGAGCAGGACTGGCTTCAAGCTGGCTCGGCTGGATGAGTGTGATTCTCACCTCATTCAAATAAATAGTGCTTCAACCCCGAAGACTACAGCCACTTTCTCTCGTAAGTCTCTGCACCGTCTTACTACTACAGCTCCAGTTCCGCGACAGTATCTCGTAAGACATCTCCGAAAGGCACACTGCTCTGACTCATCCCGACATATCGACATAGCGACACACACAGCTTCACCTTCACCGTGAACACCATGAGCTCAACCGCCACCCAAACTACCGTGACGCCAGCCGTGGTAGGCTTAGTAGCTCCTTCTTCTTCTCCTTCGTCACCACCCCGGCCGGAGAACGAAGACACAGAGACACAGAGACAGCTTACTCAGCTCAAGACGCTTGTCGGCGAGGCCGAGCTGGTCACACCCGCCGACGAGGCTTACGAGGCCGAGTCTAGAACCTGGTCGTCCGGCAAGAACAAGAGTCCGAAGCTTGTGGTCCGGCCGCAGACAATCGAGTCGTTGGCCAAGGTGGTCAAGTTTCTGGGAGGGGAGGAGTCGTCGTCACTGGAGTTTGATGTGCACAACAGGTATGTCCACGTCCACGTACACGCATTTGTGCTTCTTTGCCTTTGCCTTTACTTTTTCCTGGGCAAGGACAGACATGATGGGACAGAGTACGCATCTTTGTGCTTGGTTTGTTGACCTGGTCGCTTACTTGCTGTTCGGTTTGCTGGTTGCTGGTTGCTATATTCGTGCTCTTGCTGGACTGGAGCAAATAGCTAATATCCGCCCCATTGGGATCTGGCAGCGGTGCGGGAAGTGCGTCCGCCAAAGACGTCCTCGTCTCTACCAGAGCATTCCGCGATTTTGACTTTGACCGCGAGAATGAGGTCCTGACCATTGGGGCCGGGAGTCTCTGGGGGGAATACTATGAGCAGATGCGCAAGGTCGCGCCCGAGTACTCCGGTATGTACGATATCAGCTGCTGTTGAACAGGCACCTGGTGATCTCCTGGCTGACTGACTGACAATCTTGCATCTCACAGTCGTAGCGGCCGCGACGCCTTTCATCGGCGTGGGAGGCTCCGTCATCGCCGGAGGATTCAGTCTCATGTCGAGAGAGAAAGGATGCATTTCCGACCCGGAGAACATGCTCGACGCGGAAATCGTCAAGTTGGACGGCTCTGTGGTCTGGGCTTCGACCGAGCCTGATCTCCTGTGGGGGCTGAGAGGAGGCTACATTGGCTTGGGAGGTAAGCTGACTATACTATGCCATCCCATTCCATCCCATCCCATACTTGACTGATGCACCAGGTTGGCCACTTGGGAGGGTTTGCTTTGCCAAATCTGAGCCAGAGCCAGAGCCAGAGCAGAGCCAGAGCCAGAGCAGAGCCAGAGCCCGAGCCCCAGCCAGGTGTCTGCAATATTATATCTGGTGATTTGATTGCTGACTTCTTTATATCAATCACAGTTGTCACGAAATTGAAACTCCGCGCATACAAGTACCCCCAGAACATCTGGGGCGGCCACATCATCGTGCCGCGAACGACGGAGAAGGAACGAGAAGTCGCACACGCCGTGGCCGAGATCGACCGCTCCGGCCAGATCGAGCGCCGAGTCTTCGCGCTGCTTCTGCTCATGCCGGACGCCATCATCGTCAACGCCTTCGATGCGCTGGGCGAGGAGCACGGCCGCTCGACCTTCGCCCCGGTGCTGAAAATCAAGGGCGCCGTCGATGCCACCCGCATCATGGACCTCGGCGGCTTCGCTGCCATGCAGGCGCCCGCCGAGTTCTTGAAGGGGAAGAAGCAGGTTTGGTGGAACCCGCTGGCCCTGGGCCAGCTGTCGGAAGAGTTTTTGGCCAAGACGTTGGACTGGCAGCGGCGCAAGGTGGCCGCGGGCATCGATGCTGCTGTCATGTATGAGCTGTGGGGAACGGTGAGTTGTTGTCGTCGTCGTTGTTGTCCCTCCTGCTGCTGTCGTCCTACTGCTACCACTGCTACTATTATCGCTACAAAGATAAAACATACTGATCAGCCCCAGCGCGGCCCTTCTGCCGGGCAAGCAGCTTCCGTCTGGCCACGACCCGACCACGTCCAACATTTCTGCATGCTCAGCATGGCCACGAAGCCCGATGCGCCCACGCACGAGGTCGACGAGACGCGTCGCATGATCATGGAAGCGCCCCACGAGTTACTTGGGGACGAATACGACCATAGCCTGGTGGCGACTAGTGCCTTGGACGAGTTCCACGATGTGAGAAGTGTAAGTTGAAGTTTGAGCCTGAGCCTGAGCCTTGATCACTCTACCTTAAAACCATCCATACATCCAATTCATCGGTCGTTGGCATTCATCCAGTTCATCGACCGTTCGACTTTCTATCCTCTCTTCTCGTTCTTTTCACTCGCTAGTCCCAAGTCTGATGACGATTACAGATCTACGCGAAGAACTGGCCCCGCATCCTGGAGGTGAAGCAGAAGTATGATGCGAAAGGCCGGATGAATGGGTCCTCGCTGGCCCAGGCATGCAATGAAGACTTGCAAAAGGCCGGTACTGGTGTTTGAAGAGAACCTCGCCAGGCATACATAGGTAGGAAGGAGCTGGAGCTGGAGCTGGAGGCGGAGGCGGAGGTTGGCAATCCCGCACTACATACTTGATATGTACATTATTTAGTCAGTAATAAACAATACGGAGGACATGTTCGGACCTGGATCTTAGGAGATATTTGCCATTCCATTGATGAAGGAGGTTGGGGTGAGCGTACGCATGCATCCTCCCTCAAATCATCCTTCCGTCTCTTCAAGTTCCTTCCTGGTTGCCTTCTCTCTTCTCTCTTTTCTCGGGTCCGATATTGGAATCTGTTTTAGATCTGACCTGACCTGATCGGATCGGATCTAGGAACTGGAGTTAAATCCGCCATATCACATGCTGACAGAAAACGTGGCTGAATATCAGCTAGCGTAGAAAGAACGGCCAGCGGATCGGGATCGGACAGCATACCGTTAGTGATCCGGGCATTTCCGAAGAGACGAGAAGCTTATGCTGGCAGGGGCTACCGAGATCTCACTCGATTCGCGCTACGTATGTACATTGTCCTTTTGGTAGGGCCCCGGGGGGGTGGCAACGGTCCAGGGGGCAATCAGGTACAGTACCTCAGTACCTAACTCTAGTATGTATGTTAGTTTACCGATGGAGTATTGTACGTACTAATCCCTATTGGGCCTTTCGCTCGCCGACGCACCGCTGGACCTAAGAGGCTCGAGGGGCGGCCAATGCCCAAGAGGACCAGACCAAGCCCTGCGTAGTTTCCAGCTTGGGAGGGGAGGGGAGTGATATGGCTATCGATGTCATGCCTCCAATTAACCATAGCTTGAAGCCCTTGATGCTTGCTCGAACACGTCATTTAAAGGGTGTAGAGTATGTAGGTACATATTAGGTATATAGATTGGTACCTGGGCAGGTTGGTTTAGTTGGGACCTATATATCCCTATTCCAGCCACTCTCTGTGCCGGCCGCGTATAGTATAGAGCAGGTTGTATGATACCAACATAAGGACACGGACTCAGCCTCAGCCTTCTCATATACTAGGGCTCTGCTCTAACGGCCGGCGGTGGTGGTGGTAGTAGTAGTAGTAGTAGTAGTAGTAGTAGTAGTAGTAGTAGTAGTAGTAGTAGTAGTAGTAGTAGTAGTAGTAGTAGTAGTAGTAGTAGTAGTAG